AAACAGATATTTTAGAATAATCCGTAATCCGATTAATTTAAATATTATTACTATTATTTGCAACATTTTATACATGAGAGAGATGATATACACCGGATATATCAGTTAATTGGTGCATGTAGACAGTGAAGAAAAAAAAGTTGACTCCCAAAAATTTTTTACAGGTGTTTGTTCGTTTTTATTTATTTATTTGAAACATATAAATGATTGAATATTTAACCTTAAATTAGGGTATCATTGTTCTTTTGTTTGTTTGTTATTAAACATCATCTGTATATTTAATCTAGTATATTGATGAAAATAATAAATACTATCAATGTACTTGCATAACTGATTAGTCAAAAATTAATACACGAACTAAGCATTTCAGTGTTATGTGTACTTTTCAATATTTCTTTTATAATAGTAACATCATGTGTTGAACATATATATATATATAATCAATATTGAAATAGTCTTTCCACTTTGATGATATGTTTATCCCTTTTCATGTAAACTATTTTTAAATAGGTACTTATAAATAAAAATTTTATTTCTTTTTGTCTAATTCCTTTTCATTCTTATTTCTCTCTTGTAAACTTTCAAGGCATTTATATTTATATTGATCTATATATGATGTATTTGAATAACATACTTATTATGACACATTTAACTCATTTGTATAAATTAAAATTTCATTTATATTCATCTATTAACCTAGTAAACAATATTATTTCACTTTCTTCTCTTCTCATTATTAAGATTAATTTCTGTTTGTTTATTCTACTGATAATTCTTTTCAATTCACTAATGTATGTTTATGCATATTTTATTCTTGAAAATATAACTTATGTATCCATTCCAACAATATGGTACAGTTCATTCTCCACACAAATATGCACATACACACATACACAGACACACACGCAACCATGACATTATTATCATCATATTCTGCCGTTTTCCCTATATTACCTGTGAAACACATGTTCTGTCTTTATTTTAATTATCAGAAGGGGTTTGTGGAGATTTTAGAAATTTTCACAGATTGAAATCATGAGTCAGTTGAAGCTATACCACCATGGGAAACCTGGAAGCACTGGACGGTCGTTTCGTCCTAGTATGGGACTCCACAGCAGTGCGCATCCACGATCCCGCACCCCGCGGGATTCGAACTCAGGACCTATTGGCCTCGCGCGCGAGCACTTAACCATTAGACCACTGAGCCGGCATCCAACAATGTTAATGTCTAACTTCAACCAATCCATGGTGGTCTAACTTCAACTGACTCATGATTTCAATCTGAGAAAATTTCTAAAATCTCCACAAACCCCTTTTGATAGTAATCATCTGCTCACTAGTAACTGACTTCAAGAGATACTCCTGGAGTTCTAGTGGGAAGCCGTTACCAGTGGAGTACAACCAGGTCTGTTGTGAGATATCAGCTCACTGAAGACAATGGTATATGGTGACGCAACTTCGTGGTCTAGTTCATTTTAATTGTTTGTGAAATTTCAAACAGTGATATAGACAACAACTTTTTCCATTCACTCTTGTTATCCTGATCAGTAGTTATTACATCTTTCTTTGAATTAAATTTTATGGTAATAATGATAACAATAATAGACATAATAGCAACCATGTGCATAATTATGTTACACTATATTTATAAAATCATGTCTAATTTATTGATGCTTTTTCATTCCCTTATAAATCAAATATGCTTAATCATTTACAATAGTATCATCTGTCAATAGTTGGTTGACAACTTAATAAGTTGGTCCATATGAATTCGTTGTTTTAAAAAACGAAATTATTCTATGGCGTTTGTCATCTAATATGATTTTTAGTTAGAAAATAATAAAAATAATAACCAGTTCGTCTCGCAGACAATGTGATGAAACCTGTCACATATATATTCATTAGTTCAAATTATCACAGTGTATTTACACAACAAAATGAAATGATCAATAAGAATGCCAGAATAGCTGAAGTAGTAACAGTATCAATAGTACTAAAAAAGATGATCCGTAGACAATATGATTTGGAAAAAATTGAATTTACAGAATAAAAGGTGTAAGATAATTTTAAAACTCAAAATACGAGAGAAGACAAACAGTGAATGTATCTGGTTCATTGTAACTGCTTTTGAACCAACGTCACCCAATGTCTTTATTTATTGGTCAAGATAATCGTGTGAACTCGAGACAGCTTGTTTGTATCAATCAACACTATCTAGTCCAGTAGTCAATAATTTAATGTACTGATTCCATGTTTTGGTTTGGCTGTCTTTACCTTTCTTCCAAACTAACTCTTATACCAACTGATGTTGCGCTATTCGTTAGGCGATGGTTGAGCATATGTAATACATGTTGCAACAACCTCAGGTGATGAAGATGTTGGGGACGATAGATCCCCAAAACTCAAATTTTGTAATTTCCTTATCGATTAAATGTGCAGATAGGTCAATTGATGAACTATCGATTAAATGTACAAATAGGTCAATTGATGAACTATCGATTAAATGTTCAAATAGCAGTCAATTGTTGATTAATGTTCAAAAATCTTCTATGACAATATCGATTGTAAATAATTGTATAAATACGCTTGACTTGTATGCTTGATCTGATCTGCCTGCCTGACTGGTTATCTGCTGTTTGTCTGTAGAATACACTTTCTACACCTTACCCAGACTTCTTGATCGAGTTAGCAGAGTTGGGGACAACGGACCAGAATAGACTATCGAGATTCTGAATCCTTGATCCGATCGATAAGTCACTGTCATATAATCGGCTGTCACTTTGAGCCATAACAGAAGATCTACTGCTTCATCAACCGATTTCCTATTAGTAAAATCTTTATGTCAATAATATTGAAATATATAGCTTATTCTGATATCTGGCAGATGATTTGTTTATCATGCTCAATTGATGACTATTGATCCCATTTCATGTTCCTTCATTCCCTTTCACGGATAATTCAATCATGCATAGATATATCATTTGCGTTTCTCACGTATCCTCTTAGATTTAAGAAGCATCATGTCTGTTATATAATAATCATCTGAGCTAATTAAATATAATGCGGTTTCTTATTGGAATCAATTATCACTTTTCTGTTGCTTTATTTAATATTAGAAGTCGGTTCTTGTAAATAAATGAGTGGAGGTTGTTTTATAAAAATACCTGTACATATCTTCCAGTTTTTTTGCTACATTAAAACTTACTGTGGTGGCCATTGATCCAAGCCAGTAATCTTTCGTTACATTATATTATTGAATATACTTTAAATTTGTCTGTCGATGATCTTTACATGCGTTTGTATAGAGCTTTAATAATCCAGACATCTGTTCTAAATATCTTTAGATGTTGTGATTGGCTGACTTATAATGTCGTTCGAAATATTTCCTGTCTTTGAACTGTAGTGCGTACGATAAATTTGAGTTTAAAACACTCGAATTCCGACTACTAAATCGCTGGTTAGAACACATTTTTACCTATTGCAATCTGGTCAGCTTTACAGTACGAATGATCCGTACACTTAAAATGCAACTGAAGACTGGACTGTTAATTAATAAGTGACTTTGATTATTATTATTATTACTTACTTACTTACTTACTGAACAGTAATTATTAATATACAATATTGAAAGCAAAAAATTAAATTAAAAACTTTTTCATACAAGAATAATAAAGATTGTAGAATGAACTGAATACAATTTATTTCGTGTGCTCTATGCCATCTACATACGCACTGATTTGTACGTGATTGTTTTTCAAAATCATACATTTTTCGATTAATTGCTTATGATCGAAATAAAAACTTGGTTCGTCTGTCAGTTACAAAATGAACTATTTATGACCATTTTATCTTTGAAAGTGTTCACTATTATCTTATTTTTAATAATAATGGTTTTGGTAACTACTCTGTCATAAATTTTGTTCTTTATCTCTCTCTCTCTCTTTTTTCTCTATTGTTTCTTCTCCGACACCATTATGTAGTAATGTGTAAAATTATCCATTAGTTCTTTTTTTCCTTGATTTCTAATAGCTGATATCCTGTGGTGTATGATAATTTATTGATTATGCAATTGTCGTTGAATATGTGGTTTAGTTACTTTCAAGTTGTAATTGTAATGGAATTACTTGTGTAGGGCATGCAGAAATACATCATCGAGCTTTTTATATGTATGTAACACTGTATAATAAGCTTGCTAATAGAAAAAAAGCAGTGGATTTAATGATTATAAATAATTTTTCGTGTTTTCCATGAGTACAATGTAAGCCAATTATAACTACTTCACAAGTCTACTTTATTCACAGCTTTTTGTCAATATGAGGTTGTGGAGATTGTTGAGTTTTTGATTGAGATCATGGGTCGATTAATGTTAGACCACCATTAAAAACCTGGAAGCACTGGATGGCCGTTTCGTCTTAGTATAGAACTCCTCAGCAATACGCACCCCCGATCCCGCACACCGGGTCACTTAACCACTGAGCCGGCAGCCAACGGTGTTAATGTCTAACTTCAACCAATCCACGAAATCGCGTGACCACCTTCCATTGCCTGAGGTAGACACCTATCTCTAATTGACACGGATTAGCTGCACTGGTCACGGCTTCTCAATAGAACTAATACTAAAACTTTCACTTGATGTTGTTTTGTTTGTTAAACGAAAAATATATCTATACAATACATATAATAGTTCTTAAAAATAGACATAATCATATATTTCAGTAATTTGAATGAACACTACACTTTCATTGAACAGTTGTCGATTGCACTGTAGCAGACCAATGTGATACTGATTACTACTACATGCTCTCATGAAGTTTTTGTAGTTTCCATTATCGTCATCTATATAGGATACATTGATAAATAAATACCTGTTTTTGGTTATCTACATTATAATGTGATATAACTTTTTTTCTTAATTTCTATTCTTTGAGAAATAAAAAGAACTCAAGAATGTTATTCATTTATTGATTTACTTTTTCCTTATTGTATTTTAACGTGAACAGGATACAGTAGAATATAGATACAGATATCGATGGCTTTATATTCGTACAATGGATGGAACTCGAAAAACTTTGAAAGTGGATGATAGTAAAACTGTAGCTGAACTTATGTTGATGATATGCACTAAAATGGGTAAGAATTTATACATAGATATATATTTACATGTAGTTCATTGGTTTAAAGATTTAACTTGATTCCATAGGATTGTAACTTTCCTATACACTAGGTTCAGTTTGGTTAGATAATAATGTTCTATTTTTAATTTATTCATTTTTAAGGTGTGCACTGGTTTTCAACTTTTAAGACAAACTAAATATTTTATGATAGATGCATTACTACTGAATATTTACTCGTCATTATATCCACCCATTCACCTACGTATTATTCACTTCATCCATTTCATTCAAACAGATTCAAATATTTGAATTGCTAACTTAACATTTCTAGCTTGTAGTTTTAAGAAGCAAAAAAAAGAAGTCAGAAAAAACTGTAAACTTGAATTATGAGCGAACAGTTGTTCAATGCTATAAGTGATTAATTGGTGTTTGTTTGTTTAAGTAAAACAAATTAACTGATTGTTTGCTGAAAATCTCCTTTTAACATGTTTTTTCTTCGTTTTAAATATCTTATCTTTTTTTCTGTTTCCATCAAATTATGTCCATTATTGTTATTGATCAATGTAATTGGTTGATAAAATAAGTATTGTGATATTATAATTCAGTAGAACTATCGGTGGGACTATAATTTGTGGTCGACCTTTCAGCAACGCTAAAGCAACCTACTTACTAGGGTTAATTGAGGGTTATGTATTAGTATGAAGAATTAGAATTCGGATTTACGGTTGAATGTTAGAATTAGGAATTAGATTTAGTGTTTTCATCACGAACTGGCATCAGCTATAATGCTAAAATGGTATTTAGCCAAACGGTTAATGAATTTAGCACCAAAATCCAAGATCTATCTAGAATTTGATTGGTTGGTCTATAAACTATAGTCTCGCCAAATTATCTTCATGTTGTTAAAATGTATTTGGGCGTTAGGGGTTGTTAATATATATATCCGAATAACTGACAGTATTCCATCGCTAATTAATAGAAATAAAGTCAAACTTATCACATATAAGTTTTGTTTTGAATATGTAAGATGTCATCCTGTCTTAAGTATATTGTCGTGGAGATTGTCGAATTTCATCGATATCAATATTAGACCACCAATGAAAACCTGGTAGCACTGGACACCTGTTTCGTCCTAATGTGGGATTCCTCAGGAGAGCTCAACCACTATACCGCAATCCGAGTGTTCTTCAAATGATTTGAATTATCTGAACATACGTTTAATCAAATCTATCCTAAAACGGGACAATTCTTAATCCGTATTCAGTATTTAAACTAGCATGCACTATTACAAATGAAAGATATAATTAATTAAACACACTGAAATTTCCAATCATTTGTATTTTCTTTTAAAAATTTGTCAACCACACTATCACCAACGATTTTTATCACTATTATTATTTCGTTTGTAAAACATTCAGTCCCTTTGATAAATTTAGATAATGTAAGGGGAAGATCAAGTTTGTCACAACCACATGATATAATAGCGTAGTACATTTCGAATAGGCTGATCATACGTTTGCTAGTCAAGTCAGTGCGATATGAAAAATAAAAGTTAACTAAACAATAGGAATACAAGAAAATAGTAAGTTAACAAGAAAAAACAATATGAATCACATCACTTTGGATGATAAGTCAATCTTACCAGGGTATGTGTATTGTAAGGGTATCCATTCGCACAGCCGACTATCAAAGAGGGCATATTAATAAAGGTGATTAGTAAAAAGTGGAATAACATTTTCAATGGTGTTAAATATATTCGCTTTATCGTCTGTCGCTATGCCTTACGACCAATGAGGAACGTATTTTTCTAAAGGTATAATGAATAGCCTAATTTCAACAAATACTGATAAAATACTAGGAATTCTCTAATTTGGTAACAAATTGATATTATTATTATTATTATTATTATCCTAGTCATGTTATCCCGTATGTCTATCTCGAACAGCTAGGACATAATTTATCAAAATGAATGTTGTTGTGATTAGCTTAGTCTATGTTGAATTAAGTCGGTTGAAACTCTCGTTTAGTTGTTAGCCAATAGAATAAACTTTCTCTGTTCCTACATAATTGGACAGTAAAAATCATGAATTATTAATAGCCTAATAAACTGCCTAAGTTACAATTTAATTTAGTTAACTAACATGAATACAATTTTACCATTTTAGTTTAATATTGATTAACCTCAACCAACAGTTATTTCAAAGATTGCCGGTATAATAACTCCTCACTTCGTCATAATTCCAAAAAAATATCCGGTAAAGAAACAGACATGTTCAATTTCTAATTCTTTATTTAAAATTTATCGAAACAAAATCGACATGTCATAAATACATTAGAATCAGTTAGAAAAGTGAAATTTCAATTCTGAATAACAATCAATGCTTAGTAGTTATTTGTAAAAAGAAACGAAGTAATCAACATTCATAGAAAAAATAGTCAATTAATCTTACTTACTTACGCCTGTTACTTCTAATGGATCATAGGCCGCCGACCAGCATTCTCCAACTTACTCTGTCCTGGGCCTTCCTTTCTAATTCCATCCAATTGTTGTTCATTTTTCTCATGTCTATCTCCATTTCCCGGCGTAATGTGTTCTTTGGTCTTTCTCATTTCCTTTGGCCTTGAAGATTCCATGTGAGGGCTTGTCTTGTGACGCAGTTGGGTGCTTTCCTCAATGTGTGTCCTATCTAATATATGATAAACAATCAATGCTTCCATTATCCACATTTTCATCTTTATCATGTAATTTAATTTAATGTTTATTAATACATTTTTACACTTTCCAAATGATCGATATTATGACAGCACAAATGTACTGATTGTTCAGGTTTGTTGTGTTGTTTAATTGTCTTTAATTGAATTCACAATTTACGTTTTCACACTTTCAAATAACTGAAAAAAAAGGTTTTTTTTTCAATCCCTAAAGTGATTTTATTTATGATAAAAACCTTGATTATTAGGGATTATTTTATATGTATGTGTTTTATTACTTTAAATTAAGTATCTCCTTAAAAGTACAATGTTTTAAGGATTTAGTTTATTCATATTCAGTCAGTCACCTACAACGTAGAACCAGGCACATATGTGCATCAGTTCAAGTTGCCATACCTCATTGACACAACAAGATGAACACCGAATTCATGGAAATAGTTAATTCAATGGTGGTAATGTATAAAAGAAAGATTGCATATAAAGGATTTATTCATATTATTATTAGTAGTAGTATTGTAGTGAACAAGAACACGGGTGGGGACAATCGATTGTATTTAGCATAAAGATTACAGACTATCTCAATAAAATGTGAATACCATAAAGTCAATCGTCAATTTGCAAAATATCATTCCATCATATCAAACTGTACTGTTCCCGTTGCAAACACTAATCCATTGTCGCCCATTCCATTGTACATGCGTTTTCTTACAATTCCATTGTGCTCTTGCTCTTCCTTTCCTGCCGGACATTACGTTCTTTTAACGCACGTTATATACTACTTATATCAATATAAGTAGCTCACACCACAGTATTACTGCCAATAGTTGGAGAAATTTAGATTCATCAGACACATATCCACATTCTTGGACAAAAATACCACTATATATATCTTCTTTTCACTTTTTTTTATCAAATTGTTAATCGATACATTGATTTAATATTGTATTCATTTCAGTTTTGAGCTGTTTTGTTTAAGTATGATATATTTTTCAGATGTATACTCTACCAGTTTTGTTTCTTATGTAGAATAAACGATATTATATTACTCTTGTAAAATAAAAAAAATAAATCATTATCATCATTTAAAACGAGGGAGACAGGAAGAGGTACAATCATCACAGCCTTTGTTGTAATTTTTCTTCGAATGATTCATTGATTTACTAATGAAATCATCGATTAATTTGGTGTCTGTCATGTGATGATTAGATTTACTGTTTCCAAGGTTGTTTCTTAATAGTAATAGTATCACTAACTAGATTATGTTATGCTGTTTAAAATTAGTGAGTGACGTTGAAAGGAAGTTAAACAAAGTACACAAATGCACACATAAATACTCTTCTTTTGTTTTTCTCTGCTTTTAAAATTTGATATATTTGTCAGTTAAAAAATAATAATAAAGACTATGTGTAGACAGAGATAGATTGTCATTGTTTATTAAGATGTTCACTTAAAATGAATTGATTTATTGAAAGTGAGATGATTTTAGTAAAATTAATTATCTTGTTTTGTTTCATTTTCTTGTTTTTAATAAATATAACTATTATGATTTCTTTCTCAGATCACCAAAAAAAATACACACACTAGACACAGCTAGTTTCAGTTTCATTTCCATAGGGTTTAGTAATCATCATTTTTTTATATTGTAAATAGCCCTCTTTTTCATTTCTTTTGAAACTGAGGTTCTTATTTTCTCTCTCTTTATATCGGTATATATTTTCTACCAGAAAATTGGGGTGAAAATGTAACTCACTTACCACATATAGGCATATCCATTCGACCTTGAAGAATACGTATTTTGCTGTACGCCAGCCACTCAATGGTTTAAAAGCAAAGTACCTTAACCATCAGGCAGCTACTTCGCTTTACTTTTAGCTAGGGGGTATAGTCGTGGAAGCTACCTTGAGGTTATTTTAAATTCATAAATATTAGTTGTTGCAGTATTTCGTTTTTAATATGATTATCATCAAAATTATTTTAGAAAAAGGTGTATTTTAAGTATATAATCAATAAATTTACAACACCTATATATTAACTGTTAATATTTGCATGTGAAGTAATGATTTTACTCGTGGGAAGCAGTAAGCAGAGAGAAAGTGTGTTGTATGTGTTAATATTATTTTAAAACATTTATTAGATAAGAAATTATTTTTGAGATGTTTGGAAGAACAAATCGCTTTATTTTTATTGAAATCATGGACTGATCAACATTAAACTACCATTGGAAACTTGGAAGCACTGGATGGTTGTTCCGTCCTAGTATAGGACTCCTCAACATTGCGTATCCACTATCCCGCCCACGGTATTCGAATCCAGGACCTCTGGTGTTGCGCGAACATTTAACTTCTAGACCTATGAGCCAGCATTCGATGATGTTAATGTCCCAAAGCAGGACGAAACAACCGTCCAGTGCTTCCAGGTTTTCAATGGTGGTCTAACATTGATCACTTCATGATTTCAATGAAATCATGAACAATCTCCTCAAAAGTCCACTTATCATGCATTTGAGCAGCTTAAAAATAACATTTAGTGTATAGTGTTTGTGCATCTATAATAATGTCATTCATGGTATATACACTAAGACGAAATCATAGGTCAAGATGTAATTTTTTGCATTAATTATTTACGGTATGAATGGATGATTCATATCCACACATTACATATGTATTCTGAGTATCTAACCTTTTCTTTACTGTTTTATTCGCTGTACCACAGATTCAATTTTTATTCAGTCATTATTGACTGTTATTTAAGATAAACTTATACAATATACATTCAGTACTATCATTCAGCAAAATGTTTGCTTAATTGATGGTAATCTAGGTCTTAATTAACTCCAGGAGTCCCACAATAGGATGAAATGGCCGTCCAGTACTTCCAGGTTTTCCATGGTGGTATAGCTTCAACTAAATCATGATCTTAACCATTGAAATTACTATAATATCCACAAAACCCATCTGGTTTTAATTGGGTAATTGTTTAAAACTTATAGATTAATATTCTATTATTGATTACGCTAGTTGATTTACATTGACAATTCAAGTTTATCGACTTTCTCAAATTCCGGGAAAATCTTTGTAATTGTAAATTTGAAATTCAATCAATAAGCTTTCTTTTTTTGGGGAAAAAATAAATGATCGATCTCATTGGTGGGAGTGGAGTTGATTAGGCCAATAATAACAATAAATCTCTTGTTGAAATCGATTGGATAGATAAATAGATTTTTTTGTAACAATTACATTGATTTCCTTTTTCCCTATTCATCATTCTTGTCCAAATTGAATACGAGGGAGTGGGTTATTCGATGAAATAGGAAAACATAGTTATTATCGTCATGATTATTGTTTGCAATATGTGAATAATTGAAGACAAACTAATAAAAAGAAGTGTTTGTTGGAAAAAAATAAAATACACATTAAAGAATTAAAAACAAAAAAATAGAGGATCAATTATTGACTGACGAAATGTACAATCCAGTTCTGCAGCTTATTTACTTCAATAACAATCACTAGTATTACTACCACTACTACTATTTTGTCAAATGAAGACTCAGACAGACGAAATTCATAACGTAGTGAATGAATAAACAATTTATTGTTTAATACAAAATTGCAGAGTGCCTTTGTAATATATGAAAACTACATTAAATGCATTATTTGCATACCTTTCTTGGATTGGCACTTACGAACTCCATCGTTCTTCCATTGCTTTTGTTACTCTGAATGCTTTCAGTTTTTCTTTCTCTTCTCATTTTCTTCTGCCTGTAAGAATTCTGCTCCGAGTTCCTGCTACATACTACTTATATCCATCCGTATAAGTAGCACACACTACTACTACCTGTGGGTTGCATAAAAACAAAGTTTTGTGATTGCAACACTTACTGTTATTCAAATGAAAATAAAATACTGAGTGAATTTGAATATAACAAATTACTTTTAGTTTAGTGTTGACCACTAATTTTTAAAGAAAAATTTTTTATTCATTAATAAGCGAAAAAATTCTCACACAATTCAAATAGGATGATAATATTACATATTCATATATAGTGTCATGACTGATGACCTTCTGTAAGTATCAAACTATGACCGTCAATAAAATAGAGTTGAGAAACACATACTACATAATATCAAATAATTGATTTCATTTCGATTCTGTATTGGGATGGTGGAAAACTGATATCGGTAAACTCAATTAAAATAGAATGCAAATAATTCCTACATCTCAATGGCTTTTTAGTTAATGTTAGTTAGTCCTGAAAATAACTTGTGAACCATACAAAATCACTTTCCAAACTTCGAAGTGAGCTTTTAATTGTTTTTCGTAACTGTAAGGAAAGCATATATATATATGTATGAACCATCTAATCAATCCGTGGTCAGTAGTATCTGTCATAACATCGTTTATATTGTTTCTCTTAAATTGTATCAATCAACAGGTATTTATAATTATGAAGAATATCTTTTGGCTCGTGATCGCGATGAAACGGATCGAGAGCGCACAAACACATTGAAAAGATCAACTGGTCATCATCATCATACTGGTACATTGATGAGAGATCAAGAAAAAATGGAAAAATTAAAACGCAAGTTACACACCGATGATGATAGTGAGTTCATAATAATAGTCTTATATATTCTCTTTTTTATGGACTCGTTTTTGTACTCATACAGAATCCATGCAAGTAATAATTACCTTGATAAATTAATGACCTCCTATTAGTTTTCTACTACAATTGTGATGTTTATTCATGCAAAGACTTTGCATTAGTCCAATCTTCCGAATTGAATATAATAGAACGAAGAATACTGACGTGTCGACGAGTTGATTGTCGCTTAATGAGGTTTTATCAAATAGGGTATATAGTGATTGGTAATTTATCTTTTTACAGTATCTTCGTTATACTCGGTATTGATACTATGAATATAAAAAATATATATGTATCGTGTAATTTTACATATATCTTAAGAGATATTAGTTAGTAAAAACTCCTTAATTTCATGATTGTATGAATTATCTTAAGTTTATCAAATTAAATATCCTATAGCAACCGAAGTAAATAATGCAAAAACTTGAAGTAATCAGCGTTCTATGGAGAATGTTCAGAAAACAACAACGTATTAGGTTTCTCGTCGTTTTGATTAAAAACTTCTGAGTTCAATAATAAAATGTTGATGTATTTGTGATATTCTCCCAATGAGTAGAAATTTGTATTTCTGACGTTTCGTGACGTAGTTTAAACCACTTTTTAATGGTAACTTAATACATAACCGAATTAACTTTACGCAAGTTTATTTATTAGACTATTTCAATTTCAATTTATTTAAAATTATCAAATCAAACCTCGATATTGACAGTGACTGTTAAGTTTGTTACCAAGTTAAGTCTACTTTCTCTGAACTTCTAGATTTGCAAGTTTACCTGTTATCGTATAAATTCACTTGTCTTCTCTACGTAAGCTCGCTGTCGAAGCAAGTACTTTATTCTACAATTTGCGTTTTTTTCCATTTTTATCTAGTCCTCAATAATCAATGTGTATAGAGTAGTAGTCTAGTAATCGGCTAGAAAGTTATTATTTTTTCAAGTGTTTACAGTTTACCGCTAGACATTAAATGATTTCATTTTATTTTCTTCTTAATGTTTCACAACAAGTAAATTCCTCAACCAACTAGTCGTTTATTGTGTTGTTTAACAATTTATATTTAAGTAAATAATAATAGTTATTATTTTGAGATTAATTGTAGACAAGCAAATTAAAATAATTTAACAGTTTAACTGATTTCCATAATAATAATCGATTTGTTTCAACCCTATCTCTCTACTTTATCATATTAAATAGATTTGTTTTTACCATAGAGAAAGATCTGTTATACTTTATGTTTATCTTTATAAGTGTCTTTTTATTTATCCCCACTTTTCCGCTTTCACCTCTCAGTGGAATGGCTTAATCCATCGCAGAGTTTAAGACAACAAGGTGTAGATGAAAAGGAAATTCTACTATTGAAACGTCGATATTTCTTCTCTGATATGAATGTGGATGCTCGTGATCCGGTACAATTAAACTTATTATACGTTCAAGTATGTTATTGTTTTCTAAATAATCTTTTTTTATTTATTATCAAGAAGTGGTTTACATTAAGTCAGGAAACGTCTGAAATATAATTTTCTATTCATTGGGATATCACAATTATTTACTTTGTACCTAATGCTCAGTTCATTTGTAACTATCAAGTTCAACCTTGGCATTGATACACACAAAGAAAAGGATTTTCATATTTCCGTTTATCCTAATAGTATGGTTTAACCATAATACTATTTAAAGAAGAAATTGTGTTGTTGGGAGCGAAAATTTTGTCATCAATGACATTAGATAATCATCGCCCGTGAGACATGAAGGTCTTGTGTTCTATCCCTGACAAGGTCATCGATGCATACTACAGGAGTCTATATATATATATATATATTTATATGTATATATATATATGTTCGTCAGAAAAATGCTGTTATTCGTTTTGCGAATTCTGTTGTCGGAAATTTGTGAACGTTCTTTTTATGTATTGTAATTTTGCTTATGTTTAATTCAATCAGTGATTAGTTGATGTAAAAGCGTTTTTAGTAAATTGTTGTCCAATTTACTACTGACAAAATCTCATATTAATCAAATAATGATCATTAATTACCTTTTGTATTTAGTAAAAAGTATTTTTTTCATCGAAATACTATGAGTTTTGTCAAGTAGGCTCATTGGTTGAAATAGAGTTTACCAAGTACGTTGAATTAATGTTGAGAAAATAGTTCGAATATGTTTTTCCTCTATCCTTCTACAATAGCGATAGTTCCCATGGAATTAATTTCGCTTATTCATAAGTTTAATAATAGAAAGTGGTGTATTGCAGTGAATATATTGACCATTTTACGTAGCTTTTCTAATTGTATTAACCATAGTAGGGTGTTGACAACATGCAACCAAATCCTAGTACATATATGGATGAAATTCTTTATCTTTTATTTTAATCAAATCATCATCCTAGGTGATGAAACAGAATTTATAAAAACTCTATTTGTTATCCAGTTTATGATCATATTTTTTCACTGGAGTATAATCTTTCAATTGATCAGTTGATTTGAAACATATTTGCTGAAAGTAAAAAAAACTCATATGTGATTTCTGAATGTTGTATCGTAAGTCTCTTCAAAAATTTACTTCAGAACATGTTGAGATCACTGACCCTAAGGAAACAAGACTGATGTTAGTCACTAGATCTAAGATGATGATGATCGTAAGTCGGTTGATAAAACTGTAAGCATGTTGTAACATGTAACTTGTAACACAAATAAATGTAACAAGTTGAACATACAAAGTCAAATAACTTAAAACAGTTTGAAATTGTGAGAAAGCAACAATTATTTCATATCAGTCACAAATGATTTTGGTTGATTATGTTTTATGCATGTTATTCATTGAAACTTGATGTAGGAATATTGCAAAGAAACATTATCATAAACAACTGTACTTTGTGTAATAACTAGTATTTACTCTCTTTTTTGTCTTCACTCCTCGTTACTAAAAATATACCTTAAAATATGATGATAATTCTAACAAAAAGTAAAGTATATCAATGTATGTTTTGTATAAAAACAGTATAAAAACAGATCTAATAGAAACAATAAGAGAAAGAGGGAGAGAGAATCTATTTATTGTCATATTTTATTCTTAAACTAATTATAAGACGATCATATGATTTGTGTTTATGAATTAATTTCAAGTGATAATACACATATACACACAGTTAGATTATACCGTTTATCATTCGTAGTAGTAGTAGTGACCAGTTAGTTAGTTCATTTCAATAAATAATTTACATCAGATTGACCGGTACTTTCTATACTATTAACGATTATTAACTTCAATTATGATGGTTGTACATTAACGAAGATGTTTCTTTTCTCATCATCACTACTAGAATTGTACTTTTTTTCTTTTTAAAAATGTGTGTATTTATGTACATGTACATATCGGTTTCTATTACATTTATTGAAACGTCTTTTTTTAATTTAAATAAAAAAAAGCAACAACGAAGTAATGATTGAATCATATGACTCTATAGATTAACAAGCTATTTACGATATAGTTTTCTCAAATTATCCTTTCTTCTCGTTCTTACGTTTTATTTAATCATCATCCTCTTTGTATAAGTTGGTTGTCGATCACATGCTAAAGATATAATATGTACGTCAATACATAAGATAAACAGTTATGATGATAATAACTAAGTTTACTTACTCTTCGAATTAATGTATTATATTGATTAAAGTGCTACTGATATTACTCTATGAATTTATGAGCTTCTATTTTGTTATCCATTAGGTTATATAGAGTACAGTTCATCTTTACGGGTTACTAAATAAAAACCAATATTTTTAACCACTAAGCTACTGTTATTCCTTAGAAAATTGTTAACTTTAAGTGAATTATGAAATAGATGAATAGTTACATAACAGTTGGCATAGATTTGAATCCAAATAATGCATTTATCTTATTGTGTTCCCATCGTCGGTAAGATTAGCCATCCTAATCATTCATAATTCTGTGTTTTAAATTAATTTTTCATTATTTCATGTTTCTTTTTCATGACTTTACAAATTGTAAAATATAGATTGATTCCATGCTAATCAGTTACTTAAAGTCTATATAAAGTGAATGTCCATCATGTAAAGTCTTTCAAAAAAGGCATTGTATCATTATGATATAGATATTTTGATTAGTTGGGAATAAAAATGCTTTTCTTTAATCGCTTTTTTTTGTTTCTTACATAATCGGGAGTTGTAGATTGTAGTAAACATGAATATAAACTATAATAGCATTTGGCATAATTGTATTTCTTTATAATTTGAAATTAAAACTAAGTAAATAAAAAATTAGAAATCAATAGAAATGCGCTTTTTTTCCATCGCAATTTTCTTTCTTTTAAAACATATTAACTTGGTAAATAATTACAGATATAGAAGAAATGTGCACAAACATTTTCACTTACAATAATAATCATTGTTGTTACTATTTCTCTACTTTTTTTTCAAGAAAAACATATGGTTACTCGTTTTTCACGTAAACAGTTTATGATTCTTGAACAAAAAAGAACTATATACTGTTTCTATTCAAAGTAATTTATATGTTGTAGTACAACTACTTCTGTTTCGTTGTATTCACATATGTGAATATATGTATCATAGTTTCGGGGATAGAATTTTTCCCATGTTGATCAATGGGAAAAATTGGTCATTGCTTAAAACCTTTTTTTCTATAATTGACTATGTTTGGTTTTTAGTTCAATATTACTAAAGATAATGTTGAACATTTAGTAAAGTGAATCATGATTTTCTCGTTAAAATTTATGAGTTTACATTTTTGTTATTATTATTATTTATTGTGATATTCTAAAGATTTTGTTTGACTGCTAATCAATGAATTGTAGTTCATATACAAAATTGTACATATCACTACTAGCTAGTTATTAGTAGTTGTTGTTTATTTAAAAATTGACATTTACTGTGTAGTGAGTTTTACTCTTCAGCGTGCATATCCGTTTACGTGTGTATGTATGTGTGACTATCGATTTGATACAATAATACCGTTTCTGATATAGTAATTACGTCTATCCTGTTACTCTTATACGAATGAAATTGTGAATCATTAAACTAATGATTAGAACATTTGCTTTCCAATCATTTGAAACTTCTGTTTATTGTCAGTCATCACAATGTTTCTGATTGTACCTTTTTGTAAATTGTACAACGAAAGGTTGTAAACTTTTCATAAACGTGCCTGAATAGGTTATGTGATTAATAGGCATAATGACATATTAAGACACAAAAAACAGGTAACTTGTTGAAATATCTAGATGACTGGAACAGTTAGCTCAGATATTCAAATAGGCCACCAGATTGAAGTTGATATTAACTGTGACGACCTGTTACTTGAAACCAGAAAAACCGTGATTCGTGCAACGCATTGTAGAAAAGAAATCTAACGTTAAATGAAGATTTCATTCACCCTTCAAAAATAAAAAATAACACAAGACGAATATCCATTTATTAAATACACTCATTTGTATACAGATTTTGATGGCGTTTGTAAATCAGTGTATTAATAGTATACATGACTGAAATAGTGAAGTTAAAAGAATAGATATTAAACCTATTTAATACTAAATGTATACTTCTTTTCATGTCGAACAAATATTGCACTTAATTAATACAAAAGTATATATATGTCCTGCAGAACATATATCACATTTAATAAAAAGAAAATTTATGACATATTGAATTCAAACGTCATCTCACGTTTTAACTTGTTTTAGCAAAACTGACCATTGAGAAAACAATTCACTAGTTTCGATTTTCGTCGAAGTTCGTAGTAATTTTCTCTTATTCATTTAAGACTACTTTTTGTGGTTGTATAGGGCAGTATAAATGAGTTAGCATTTTAATACGTGTCTAATATCTTATATTTATCAACCAATGTATTGATCAACGTCGAAATTTTTAGTTTTTTATAAACCATTCATGAATATTTTTACATTTAAAATAAGCATATTGCATTTAGAAAAGCACGTTCGTATTTGTCGTTTTCCAAAGAAAAACACTGAAAGAAGTGTAGATGTTTATTTAGAAACGAAGTTGGAAGAGTCCGCAATTTTCCTGGCTTTTTCACTCATCATATCGTTATTTCATATCTTTTCTTTCTTTCTATTGTTTAGCTTAAGGATGCTATTTTGAAAGGAACTCATCCTGTTTCTCTAGAAGAAGCTGTCTATTTAGCTGGTATTCAATGCCAAGTTCAATTTGGAAATTATGTTGCGGAGAAATTTAAACCTAATTTTTTAGAGTAAGTTTCACAGAATAAGAATTAGTATTTATTTCAATAGAAAAGTATAAAGTGAATTGTTTTTACCCATTAAACTTATTGCTCATAGAATATCACAATATATGAAACAAACAATATAAATATATGAAATACGTTTGAATTGTAAATTAAGGAAAAACAGTTGTCTAATGCTTTCCGATTTTCCATGGTATGACTACCAACTGAGTTTGATCCGTGACAAATACTATCCTTCAGAAACAATAATAATAAGTATCTCCACCATTTTTTAATGAAAGATTGATGTCTGGAATCCCAGACACATGTAAAACGAAATTTACGACCAAGAGGGGTGACTCATTCATTCAGTTGTCACGACTTCAGTTTTACAATTTTGTTTTTTGACTGTTTATATAGTAATGATGTATCTCCTTTGTTCACTGATATTGAATGTCTACGACTTTGGAACTCTTCAGTCATGATGTAACTGAATACGTCCCATTGTTTGTAGCGTTTCCATTAATCTCTTCCTTGTATATCTGTTTATGATCAAAAATGTGATTGAATTTTTTTTACGTGCTCTTGATAAACTAACAACTATTGAAAAACGTAACAATGAATTATTAGCTTAACGTAATTATAGCCTATGCATTTCAACTTACTTGTCACCGTGGTAGTTGTGTCACTTTTACGTCAACGATAATAGTGATTGCAAAAAGACTTATTGCTCACTTCTACATGACGTTCGTCCTGATGATATTTTCCCGATCGACAGCAAAAGCCTGTACATTAGACTATTGAGCTAAGAAAACAAAACACATCCAAAAGCTACAAACTGGCCCCGTCAGTTAATCCCTTTTCTACGGAAAGAGAGTTTCATTGACGTTTTTGGAATGACATTGCCACTCGCATCGCAAGTTAACATCCGAATTCTTTTTTTTAAGGAAATTAATTTTCTAAGTCATATAAGTGTAGAAAAGTCTATGCTCAGATCATCTAATCGACCAGCGCACAGAAATCAGTTACAAGTCCTGTCTCCAACCGACTGAAATCTAACTGAGCGTAAAGAAGTTATCAGGTCTAATAAAATCGTTTTATTCACAACTACAATACCTACCTTGAGAAGTAGTAAGTATTTAAAATTCGCTAAATGAAAATCATGTTGGCTTTGTATGTTAGTTATGCGAAAAGTTGTGATCCTTAAATAAATTTGGGAGTTTGGGAAAGCACAATATCTAATGGAAGAGAAAACCTACACAAGTTTTTCAAATTAACTGTATATTGTTCAACATAAAGGTAAATCTGAATAATGCGAGACAATCTGTACCGTAAGTTACAGTGTACCGAGAGTAAAAGTAGCCTAAATGCAATTCATTTTACTTAGCGATGATATGAAGTATACAGAATAAAACGCAAAAAATGAGTTTGTATACCGTGCATCGTCATAACTAATGGGTGATTTGATTCTACACTGCGTATAGCTGAGCTTTGTTCCTACAGAATTCATTCAACGCTAATAAATTTATCGTTAATTCTCATTTCTCCTCATAAAGTTCTCTTTAGTAGTTTAGTCAACATTTTATTCATTTTTCTATAGTTTGAAAGATTTTCTACCAAAAGAATATGCAAAAATTCGTAGTTTAGAAAAGAAAATTTTTCAACAGCATGCTGAATTATGCGGTTTAAGTGAAATTGAAGCAAAAGTGAAATATTGTCAATTTTGTCGCTCATTAAAAACGTATGGAATTACATTTTTCCTAGTAAAAGTAAGCTCTCTAACTTTTCTTTCTCTTGTTATTATCCCCGTACCATCCTATTTTAAAATATAAAGAACTACACAAGTTCTTCCTTTCTTTCTCAGTGTGTATTCATTAGTTATGGTGAAGTTAAATGACTATTCAATACCTCCACTTTTCCAATATTGTCAATAAAGAAGACATGTCACTAATTCTTTGTAAATAAAACGAAAAACCAATAGTTTTCCCTAATTTTAGCACTAGTCCCTATTAATTGTTAGAATTCTTTTTTTCTGTCAATATATTATATTAAAGAAATGTCAGTATAAAGTAGATGAAATACTCTACATATTGTATGATTTGTTCATGTATATTTTCTTGAACAATTTCATATTATATTTCTACACTATGGATAAATGAACTGTGTTTGAATTAAAAGTTAATAAAATTCAAGTATAACTGTATTATCTGGGAATCTTCATAGTATGAACAACATCACTTATAACTTGTCTATCTGAAAGAGAAAGAAAGTAATTTGGAGATTAATACATTAGATGTTAGTTAGTTTTCGTATTTTTTTCTTTTGAACATTTGATTGTCATAATCTTTTATTCCTCATCAACAATCTGTACACATTCATTTTCGCTGATCTTCAGCGTTTATACATAATACATTGTAATCTGTGATTAGAATTATAATTTCTGTTATATATTTGGAATTGCTTCCTGAGAATAAGTTTTATATCTAATAAAACAATGTCTCTTGATATTTTGTTATGTATATATTATGCTGATCAGCAATGTTAATTGATTGTTACTTATTTTTATCTTTTTCCCTCTAGGAACGAATCAAAGGTAAAAATAAATTGATACCACGTTTATTGGGTATAACAAAGGATAGTGTAGTTCGATTAGATGAAAAAACCAAAGAAGTTTTGAAAATTTGGCCACTTACATCAATTTGTAAATGGGCTGCCTCACCACATGCATTTACTATGGTAAAATACCAATAATAATATTGATAATAATATTTCATGGAAATGGTTGATTTTTAACGTAATTTTTTTAATATGTTTGTAATAGAACTTCTTCAATAGAGAATGATTCAAAGTCACAACCGTAATAGTCGAGATATTTTTGTGCTTAGTTATTTCATACTCATTATTTATCCCTTTTTGACGATAAGTTGCTTATGTCAAGGAGTCACCTCTTCGATTGACATCATTATTTTCTGACTTCTTTGCTGAGAGATCAAAATTTTAAAATGTAAAGTTTTTTAAACTTTATATAATTATCAATTTAAGTTTTTGATGGAATACTGTATAAAAGTTAGGAATTCATTGGACAAACTTTTTTTAAACATTCTATCTACAATTTCCACCTATTTTTTTCATCCTATTCATAGAGGGATTTTGAGTTGTTCTTATAATAAATGTAGCTATTTGAATCCTTTATATATGAGCAGTCTTGACTCATTAGTTTAAACTACTTGCTTTCGACCATTCATTATTAGGATTAAGTCTTGTTATAAAAATTCATGGCATAGTGAATAGTTAGGTCAGTATATTGGGACTCTTCAGCAAATAGTCCTACTTCAGTTTCTAGTACATGAATATGTTGCTAATGTAATGGGTTTTTGTAGGTTATTGAATTTTGCGGTTTGCACCACTCACTGACTTTGGTTGTATGGCCATTGAGAACCAGAAAGCACCGACTACCTGTTTCGTTCTAGTCCGAGACTCTTCAACTATGTGTACTGACGACTGTCGGAAATCGGGTCCAGGCCTCTCAGTTAAATAAAGGTCGAACATACGCTGCAAAGCCTGAAGGTCCTGGTTTTGATTCCCGGCAGAATAAGTATACTCACTTCTAAGGAGTCCCATAGTAGAAAAAACAGTCTTCCAGTGGTCCGTGGTTTTCACTCATTTCCTAAGGTCTGTTGAAGATATATACCATAAAACTCGGATTTGTATTTTTGTAATGAGTGACATTATTATATTTATCTCCAGTATTTGACTTGAAAACGTTATGTCAACTACTCTCCCAATATATATAGACACAATTCACCAAATGTGTGTATCCGTGGTTTACGTATAGTGATTATATGTTGTTTGTTTTTTGTACTGGAACATCTCACTGAAGCAATCATTCCTTGGCTTGTGTGAATAATTTCGTTTTTCTGTAATTGTACATCTAAATTACCAAGTCACTAATAACAACAATACATATAATGTAAGCATCATGACTTTGTAGTCTATTTTATACCTTTTTTAGAATTGTTGTTTACTTGAGTTATTCCAATAATTCAAAGGAATTGAATAAAGCAAGCACGGGTGGAGATAACTTAGTACTGATTATCACAAAGTTTTGTCAAGATGTACGTAGCTAACTAGAATATAGTGCTAATTAAGTATAGTTGATTCATATAAAAAGATTGATCTATTATCTCGTCAGTAAATAATATTAGAAGTGTTTCAATCAGAACCTTGAATGTATAGTGGAGGAAAAATTGGTGGAGATAACCAAAATTAATCGTTCCCTCCTTCCGACCGTTATTACAATTACTCTCTGTTTACATTCCTGTTGTCTTGAATTCGATCTTCTCAATCTTCCGCTGCCATGCACCCCACTTCTGACTACATACTACTTATGCCTGCCAATATAGGTAACATACCCTACATGTAAAATACCGAATATCCAGCATTTGTCTCTTCTCTTTGATCCCAAAATACTTCACTTCTAATTCATTCTTCTTCTTTTAGTAGAAAGTTAACTCTAGTATCTTTTCATTATTCTCTTCATTTTATCAGTTTTCTATTGGTTTACTCATGAGATGTGTTTTTGAATTCACTGATTTTTTAGCCACTAAAGTATTTTTTCTTGTTGTTGTTGAGTTTTTCAATATAAAAAAGTTACAATGATCATTGTTAGTGACAAGCTTTTACTTCAATTTTTATTTCTTTTTTTTCATTTATTGTACCATAGTAGCATTTATTCACGAATCATTCTTGTCATCATATTTTGTTACTTTTTATGTGGAATGAAATTTATTCTCATAAGTTCTATTTCATACTACTGAATCAATAATACTTTCTATTGACACAGTTAGTTACTTAATAATAATGAGAACTGTAGTAGTAGTAGTAGTAGTCGTGTGGTGTGTGCTACTTTTACGGACAGATATAATTAGTATGTATCAAGAATTGGAAATAGGATTCTTACTAACAGAAGTGGAGTATAACGAGAAGAGAAAGAAAATCGGAAGCAGTCTGAGTATCAATAGGCATAAAAGAGCGATGAAGCTTGTGAGAGACAATTTAAGGAGGATGTGCAAATGGTGTATTCAGTATATTGTTTTCAGATTTTACAAACCTATTGTGTGATCTTGTTTATTGCAACAAATTCGTTTACTCTAAGCACGTCTTCGTTCTTTTCAGCAGTAATAGTAATGGTCAAATAACTTGATTTGTTAACAACTATGTTGTAAGTTCAATCTCTAGTCTACTTACTTCGTTCCTGCTAGTCAGGCAAGGTTACTAACGACGAAAAGCATGTGTCTACTTAGATAGTGAATTACATTAGTTGAAGATTAAAATTATTGCAAAGTTCATTTCTTTTTTTCAACTTACTGATCCAATGCTTTGTGATTTAAATTCTCTGCTAACTGAATACATTTAATGTTCAAGAAGCTGTATGATATGTAAATAAATCATTTGGTACTCTTATTACTGTTGTTATTACTATTACAGGATTTTGGTGAATATTCACCAGATGAATATTATACAGCACAGACATCAGAAGGCGAACAAATCTCTCAACTAATTGCTGGTTACATTGACATCATATTGAAAAAACAAAAAGCTACTGATCATCCCGGTTTGCAAGGTGATGAAGAATCTGCAATGTATGAAGAAAATGTTCAAGCTGAACGGTTAGTTTAATGTGTGTTTGTGTGTGCATAATTTTCGTCTCAATTGTTTTAAGCATTTTCATCACATGAGTTAAAATTTCTAGTTCAAAGTAAGTCATCTAGTCGGTTTTTTCCCGATATATACGTTAGCCTATAGTTAAAGTATTCATTTTAATAATTTAAACAAAATTTCTTTATTATTCAATTGAAACATCATTTTGAATTGTATAACTGTCGAAGTTGAAAATTCAGATACATAAAATATCTGGAACATCCCATGAAAGTTTTAAATAATAATAATTAACGTGTTTTGCAAAATAGAGATGACTTGTAGGTTACAATGGAATCCAGAACGCACATTTCATTCTATTCATGGACTCACCAGATGGATGTACCTGCATCTCTGTGCTTATATTCATGCATCTTGGTTTCCTATACTAGCTACAATCCATCTATTCGATTAAACTTGTAACAAAATGACAATATCCAAACAACCCACATACGATGCACATATAATAACAAAGACTGGTTCAAATTCAGTCCTAAATGTCAAAGATAGGAGGGTTAGGACCCTTAATAATTATGTAATCAGGTGTTATGTTAATTTGAAAGTCATTTCTGTTTGTAGATTACGAAACATATTTTTAGTTATTTAATAAATAAATAAGACCCATTCTTTGAATACTGAACAGTCGACTGAACAATATTGACTTTCAACACATGTTACCAGGCAAGGATGGGAAATCGGTTAATGAAGTAGTGATTCACTACTGACTAAAGCATTTGGGATATTTGCTACATAAACCCAACCACCACCTACTTCGAACCACGATGTTTTCTATCATTAGAATAGGCTGAAAGAAAATTTGGTGCTACAAAACTAAGACGTAGAATTAGTTCAAGTCATTGACCGTTGAACTGAGTTGTGTTGGTGTGCACAGACTAACTGGCTGGGGTCCGCATGATCAGTGGTTGTAGACTCAGGTTGAATGACACATCTCAGAATAGGTCGCAATAATCTATATTCATTCTTTCTTTATCTTCAAAATTTTTCATACTTTTTATTCAACGAATTCAATCATCCTTCTCGAACCAGATCTACCACTACGGACAATGTTACTACTTCTACTATTCTACCACTTTTCTTAGTAATTTCATTCTGATGTGTTGATTTGGTATGACAATTTGAACAGAAATACATACACACCAGGTTCTAAGTCGCTTATGACTGACTGATCGACTTCTTGGATAGACTTTCTAATTCATTGACAATCTGAACTGACTTATATGTTTTTATTTTTCTCTTGATTATTATTATAAGCTTAATTTGTCAGTTTTGTTTTTTCCTTCTTTTTCGCTTTCATAATGTGCACTCTCTTTTTCTCTGTGTATCTGATTGATTATTGGTAGTAGCAACAAGGTTATTTTCACAAACCATATCATAATAAACATTTCACTTTTTTGCGATATACTGAATTGCTTTTGACTGTTAACTGTTTTTACGTTTGTGAAGAATAAACAAAAACTGTCACTTTGTATTTTTATTAGTAATGTCAATATTACTAATATTTTGATATTATGAAAACTTGTCAATTTTTTCGAAATATGAAATCAGTTTAACAATGTGTGTGTATGTGGAGTTTGCACCTGTGTCTTTTGTTATTATTGTTGTTTTAATAATTATTCATAGTTGGCATCTTGGGAACTATGTGTGTTCTACAATAGAGAAAGATATGAACACTTTCATCTTTTGTTATATGCGTAACTGTATTTGAAATACTGTGAAAGCGGTTTTATAATCTGTAGCAGATTAGAGATGTGTGTTTGGTACGTTCTTTGTTCTTAGTGACTGACAAACTGAAAGATTCCTATGAGTATATTCGAAACTAATTTCATATGGTAATAAGACTTTTAAAGTTCATCAAGTTCAGTAATATCGGCCAATACTCACTACTGGCATTCAATAATAACGTTTCGTACAATCAGATTGAACTTGAAAGGTTTTGATAATTATATTTCTATCATCGATGTATAACATTTGGGTCACTTAATTTATAATTCTGTTGACTCCCATTCTATATGTAGACCAAAGCCCGTTGTTCAATATTTTGACCGATTAAAATCTACTAACATAATTGAGGTCCACTTTCACTCATTAATAATTTCTATTGTCCCACAAACCAGAAATTGTACATTCCTTCTTGATATGTTTACAAAATACATCGTTAAAATCTTTATTGAACGATCATTTTTATTATTATATCTTTGTTTTCGTTATTATTGTTGTTATTATTATCAGGGCTACGATTGTTCAGCACCAACGTGTTCCTGTTCGTGGTCGTGGAAAAGATCAACTTGTCAATGGTGTAGTTGAGAAACCATTCGACATTCAACAACACAGAAATGATTTATCTAGTCATCAAATGAATACAAACGGTGTATGGTCTATTCATCAACAAAATAATCTTGTATGTGATGAAAATTCTACAGTAATCGATGGTCAAAGTGTATTAACAGCAACAACAACACGTCAAATGTCACCTGATAATTTTATGACTGGTGGAGTAAGTATATATTTCTTGTATTAGAATATATATATTAGTTGATCATTGGTCAAGTTTAACATTCGTTATTCTTTCCGAACTACGGTGAATGTGAATAAGTTACTTACTTACTTACTTACGCCTGTTACTCCTCGTGAAGGAGCATAGGCCGCTCACCAGCATTCGCCATCCAACCCTGTCCTGGGCAATCCTTTCCAGCTCCTTCAAGTTGTTATTCATCCTTTTCATATCTGCTTTTATTTCCCGACGTAATGTGTTCTTTGGCCTTCCTCTTTTCCCCCTTCCTTCAGGATTCCAAGTTAGGGCTTGTCTCGTGATGCAGTTTGATGATTTTCGTAATGTATGTCCTATCCATTTCCATCGTCTTTTCCTAATTTTCTCTTCAGCTCGAAGCTAGTTTGTTCTCTACCCCAGTGAAGGCTGTTGCTGATGGTATCCGACCAATGGATGTTGAGTATCTTGCGAAGACAGCTATTTATAAATACTTGTACCTTCTTGATGGTGGTTGTTGTAGTTCTCCAAGTTTCAGCTCCATACAGTAGAACTGCCTTGACGTTGGTATTGAAGATTCTCACTTTGATATTGGTTGAAAGTTGTTTTGAGTTCCATATGTTCTTCAATTGTAGGAATGCGAACCTTGCTTTGCCAATCCTCACCTTTACGTCTGCATCTGAGCCTCCTTGTTCATCGATGATGCTTCCCAGGTATGTGAAGGATTCTACATCTTCCAGAGTTTCGCCATCAATAGTGATTGTATTGCTGTTCTCCGCTTTGAATTTGAGGACCTTGGTTTTCCATTTGTGTATGCTGAGGCATACTGATGCAGAGACTGCTGCTACACTGGCTGTCTTCATCTGCATCTGTTCGTGTGTATGGGATAGGAGGGCTAGGTCATCTGCGAAGTCCAAATCGTCTAATTGATTTTGAGCTGTCCATTGTATTCCGTGTTTTCTCTCAGATGTCGAGGTCCTCATAATCCAGTCGACCACCAGAAGAAAGAGGAAGGGAGAGAGTAACCAGCCTTGTCTGACTCCGGTCCTTACTTGGAATGTGAATAAGTACCCTGTTTTATTTTTTTCGATTTGAAATCTGAAAAACAGTTTGTTTAAGTTCAGAGTCCATGTTTACATAGTAGATAAGGATGTTATATATCCTAAAACATTTCTAGAATTATGTTTTGCTTTTATGAGATCAAAAAGTCTGATCATTTTCAAAGCGTGGATTTCAATATTTCATTGACGATTATCAATATGATATCCTTTAAAAAGTCAATTAAATGGTCATATACAATCTAAATGTGCTTTTGTCAGTAATAATAATAATGAAAAATATCAGTTGACTTTCCAGTTTTGTGTTACTCTTTGACCTAATAAACACGGACTCCATATACTCGGTGCTGATCCATCCACACATGCATATCACTGATAATATCTAGCAGAGTTTGAGCTTATATTCCAATGGTTAAAATTTAATCTATCCTGACTCCTAAACTATAGCACCTAGCTCACCTTCTTCAACCCATCAAACAAAATAATGTTATATTTAGGTAATGAATACTTAAATTTTGTGCTTACGTTTTTCCAGTTTGTGCTCTCATTTATTGATGTAGTTACAAAATAGAAAGAATTTCATAACTGTGATTATTTCTCTTTCATTGAATAACAGGTTGATTTAAATTACTATAAATTTTCCAGTAATTTAAGCATAATTTAAAAGTGTTTCGTAGGCAATCAATAGAAATCCTTCTTATTCTTCTTCGTACAGGCTCCAAGAGATCAGCTATTCATTTAGCTATAGGTAATTGTAAATATTTTACACAAGACCGGTTAAAACAGAAAGATACTGATTAAGTGCTAGTCTTCCTATATACCATCCAAGATCTTATTGTTTCTGTTATTTAAATACCATTTCATAGTTATATTTGAAGCGACAGGCTATCAGGTAGTATTGCTGTGTATACCACTTATGTTGATAGATATAAGTAGTATGTACCATCAATCAGAAGTGTAATACCTAGAAGCAGAAGATTGAATAGAAGAGATCAGGAAGGGAAATAGAGGGTAATTTTGATGACAACATAATTGAGAGAATCATGAACTATGTAAAGGACAACTAAAGGAAGATATCGAAATAATGTATCTAATGTATGATTTTCATATTTTACGAAGGCATTCTGTAATTTTGCATTAAACAGTAAATTGATTTCCCTCACCTGGGTTCTTGTTCACTTTATTAACCCCCTTACACCCACATGTATTGCTGATTCAAACGTTTCGTATGATTAACTTGCTAAAGTTCACCTATTAAATCATTCGTAGTGAGTAGTAATGTTATACAGTGAAAAAAATTTCAGTTGTAAATAGATCTTACATATTATTTATTGTTTTCTCTGAAGAAAACAAATTACGAAAATGCTATTTTTAATATTCACTCGCTTCTTTATTCATCTCTTTTTATATTATCACTAGACTCATATTTTCCACTATCAAGAAATGTCTCCAGCACAAAAATCTCTCTTAGTTACAATTAATGAAGATTTGGAAACATTACAAGCTGCTAAAGAAAATTTAGATATTGGTCCACCAACTGAACGTCATCTACTCAATATTGGGACAGATGAAGTATGTGTTTTCCTCCATTTTTTGGTTTAACTTGTTTCACATATATTCATACTAATTATCATCTATTTGTCTCGTGTGTGTGTCTAATGTGAACTCAAGTCGACGCAATAAATCTGGATAGTGCATAATTATCAAAACCGCATCTCCTAAAAAAATGACAATTAATTGTAAAAGTGCTTATTCCTCCGAGTTTTGTGTTAGTAATATTGTAATTAGTACAAAGTGTTATCTCAATATGAATATCAACACTGGGATACAGATACATCCAGCTGACAAGTTTCAAATAAAGTATATAAAAAACTCATATCCAGATTTTCACGGTTAACTACAATTTAACTTTACTAATATATACTTTTTTGTTTTCCGTTACTTCATTTTAGGCATCTAAACGTTGGTTAAGTGAATCTATGGGTGCTAGTCAAGCGAAGGTGACTGATGAAGTCGGTGCTATGAATGCTGCTGTAGCTCAAGCTTTACGTTCAGCTAATCGAGCTGAATCAACTGATATCAATGTTGTACAACAAGGTCAGCCATTGGATCAAATACATGATCCTGGTGATGATTTAATGATGATGCAACAATCATTTCGTGTAGTTACCATTCATTTCCCTGCATTTGTTGATGATTTAAAACGTGTCGCTGTACTTCGACGTGAATCTGGTGCTTTGAAAGCTGATCAAACTGGTCAACCTATTATTGCTGATAAAACCGAAGAATCCACTCAAAATTTATTATCAGCTGCTCGTCATGTCGCTGATGCATTCACTGATCTGTTGCAATCAGCTCGACCATTAGCTATGGGACAGGTAGTTAATTGTATTTCTTTTCGATGAATTTGTACTATGGTAATTTATTCGAGTTATATCCAACATAAAGTGTGATTGGTGTTAATTTTTAAACGATTGAATCCATGTTTATTTATAACTACGGATATTTGAAACTCTTCTAACTCAGACGGAATCTTATACAAATTATATAGGTCGGATGATGGCACGCATGACTCTTTGACAGTTATTTTTTAACTCAAAGGAATATGTAGAGAAGACATAGGCTCAGAAAATGTTTGATATTCAAGAAGTCAAGTTCGAAGTAGAACGACTGTGTTTGTATAGCAACAAAATATAACCTTTGAACACAGTACAATCGGCAAGATAAAATTTACAACATGTGATCAAATAATAGCAAAGATCAGGTTAGAGATATGAAGTTGGAAAAAAAGCTATCTTAGCTATCCTTACAGAGAAAAACTAACTTTTATTGACAAAAAGCTAGTTTACTTGATGTCTCTTTAGTGGTTAACAGTCTTCCTCTTACTACTTGTTATTGTTGAAAGTTGTGTCAATTTTAAAGTATCTAGCTAACATTTCTTAGTAGTTACCATTTTACCGTTTATGTTTTGGCTAATGTAATACACGTTTAAGAAGTGTGAGTTCAATAGTGGTTCGCTTTCATGGAATGCTATTCGTATTCCTATTGATATAACCCAGTCTTTTGTGATCATACAATAAGTTCCATCAAAATTGATTGAAAATTCTTATATATTTCATACTGTTTGATATTTATCAGTTGTAAAATTACATTATATTAAGTATATCCATGAGTTTTCTCAGTCACTGATAATCTCACCAATACTGTCTGTTCAGCCCCGGTTATTGATAATGATGATTATAAATACCAATCGAATTCTCTGTGTTGTTTACTAATCAATTTATTTTTCAGATTCAAATGGTTTTCTGTATAACAATAAGTTTAAAATCAGTCTTTAATGTTAGTGTTGGACACAGTGTTTCATCAGCTTAATTTTATTACTAGAAAAGTTTGCTTATCTATTATCTATGTAATGGTCATAAAGAAAGTTGTAAGGCCTAGCACAAATATGTATTGAATTAGAATAACACACTCCAGATTAACAATAGTCATAGAAAATTAACGAGTTGAAGAGGAATTATGGTCAAAATAGTCATAAATAGCTGTGTTAAACTAGACATAAACAGTATATAGTTCTGAAGCAATTAATAAAATGTATGGACTGATATGGAAACTGTACTTAGACGGAGAATAAGTTCATCTTTACCATTGTGATCGCTGCTGACACATATAACTTAAGTCCTCTATTTGTAGATTACAATTTCCTCATATATTCCTACCGAAATGTCTGTATATACCCTCACTACTCATGTACTGTCTCTATTTTACTACTCTGTTACTTCTAGTCTATTCCCAAACTAGGTGGAAAACATATAGAGACAAGTAGGCAATCACAGGTCTTAGGTTAACCGTATCCCCATTATCTCAACAAATTAAAGTTCACAACACTTATCTAGCCCCCTCTACCTGGTATTTTACACATAACCTTAACATTTTCACCACATACAAACATTACTTAAAAAGCCCTTATCACCAAACACTAACAGTTTATTGATGTCTTTAACTTTCACCAATGTTATTTGACAGTCTATGCTGTCTCCGTGTATTCATGTACCTCTGTTTATGTGTAAGTTAAAAAACAGATTTCCAGATCATAACTGATCATATTTACATCATAATATTATAAATTCTATCTCATACTGTATGGAAACAGCAATCAACGTACTTTTTTCCAAATAAAAAAGATATCATTATTTTTGTTTCTATTATGGTAATTAGACACATGAAGAAATTTATCCAACATCAGATGATGGAACATATAATGCTAATCATGTCATTACACAACAGCAAGGTCCTGTATCGAGTAGTTCACGTAAAGCTATTATTGAAGCAGCTAGTCGGGTTGGTGCAGCTAGCAATGATCTATTACGTCATGTAATGCATGGTGGAGATGATGATGATGATTTATTCAACACAAATTATTTAATTTTAACTGATGAAGAAAGAATTTACCAGGTTCGCTTCCAATTATTTGTTTATTATTATTACTACTGTTGTCTCTTTTGCAACTTTTGTTTCTAATTTCTCTCTTGGACTAGCCAATTAAAACTTGATTGTTAATTAACGGATTTTATCATTCATCACTACGTATTGAAGCTATCATCTATTAGTCTAGCTTTCAGAATCTTAGATTAAAGATTTGTGATAGCTCCTCACTTATTTTCCATTAGTTCTCAATTTTATTATTGTCAATACGGCTGTTTAAGCTGATTGATCCAAACCTTATTCTATTTTGTAAAGTAATCTAACAGTTAAATTGCCAATAAAATAATTTGTTGAATAAACCACACTCGAGTTGTAAATGTTTTCCTCTTGGAAATGAAGTGAATATTATTTAAATCAATTAAAAGTTTAACTACTTAACAAAGGCTTATAATAATTGGAGCATATCTGTCGTATGGTACAATATGGCTGATTGGAACTTAAAAGGTCGACAAACATTCGAGCCCATTCCCATATAGTAGAAAACTAAATATCCCAAAATCTGAACCGTATCTTTACTTTTGATCATTTGAGCCATGAGCATATATCATTGATATATTTTGTAGGTCTCATAAACAGAGAAAATTCTTTCATTTACCAATATATATATAAGATTTGTCTTTTCAACATTTTCCTGAAACTGTTCTGTTATGCTGTCATATGAATCTGATGCTGACAGTACAAGCTTTTTATCCGCGTACCCAAATTGGCTCCTTGAGTGAGAAAACCGACAGTTAATCGGAAGCTTTTATTGGCCAACCAAATTGAGAGTATACTTACAACCCATCTATAAATAGATATCCTTCTCCCTCAAAAAATAAAGTCACATTTTCAATTTATAGCATATTCCATTTTCCTTAGAAAGTGAGTCCGAATCTCGAATAATAATGTGTGCCCGTCAGCATTTCTCACTTGTCTTTTGATTTATGTCTGAATGGGCCAGAGTATTACCTTTCCCTTCCAAAATATAAGTCTTCCTTTTTGAACTGAACTTCATGAATCGATTTGACGGCAAATCACCTCTCCCTCTTGGAAGATATACAATACTCAAGGGGTGTATTAAATCAGGTGACTGATATTTTGTTTTAGCTCTCCACATTGTTTGGTTTCTATGTCTGAACATTAAGAATTGTTGGTGAAAACTGAATATGCGTATTCGCAAATGAAGGAATTATTTGAACATCAATAAGATTACGTCGTATTTCAAAATTGACAGGTTTTTATGCTAATAATTAATAATTAAATGAAGTTAATTGCATTTATTATTATTATTATCATTATGTATCTTGATATATGAAAAAAGACAAAATATGTGTTTAGAGAGTGTGCCCGCTGTAATCGATCCCTTCCTCCGATCAGTATGACAATTGAATTTTGAACCATTTTGATAAATATTAACTTATAGCCTTATCAGGTCCACCAATAATAATAGATTTTAAATAAACAACCATCATTCTGATCAACGCCAATAGAGAATGTTACTTTATTTTACTACTGAATAAAATTGTTCTAATGCTTTTTTTTCATTATACTATAACAAATGCTTTAAAATAAATAAAACTTGATATATATTCCTGTTTTCTCTTATATATACATTTACACAGGATCAATTGTTAGGACTTGCTAAAGCTGTCGCCAATGCAACTGCTGGATTAGTTGTAAAAGCTAAAGTATTAGCTTCACAAATTACATCAGATCCTGAAGCACAACAACGTGTCATTGCTTCGGTTACACAAACTGGTTTATGCACTAGTCAATTGGTAGCTTGTACTAAAGTAAGTTTAACCTAGTTAATTGGGTTGTTCATTTGTTTTTATCCTCTCTCTTTCTATCTACTTTATTGTAAGTTAATTCAATCTTCAGTTGTTGTTATCTTTTTCTTTGGAAATTTCTGTTATTGAAAATCTATTAATCGCTTTGACGAAGAGGAATTTTTTTGTCATAGAGTTGTAGATTTAAGGTTATTTTTTTATTGATTATTATTTCAGATAGTTAAAAGATGACACTATATATAAATGTATTCTGTGTGTAGAAAATCCTTGGCTCTATGTGCCTTTTAGCTTTCTTTTCTATTTGTCGAATATTTTTACATACTTATCCTATAGATAATAAATAAATTCTCTCCTCTCTATTTTATGCGAGATACAATGTAAACTCGTTGCATACTTTTATGATATTTAGGTTTTAGCCCCAACTATTCATCAACCAACTTGTCAACAACAACTAAGCGAAGCTGGTCGTGAAGTTACATGGGCTGTAGATGGTGTAGTTCAAGCATCACGTGCTGCTGTTCATGTACCATCAGAAGATCCACAAATGGTTCAACAATCAATTATTGAGACTGAAACTGCAGCTACAGAAGTTCGAGATGCATTAGATCAACTTAATGCACATCTACTTAAAGGATCATATAAAGTTTGTGTTAAGTTTCTTATTTATTTCATGTTTTAATATGAAATAAAGGAATGTATGTGAGAATTTGATTGTTGATCATTAGAAGTAGTCGTTGTATTACTATTATTTCAATTTACATCTAAAATTGTCCAGCTAGTGTTTGCTCATAGACGATTACATTTTAATAGTTCGGAAGAATGATAATCTGTGTGTAGTTTAATCGTTACGTATAAGGCCAATGTATGATGTTATATGTTACATATATGATTCCTTTTCTCCAATTAATTGGATTAAAACAATACATGATGGTCATCGACACAACTGTTTAGAAAATCCATTTAAAATAATTAACCCAGTATGACTGATTCGCGTGTAAAATTCCCGAAGGCTAAATGCAATCTTTATCTGAAAGTAAAGTACTATCCCGGAAAACAAAATGAACACTTAGAATTTACAAACTACATTTATTAAGCTACTTGGTTTTCAAATGTTGTTTTGACAGTAAAGTTAGAATAAAAGATCCCTTATTGACATTTTATTGGACTTGAAATAATCAATTTTTCAAAGGATACTGGATTCAAGTAATACAAGGGAAAAAACAAACGAAAGTATGGAGTTAGAAGTACAAATGAATAGAAAATTTTTCGTTATAAAAAACCGGTAAACTTTATTAAGCTTAGTTAGACTACTGAATGATATCAAGTAGTATAGTAGCACAAACAAAAAGCAACCAATGATGTCTCTAAGAGTTCCCATAAAGCAAAAATGATACGAATTTCTTTATTTCATGAATTCTCTTTAGTTGCTTTCAACCTAAGTAAAACATTATTGATTATTTAAGAAAGCAATAGATGCAAATATTTTTTCATTACGTATTATTCCATTTACTAGTGTACATTTCATAACGTTTATCAAGAATCCAATACTTATGAATTTTCGAGTCTTGGGATATGATGTAAAGGTGTATATTAGCTTCATTGTAGTAGTTTTTGTGCTGAGTTTGCACTTGTTTCTTAGGCATTACAGAGGAGATTTTGGCGCTTTAGAGAAAACTGCGCTGATATATTAGAAAAGAAGTATGTACATGGTTCTATTCAGCCTTAAATAATTTTCCTTATAAATGCATTCGCTCTCAACCCTGAGTTTAAAAATTATCTTGGGATTCTTCTACTCCACAAACTCCCTCTTCTCAAACCATATTATCTACTTACTTCTTTTTTATCACTTTTGATAATGTTACTACTTCTGCTGCTCTGGGATTTGTGTTGGAAATTTCATCTTGGAGTGTTAATATAGTGTAGCAGCTTGGACCAATTCACGTATCTCTGAGGTTATTCGTTGAATATGTCCGACAGACTGATGTTTGTTCTCTTTTTAATTGATTATTAACTTGTGTAGAAGGGATTCGTCTGCGAAAATTAAAAGGTTCAGTGAAATTCAGGTTTCACACAATATTGTGGTGTATATGTTTTAAATTGCAATTTTTTAAATATCTGGATGCTTTCTTCCGTATAAATCTACCGTTATATTTTGCCTACTTTCATTTTCCAGGGTTATCAAGGTGATGCTTTGAATAGTTTCCAAACTTCTTATGAAGACTTGAAACAATATTATACTACAGATGGTCAACGTATGGTTGCATCTGCACGTCGTCTTGCACAAGCTACAGCTCTTATGATTGCTGACATTAAAGCACAGGCTGAAGAGTCTGGGGATAATTCGGATAGACAGAATCGCTTATTCCATGCTGCTAAACAACTGGCAGATGCTACTACCAACTTGATTAATGCTGCCAAGGTAAGTGAAAAGTTATTTCTTCACTTTCAAACAAATACGGTCCCCTTATTTTGTTTGGAATATTATGGCAGCCCGTCGACACGACGCGAAAAGTATTGAATGGGGCACTACTGTTCTAAAATAAGTAAAACTAATGAATAAATATTAGGTAAACAAAGTGCTGTTTTTTTTATATTAAAATGATCAAGTAACTTATTCATTTGTCAAAATTAAACAATCTAATGAGATAATAAACCATACCTGACTGCTCGGTATATGTGCAATACTGTTTACGCAATCAATGGATGAACAAGGAAGGATTTAAGGTGATCAGTCTGAACAGAAAACTCTTACGTTTATGATGATTGACATAAATCATTTGAGAAAACCCTACTTACATGAAAAATGTGGTGTTTGGTTTTTGGCTACTTATAAGTAGTTCAGATGATATTTTTCATGAAGTAGGGATTTGTATGAAGTGCTATCGAATTGAGTGGAACTACACATTGTATCATTTTCAGAAATACATAGTTTTTACCTTTTTATATTTGGTGTTACCATTAGCACTGTTTAGCTTAACCGAGTATCACTCTCTTCATTTTATTACGTTTATCTTAATATTAGGCTTGTTCATCTAACCCGGATAACATACAACTCCAAACAGAATTACGTGACGCTGCAGATGAATTGTATACTCTTGCCTATTCAGCTGGAGGTGAACAATTTCAGACACGTTTAATACATAATTTACAATCTGCTGCACGTGCTACAGTAACTGGTGCTACACAATTGGTTAACATTAGTCAAGCAGCTACAAAATATTCACGTGGTAATAGTTATCAAGTGAGTAGTAGTAGACTAAGTGATGAGATTTTTTATATTGATTATCCCTCACCTAATTTTTGTTTTACTTAACTAATTAAGTAGCTAGCTAACCAACCCGAGTGCCTTGTTTAGAAAAATTTATATGGTACACAGAAGATGATCTAAATAGTAATAAAAATCGACTCATCTTATACTTTTTAAAGTTTATCTCACATGTCTGAACTCAGTAGACCGCAGAGGTATGTGTGATATTGTTATTGACTTTATCTAATCCGCCCTCTTTTTTGCTGAGAGAGTAAGGTGGCTTGTGTTTCTAGATATCCTTGTGAAATGTCTTAGGAGCGTTACATAATGACCTAGTCATCTAACTGATTTTATGGTATGATTTCGTATGAAGTTTCCTGTCTCATATGTACCCTCACTACTTCAAAAAGTAGCCTGGCAAGTGAACATACCATTACAAAATCACCTCTCGAAAACCAGAAAGCATATCGTTCTGAGATGTCTGGAAAACACTTCAGAAATGGTTCAGCAATTTTGAAACCATTTCCAGTTAATGTAACCCACAAACCAACGGATTCCATTTTTTGAAGACCGAAGGAAGCAACAGCTAAGGAAAAGAAATGCAACATTATCTTTAAGATAAATTACGTCAACTATAATAAACAATGTGTTGAGCCGCGTGGAATGATCCCTTTTACTTGGATATAGTGTTTTTAACATACATTTACTTGTTTACTCCTGGTTCCCACCCCTCGTGGATGGACATAAACCGCCCACCACCATTCTCCGTCCAACTCTGTCCTAATCAACCCTTTCCAGTCGCTATTCATTCTTTTGATATCGGCTTCCGATTTCCGGGAAGGTGTATCTTTTAGTCTTTTCCTTTTCCTGTCGGGATTCCAGGTTAGGACTTGTCTCGTGATGCAGCTTGATGTTCTCCTCAATATATGTTCTATCCACTTTCATCATCTTTTCTTAATTTCCTATTCAACTGGAAGCTGGTTTGTTTTCTCCCACAGGCTGTTGCTGATGGTATTCGACCAACGGACATTTCGAATCTTGAGTAGATAATTGTTTATAAATACTTGTACTTCTTTGATGATAGTTCTAGTAGTTCTCCATGTTTCAGCTTTGTACAGGTAGAACTGTCTTGACGTTTGTATTGAAGATTCTGACTTTGGTATTAGTTGACAGTTGTTTCGAGTTCCATATGTTCTTCAACTGTAGAAATGCCGCCGTTGCTTTTTAACACATTTTATGAATTTTCCTTTTGTTTAAAAGCAAAAAAATTTAACATGTGTTATACTTGTTTTTTGTGACTATTTTTCTGGTAAAATTACGATTTATCATCTGTTTTGTTTAACATTTGTCTTTACTTTTCTTCATAATATTACGTTAGTTGCATAATGACACAAAGAATGTGACTAATCTTATCCCAAAAACTGTCATTACAATTAGAGAATCGCGTGCCAATCCAGATGATCCAATGGCATTGCTTGAATTAATTGGTGCATGTGAACGTTTCGTACAAGTGAGTGAAAAGAAAGATGACATTGTAAATTTTGATTATTCATGGCAATACACCATAATTTGTCCTATTTTTCAAATTAAACATATTTTTATGTGTGTATGCATTACAATTTGTTTACTTATATTATAGTTTCATGTATTTGCGTAATGGTGATAACTTGACTAACAAAATAGCTTAAAGAAAAATTTATTTTGAAGAAGAATTCATGACTTTCAGTCAAACTATACAATAATCTCATAGTTTTTCATACATTGTTTGTACATCTAATTTTCCTCAATCTTAATATTAACTTGAAAATAAGTTTTTTTATTATAATACTTTATAAGGAGATTTGTATAGTTAAGAGGTGATTTTAGTCACAAATTGGCATGCATTAAATAAATATTGGAAATATTTGGACAATAACCGTCGGTCGTTTCATTCTAATTGACAACGACTTGTCGATAATGCCCATGTTCAACATACCACACGGGATGACTGAACCTAGCATCTGTTTTTCTCTTCTGTATACATATTTTGTTCGTATATTCTTGTTGCTACCTTGACTTGGTTGTCGGGTTTCCCTATCGTAATGAATCAGTCGGGCTATACTGGCTGAAACAATCATTCCTTAAGGTCTTACCATGTCAGACAGGTCGTTTGAACGATGGTAAACCAAGGTCAGAGGGCGAAGTCATATTGCTGACTGTTCAGAGGTGTGACGAAAGTGAGCTGTTTCCCTCAGACAGCCAGCATGACAGTGATGCTGTCTTCTCACAAAGGAAGGGTGAGGTTAGAAATGGTCGACCTTGAAAATGCACACCTTTCCTTATCCCACAGATCTTCATCTCCAGTGATAAGGTCTCAACAAGTACTGATCTAATACAAAAAATTACCTACAAAAAGGTCGTGTGTGACGGGCATTTTGTCCCTTGGGCACTCAGGTCACTAAGACCAACTCTAACCCAATTTGCTTTCCAGGTACCCGTAGAAGAACCTTTCCACGGTGTGGGCAACCGGAAAGTAATAAACGCCCTGTAACAGCACTCAATACTACTGTATTCTTAAATCCTTCTAATGAGTATATATATATATATATATATATATGATCTCACGGTTTAAGGGCAGACAAAGAGTATACACATACGATATTGTAATCGATTCTGATCCATGTTATTCGAAGTCTCCAAACACTGGTTACGATAGTCACCGGGACTCCAACCAAGTTGTCTGCATCTACCAACATGGCTCAGACTAGAAGTTAGTGACTTCAAGAATTGATGCCACGTTTTAGTTTGGCCGCTCCTAACTTTCTTCCAACCATGCCGAACACCGGTTAGCATTGCACGTCGTGGTAATCGGTGTTCGGGCATACGTAACACGTGGCCCAACCATCTCAGTCGATGAAGATTCACAACCTCATCAACTGATTTACCATCATTCCCTAATACCCTGCGTCTGACCTCACTATTACTTACCCGGTGATCCCAACAGATGCGAGCAATATTTCTAAGGCATCTGTGGTCAAATACTAGTAGCTTACGGGTGTCTTCTACTCTTAAGGGCCATGTCTCGCTGCCGTAAATTAGAACAGAACGAACTGCCGCGCAGTATACTCGTCCCTTAATTGATAGACGGATTTCTCGCCTTCGCCATAGATGACGTCAGTTGGCAAAAGCCAAACGAGATTTTCGAATCCGTGCTGAGACTTCGTCAGACGCCAACCCATTATGGCTGATCATACTTCCAAGATAAGTGAAGTTGTCAACGCGTTCGACTACTTCATTCCCTATCCTTAGTTCAGGTGTTGACGCAGACCAGTCCTGAAGCAACAATTTGCATTTAGAGGCTAGACACGCCGTGTTCTAAAATCTGAAGGATGGCAAATATGTGGTCGATGCAGTCACATCCAGGTCTGAAGCAGGCCTAATTTTCTCGTTTTTTGCAGTTCACGAGTTATTAAATTTTTTAATTAATGTTTATCACTTAATTTACTTGTATGTGTCCTTTTTTGTAGCCATGTACAGCAATGGTGCGCTCTAGTAAATCTTTAGCTCCAACACTATCTGATCCATCTATTCAAGCTGCATTAGAAAATTCAAACAGTCAACTGGCTAGTGCTTTAGAAACATTAATTACTTGTTTAATAAAAGTTGCACCACTTGCTCGTCATCTTCAGTTAGATGGTGCATTGACTAGATTAACTCGTTTATCAGATGAAGTAGCTGGAATAGAGACTAGTTTAATTCAAGGTACACTAACTCCAATACCTGAACAAAGGGTAAGTAATCTATCATTTTCGTTTTATGAATAGAATAATCTTCCTTTTTTAGGAAAATAAGATTTAACACAAAAATTAAACAAATCTGTCATACTGTTCTCATCTGATTTATTAGTAGTATATATATATTAGAAGAGTTTTATTAACATTAAGTTTAGATTGTTAATTTGATTTAACATTATAGTAACACCTTTTCATTTTTATGTATTTTTAATTTGGTACTGTGATAACGTTTTGCATTTGTTTTAAATTATTTTGCTCTCGGTTTGCTTGTAAGACAACACACTGAAGATAATGTCAACTTATGATGGAAAGCTGAAAAGTATGAATCTACGAAAACATCTTTATAGCAGGAATTATAACTATCTATCACTATCATCGAAATATTATCGTTTAATACTTAAATAAAGAGATTTTTCCGTTTATTTTATTTTTAAAAAGAACTTTACATAAGTTTTGTTGATATTTCTTTCATTATTCAGGTTGAAGATTGTTGTCATTTATTAAATATCAGTGTCCATGATGGAACTGAGTCAGCGAAAAAATTAGATTCCATTATAAATTCCATGGCTAAAATGGACTCAACTGTATTAAATCAACCGGAATTAGCAGGTCAGTCAGCTGATCATTTAGCATCGGCTATGACTGGACTTGTACATGCAACTCGTGGTATAATAGCTGATCAAAATAGTCTTATTATTAATGGTAGTAATAGTAATAATAATACATCAGCTGCTGAATCAACACGTCGAGCTGTTATTCAGGATATTCGACAAGCTGTACAATTATCATATGAATTAGTAAGAGCAGTAAAAGATACACGAATAGCATGTGATGCTAAACAACCGGCTAATGCAGCAACAGTTCAAAGTCATAGTCAACAATTAACTACACAATTAATTGAAACACTAACTCGTTGTTTACGTGGTCTACCTGGACACAGAGAAATTAGTGAAGCTACTCATTTAATTGAACAAAAACGTTCTCAATTAATTCAATATTCACAACCGAATCAGATTAGTTTAACAGCACGATTTGTTGAACCAAATGAATATCAACGAAAACAAACGGATTTAACTCAAGCAGCTGTTGAATTTAATCAAGTAAGTTTTATTATAGACGTATACTTGTTTCTTTAATGATTTATTTTTATATTTTTGTTATGAAATTGTATTTCTTTTTTTATTAAATTCATTGTATACAACATTGAGTATTGTAGAGTCAGTTATTATGCTAAGCCCATATACCTTATTCTAGCTTTCGGACATCCCATTCTATTCATTTCTACTTGAGTCATATTTTGACCTTGTCAATTATTCGCTTGTCAGTCTTGATCGTTTTTATATGAGCGTATATGTGTGCGCTCTTCTTATCCCATTAATCACATGTCTATAGCTTTATTTCGTCTGACTATAACTATTGAGTAACGCTTGACTAAAAGGGGAGTTGGCATCCCAGCCATCTCCACTGCGCATCATTTTTACTTGGCTTCATCGTGTGTTTGCTCGCTGCACGCTTGCGGATTATTATTAATCATTAACAATAAATTATCTCTATAACTGGTGTTCAGGCTTTTGAATAATCTCGAGTAAATCCGTAATTGTACTAGGAGATTAAGCCTACCTAAAATACTCAGTTAGCGGGATATTATTTATTGGAGTCAGATATTGAGGACATTAGCCTCAACAGTATATTTCTGAATGCAAAAATAGTTTTTATGAGTTCAATTGAAAGAAAAAAAAGGATATGATCTCAATTTTCACTTTTGTTTCAATTTATAATCAATGTAGAACTTGACGTAAATGTGTATTCTTTTAATTTCCTATCATAACACAATGGAATAAAGTTAACAAGTAATCTCTTTGATAGTCACAACAGGAAATAATCAAAACATAGAGAATATAGTTCAAAAGCAAAGGAATCAATTTGTGGAATAAAAGTTATTAAAATTTTAGAGAGAAAGATAGCGAATTGATGTATCTTTTCAGAAAACTAATTATGAAATGAACTGGACGTTGAAATTAGGAAGTAACATATTACTTTAAGAACAATTGGCTAAAATATCTAATGAACTCGTGCTAGATAAATATATATGGTTTACAGAAACCTTGAGCTTTTTTTCTATTCGTTACAATAATTTCAAGACTGTTATGTAGATATTGTGTTGCTTCAAACCTTATTTACGTTTAATATATTTCTGTAAAACTGAAAATACGAACCCCTTACCCTTTGTGTTCAACCAAATCCAGCTAACCTTCAAATGTGATGATTAAATCAAGAGGTTGAAGTAGTAAATAGATTGTATGAACTAATTTAGATAAAAATTACAATCTGTCCCTCACTGATAACATATCATCCATCACAGAAAAAAAACGAATGATAGAACATCACTCTTGGTGATAGACAATTGATTAGGAATTATGAACACAAACGGAATCAGGCGTAAGTTTTGCGATCGCGTAAAAATAACATTAATCAAGAATTTCGTAGTTATGCATCGCTAATCAACTTTATTAAGATAACCATTGAGAAACAGAAAGCACTAGAAAGTCGTTTTGTCTATGTCAGGTCTCTTAGTGATGTGTATCCACCAATCTGCATAAAATCGAACCCAGGACCTTCAGACTTCGTGATGCATAACAACAAAATCTAACAATCTCTACAATCCCTCTATAGTAATTATTGAAGAATGTAGTATAGAAAAATAGTTCACGAAAAAATTTTAAGGATATTATTTTTTAAATATTTTTCGAAAGAATTCCATTATTAGTTGGATACTAATAAGATGATCAATCAATCACTAAAAGTATGGTAATAGTACTATTGATCAGTATTATGTGTTTGATATTTTGGATGAAAGGGAAGTGGGATTTTTTAAATTTCTTAAATTCTCTATTACATGAAATTGCATAAAAGGAAACTGCACTTGGAAAATTTGCAAAAGTCTATCATTCTTTCCTTTTTTTATCAGTTAAAATTTTCTAAATAGGAAGTTAGCTGTTGTAAGTTTCATTGAGAAATTTAATATTTCAATTTAGTGCTCTCATCTTCTCGTTAGTTCTTTTTATCTCAAAAAGTTTGAAATTGTTCATTTGTAAATTGTAAATCATAAGATTATCATATATTGTGTCAAAAAAAGCAATAAAATTGTTTTCACTAGACTATTCTCTAAGTTAATTAATACACATTTTCGAGTATAACGATAATAATAATCATAATCGAATTGAGATATTTCAAATAAAACCTTTTGTAACATCTAGAACTAACAGTTTAGGGATTGTGGAGATTGTTAATTTTTTTATTGAGATCATAAACCGATCAATGTTAGACCACCATTGAAAACCTGGAAGCACTGGACGGCCATTTCGTCCTACTGTGGGACTCCTCAGGGGCGCGCATCGCGTTCGCGCGCGAGACTGAAGGCCCTGGGTCCGAATCCCGCGAGCGGAATCGCGGATGCGCTTTGCTGAGGAGTCCCACAATAAGACGAAATGGTCGTCTAGTGTTTACAGGTTTTCAATGGTGGTCTAACATCAATCGGTTCATGATCTCAATCAAAAATCTACAACTAAGTTTAATCATATCAATTTTAAGTAGTTAAAAGTTTATACCCACAATATATTCATAGATATCTATTCATCAAAGTAGGACTTAGCACATTTGTGTATCGTTTCAAGTTAGTGAACCTCACATTAGCAGCTCAGTGGGATAAAGTCGACATGATATAAGGAGCACAGCGAAAAATAATGTCACAAAAAAAATTGGAAACTAAACGTGAAAAATCCATTCCCCTGACAAACACCATATAGTTCGAATAATGAGCCCTTAGAAAATGTACATATCTCTTTAATACATCTTTTAATGTTCAATACTAGCATATCTATTTTAACGTGTTTTCTGAGGAAGTAAGTTAGTCATAGGTTCAAACCGGATTCAACCGGTTTTAGTAATGGAATAGTATCATTAACTTTGTATCCAAGTATAGAATTTTTATATTTGGTTACTTATTTACTTCACTAGTTGATAGTCAAGACATCAAACTAATCATTTCGAATATTTCGGTATCTTTCCCCCCCCTCTCACTTATTGAGGAAGCTTTTATTTTGTAGAAGCTATTCAAAAGTGTTTGGCAAATTTTTTTAGTGAAATATTCTTATATTTAATGAAACTCTCATCACCAGCTTATATAATTTTTACATCTGAAACAAAATGCAAATCTTTCAGTGATGTGGGCTAATTAAAAAAAGGAAATCATATTTTTTATTTCTTAATAATTAATTAATTAATTAAGTTAACGCCTAGTGGATCATTATAGAGTACGTTGTCATAGTTATTTGTCAGATTTTGTATAGTGTAATAAGATGTACTAAAAGAGAAATCAAGCATACGGCCAGTATCTCATTGTCACTTGCTAACAAAATTTACGTAGTTCTGCATTGTAATAGGTTTCATTGTGGCTGTGTATTTTCGCTTTTGGCTTTTAAAAATAATCATACATATGTGTGTACTTTTTTGGCCTTTTTTCCAAACTAATCATACTACATAAAATAATAAATCTGTGTCTCATTTAATTCCTTAAGTTGTATTTACGGTAATCTTGAGAGACGAACTATGGATAAATGTTGCACAATGTGTTTTTATTCTTTAATCTCTTATTTAATAGGATTAGGAATCTATCAAATTATCAGTGTGAAAAGTAAGAGACATTAAGTCGAAATAATGGCATTCTAAAGATAACAAGGTCCTGAGTTTAAACACCGGACGAGAGGTAGTGGATACTCATTGTCTAGGAGTTCCAGACTAGGACAAAACGGTCGTCCTATGTTACCAGGTTCCCAATGATGATCTAGCTAAGATGATTTAGCCTTTCTCTTTATATGTGTTTTTGTTCACATCCTATGTAAATTTCTGGACTTTAAATTCTTCTACTAGTATATTACTTGTAAGTTTTATCTTTCTATTATGTAGTATATCCTTGGGGTAGCTTCTAGGAACGAATGATACACACACACACACTATATATATATATATATATATATATATATATATATATATATATTCATTCTTTTTCTCATTGTGAACTTTTAACATCATAGGATACGACAACTTGGACCGATGTACATACGTACAGGTTCTATGTTGTGACTGACTGACATTCACATCTTACTGACTCATATTTTCCTACTTAGTAAATTCAACACCTGAATATAATCGGATAAGCTTTTAGTAAAGATTTGATTATTAAACATTATATATTCTTTGATAATTTTGATTTTGATCATTACCTTGAAGAAGTCTAGACAAGAGTTCCAGATGAAACGTTGGAATTATCTAAATTTCAAACTCTGGGATTATTTCAAATATAATTTTACACAAATAATGTTTTCCATATACTTGGCGCCCAATTTCTGTCAAACTAACCGTTCAAATATTCACGAATATTTTTTTATAAAATAATGTGGTTTTGTTTAAATTAAAATCATAACCAACATGATTTAACTGCTACAAGTTATATGTTTATGCATTGACTTCAAATTCCAAATGTGTTGGGGATGTTAGATCCCCAGAACTGACTTGGTAAATACCTTATTTTTGTAATTCTATTTTAAAAATTTGAATTTCTTGTTTTCGCGCCAAAAGCGCTCATTTTCGCCTTAATGTCGTATTTCCCACTTGGGAGGAACTTAAATGCTATTGGTTCGTTATCTCTTTTCGTATGTTAGTTCGTACCGTTTCCCAGGGACATTTCTATGCGGTATATATACGCTTGTGTTGTGCTTGTTGATGTTCGTGCTTCTGGCTGCTTGTGGAATATATTTCCTTCTTCCGAACTTGGACTTCCTTCTCTAGTTAGCGAGGCTGGGACGCATCGTAATAGCTAGCTTATTGGTTATTGTGTCACAAAGTCTTCGTTCCGTTCTCAGATTAGGTGAACTCTTCAAACATAGCAAAATGATACCTGTTATTCTAACTATTTATAAAATTCCGATTACTATCATTTTAACTGCTTATTCTCAATAAATAAGACTGTTAATGTTATAATGAAAGGAAACTATATGTTTGTGTGCATTGACCTAACGATTGCTTGAAATTGATCTGAAAGAATAATGTGTAAAATAATTAACTAGAAAAAAAGAATGGGATCATATTGTAGATTATTTATGTCTATGAAACTGAAATCTGAATTTTCAAGCTCAATTTTCTTGTCTATAAACGATAATTTAAGGATTAATGAAAATTCTGTGTCAAATAATTTTAACCACAAAAGAACTAATTTAAATTTGTTTAAAATGATAAAATTCTGAGTTTCTTTCTATAGATATTAATTCATTCCTTATTTATGTTTATTATATTTTAGGCTACTGGAGAATTACTCTCTTCATATTCACCTGGTTCATTTAAACGAACAACACGTCGTTTTACCGGGGCATATGATTATTTAACTGATAAAGGCATTGAATTATCTATATGCAATGAAAACTTACCAAATAATCAACAATTTGAACCAGTTGTTAATACTGATCTATTAAACGGACTTATTAATGTTTCAGATCAAAGTTATGTTTTAATGAATGAAGCTAGTCGAGTTTGTTGTCAACCTGAAGCAGAAAATCTAAGAGGAAAATTCCAATCAGCAGCTAGGTAATTAATAATTTGTATTTTGTTATATTATGATGATGTCTGTCATCGGAAGGAGTACCGATGAATTACATTAACCTTGCACAAGTCTTATACTCAAACACTTTTGATCAAATCATAGCTTGTAGCAAACTGTTATCAGAAATGGTAATTTCAGGGTTGTCCACTTTCCCTATTTTTATTTAGTTTTGTCATAGGAATTCCCTTAAAGATATCTTTTTCATCGTCTGACTCATCAGGAATTAGTCGCCTACCAGTGGATTCTCTTGTTGACTTAGAATACGCAAATGATATAACTGTTTTATGAAGACTGAAAATAAAAAAGAATCTACTGACCTTCCTTATTCTAAAGGCAAATTGTTGCTTCACGATTGGTCTACGTCAAAAATGAAATATTGAATGAGCCTGAAGTAGTTGGTTGCGTCGATCACTACATTTATCTAGGAAGTCTCACCAGCCCTAGTGGGTTAGTGTTCGACGAAATCTCGGCACGGATTTAGAAGCTCGATTGACTTTTGTCTACTTGTGTCACTTTTGGTGTAGGTGGAGTATCGGTCTACCAACCAAAAAAAACCTTACTGTGCATCAGTTCACTCTGTTCTACTTTATGGATGTGAAACGTGACCTATAAAATTGTAGGATATTCATATTTTATTAGTATTCGACCATGAGTGTCTTCAAGTCATCGATCGCATATTTTGGGATCATCGAATTAGTAGTTCTGAAGTTAGACTCAGAGTACTAGGTATGGTAATTCGATTGACAAGGTAGTGAATCTTTGTTGACAGGGGTCACTGGGGCATACATTACATATGCTAATCCACCAGCTATCTCGACGTGCGACGATGGTTGGTGTGGCCTCGATCCATAAAAATACTAACTGTTGGATTGAGTCATATAGTTAAGTGCAGACTACCTGGTTGCGATCCGCGTAATTATTGTAACTAGTGGTTGGAGATTTTAGGTGACATGTCTCAAAATCGTCTATAATGGCCCAAACCTCTTTAATTCTTCTTCATGAACTACATTCTTAACGACTATTCTTTTTGGTTATTATTGTTACTACATTATTTTGACTCCTTTACTCCCCATCTTGTTAATTTCATCCCGTCGTTCTGATGTGGTGTGGCAAATTGGGCTATCGTACACTTGTGACAGGCTCTACGTTGGTTATGACTGACTTACACAATATGTATCTTTCAGTTGTTAATACAGCTAACCTTACATCCAACAGTTATATGTTTACAAGCGCTGATTGTTTGATTTTTTTTAATCATGATCGATTTTAATCATTATCATTTATTATTCTTTGATAGACGATGTTATTTTTCTTACATACACACATTTCACATTCTGAAAACTCAACCGACCCTTCAAATTAATGAGAAAAATGTTTCATATCTATGTATGTTTAGTTGATTACGGATAGTGTTCTACCAATTTTTAGTAATACTTAGTTTCATTAACATATATTCGGGTTCAAAGAAAACAACTCAGTTGGCGTCACTATCTTCAGCTATCGGCCTTAGTGACTGGCACATGTGTTACGAAAATCATGTCGGTAGGTTCCATATCATGCATTATCCGATGCTGTGATTTGTTAGAACAAGCAGTTAAGTGGGCATCTAATAACATGATACTTCCTGGTTAGGGTTGTAGAAATGTTGGAACTCGGTAGCTTGAGATATTACCAGGTATGTCTCAGAGCATAAGCCAGTAGATGACTTACTACAGTTTTATTATCGAGTCTCCATAAAAGTGAAATGAATTAATTTAACCAAAAATTTCTTCCTGGTTGTATATACATTTTTTTAACTGAACTGTCCCTACTATTATAAACCATTTTCATTCACTGATTTTTATTTGTTTATTTATTTTTACTGTACTACTCTCCTACATTCTATCGTTTCACAGTTTCATTTTCGTATTTGTCTGGTGTATATTTGGCTTTGGTACTCATTTGAATTAGTATTTACGTGTTTCAAATAAATAAATAATTAGGTATATTCCCACCATATTTCAGTATACTTATTTATCGATGAAATATTCATTCATTAAAAGCCGATTTATTACCTCTGTCCAGTATTATAGTTAGAGCTTAAAAATTATAACTATCTACTGTGAAGTAAGAATCATCTCGAACTTCTTGAACTATATTCCTGTCATTACTTGTTTACAAATCATCCCAACCAAAACCATTTCTCTAAATTGTATTCCGTTTTTTTCCTATTTCCTCACTGAACAGTCATAATAATATTGTCCATTGGTTAACTAAGCTTTCTCAATTGTATCTATTTTTTTTAATTTAGAGATGTCACAGAAAGCATAAGTCAATTATTGACAATTTGCACTTCAGGTGTTAGTCCTGATCAACGAGAATGTGAAGCAGCGATTCGACGCTTGGATTCACTTCGTCCATTGTTGTTAAATCCAAATAGACCATTAAACCAGCATAGTTATTATGATTGTGTGGATACTGTAGCGAAAAGTCTTGAGGTAATTTAACGGGACAATGGGTTTTTTTTAAATTAACTGATTTTGTATTTAAAACTTGGGTGGTTTGAGAAGCAGTTAATTTTTGTTTGTATTTAGGTTTTATAATCAGTTGATTAAGAATAGTAAATATCACATAGGTAAACATCTTGGTTATGTTTTCCATCATCCACCCAAGTTAGCAACCTATCTTTTGTCTGTCGATATTTACTACTTATGAGTAGTTTGAGGTGAAGTCTTCTAAAAACATTTTGCAGCAATTTCTGGTTAATGCCATCGGTACACTTCACTTCTTACAGATTATCGAACTTACACATTGTATAGTAACTCTGCAACAAAGTCCTATAATATAACTTGGCATTTGCACCTGTGTTGTCATTTTATCCAAGAAGTTCACTTTATGTTCAAATGCATAAGTACATAACATATTAAGCGTATTATGTCATGATAAGTTGTAATCTTAAAAAAGACAGTTTTATTCATATATGATGTTTTTTATAATTGGAAAAATATTTATCTACATTAGAGCTCATCCTATCAATTGGTTTATTATCTACCTTGCCAATCGTTATAGTTTAATACTCAATCATGAATCAATGTAAGGTAGACCACTACTGAAAACCTGGAAGCACTGAAAGACCGTTTCTTCCTAGTATGAGACTACAATCTCCACAAACCCTATTCTGATCATAATACTCAGTCAATAGATAGTCTAATAGAGCAACCATTCACTACTCTTCTGTTTCCAATGGTTTTCATTATAATTGATTTGGATTTATATAATAAAAAGCACTAGTAGAATATCATGATAAGTCAATCGTTTATGTTTTTGTACTGCTGTTTATCATGAAGACTAGTTTTTATCATATTCGTGAAATCCCACTTTTATTTGTTTATTTTTTTTTGTTTTCCCTTTAATTTATTTTAGCCATTAGCGGAAAGTCTAAGGACGATGTCTACGTCAGCTCGTGATCAAAAACCTAATGAATTCAGCTTTGCCGTACGTCAGTGCGCTAATTCTGTTTGTCAGTTAGTTGAAGAAACTGCTCAGGTACTTTTTTATTCACATTTGTTTATTTATAATGGATTACCAATAGTAACAATAATAATAATGTTTATTTGATTAATGGTGTACTGACATTTTAATCATTAACTAAAATGAAATATATAATGAATATATCACTACTGTCAGCTAATTAGTTAATACAAGTTATTGTCAGAAAACAGATAAACATATTTATTTTGGGAATTGAGTAGACTATTATAAAGTGTATACCGTTCGATTTTTGAATAACAGTCTAATTCTTCCAACTTTCACCTCATGTGTTATATATTCAATTACAAAACAACTGTTTGCAAAAAAACAATTGTTACACAATTGATTGATCACTGGGTGGTGATCAATGTCATGTGTGTCAAGTCCTTACTGGTACAGATCGACTGCTATCGACCAAGTTGCAATGTGGCCACCAGTCTAAGTGACTCGACACTGCGTGGTTGGAGGTAGTAGACAGGAAATCCTGGACTCGGGTTTCGTGCTACTTGGCACTCGTTAGCAAAGTGTACCTGTAATCTTGAGGGAACTGGTGCTCCCTGACGGATTCAATCCCGTATCACCCAGCTTCACAGTCAGAGACGTTACCACTGAGCTATCCGGGCCGTGACCGATCTCCTGTAGAACTGAGATGTAATCACAATTCCTGTCGACTACCTCCAACCACTATCTAAATAATTGTTTCCAATACATCGTTTAGTATTTTAAAAGAAAGATCAAAGAAAAAGAAGAAAAATTATACCATATTTATTTAAAGTTGTAAAACATGATTACCTTTATGCTTTTACTAAATGAATTAGTCTATAATATTGTTAATTTGTTTCCAGTAAATTATCATAGTTATCTGATATATCATTTTTTGTTTAGCTGACATTATCAAACTACTATATTGAATGACTAAATTTATTTTTTTTAAATACAGATTTTTATTATTATATAATCTCTAGTTAATAAAAAGAAAATTGTCCCCTTCCCTTTATTCTTATCTTGTTTTATATGTACCTTACTGAATGGAACTGTAACTTTATTGATAATATAACTCATTCAATCAATTTATTTGTAAATGTATTAAACTTAATCAATTAGTCACTTTTTCTTTAAGTTAAAATATTCATACTGAATATGTATCATGATTATTTCTCTTGCTGTTAAACTTGACCTTAATTACAAATAGTTGATAGCTTATTCATTAATCAAGTAGATGATATTCACCTATTAAATAGATAATCTTTCATTTATTCATTGTGAATTTCCTTAAATTTATATCTTCCTCAGGTCATCGCTATCTTATTTGCCCTACTGTATAGACATTTAATCTCCTTTATTTGATTATTTATGTCGATTTCTGACCTTTTTCAATATTTCTACAATTAATGTTCATTCACAGAATGACGCATGATTATACTTTTTATGGAGTAGACTACACACAATTGAAAGACAGTCAAATTACATAAAGAAGAATCGTTGTTCTTCTGTTTCTCCATTATGGTATTTACCTAGTGGAATATTATTGTTTCCTAATATTCGATGTTATAATATTTACTTGATTTACACTTTAAAACAATCTTATCTCAAATGAAAGTGTTCCTCCAGTTACCTAACTGTACTACTATTGCTACTGTTAATACAATTTCAATCGAGAAAGTCGTTGTAATATCCATAATGAAAGTGTTATCAATAAACTAGGTACTTCACTATCAGGTTATATGAGTAGTGTCGTCAAATATCACTGACATAAATCTCAATAGATTCACGTAACTCCAGTGTGTTTTTTTATCAATCACAATTAACAAGCAACTCGTAAGTATAACACTTTCTCAGTATTATCGATTATCCTATATCAAACTATTCCTGAATTAAAGATGATCCAAGCCATCTGTATTGTTAACTGAACTTGTCTTTGGTAACATTTTTAACGTCATAGTGAGCAGCTTACGTGTATTATTACTCTAGCTATTCTTACATGAGCTAAATATGTCCTAACTAAATTCATCTAACGGTAGGAGAATATATATTTGTTTAGCTAGCACACATGGATCTAATCGTATTAAGATGATGATGATCATCATCATCATCATGATAAGTAAATTAACAGTCGAAAATATTTCTGTTGAACGTCAGATACTAAATGAAAAGGAGGTAGATATGATAGATATTTATACAAAAATACCTTATCGATACGTAATATCGCAGAACAATTAGTTTATATAAAGGAAGTTGACAAAATTAACAGAAGACAAAAGAATTATTAGTCATCATACACAGTAAGTAGACAATAATGAAAATAACAACCAAAGAAAGGAAGTCGAAGTTCTTTTTCTAAGGAAAAAATAAATAAATAAAGTAGAAGTCATGAATAGATTATAAGAATCTAGAGAGTGTATACATCATCCATTCTTCCATTTGTATATACATATACAATATAATTTTTCATTTTATGGTGTGGGAAAATATAAACAAACTAACTATATATATGTATAATTTATTACCTTGATTGTAATTTATATTCTCATTAAATAAAGCATAAAATAATTTAATTTTTCATTAAAATAATACTCTAGAATTTTGATGGAGTTTTGTTCTCTGATCCCTGAGAACAAAACTCCATCAATATCATCCACCTGAACAACAAATCTTCTCCACCATTTCAATACTTTATAATTGAATAAGAGTAACAATAGAATTTTCTTTTTCAATTTAACAACAGTAAATCTCACAATGGATATTTATTTATTTATTTATTTATTTAATGAAAACAAGATCTTTTTATGTAGAATATTTGTTTTTAACCTCTTACAGAATTTAATATTTTATTAAAGTTAATAATAACTTAATGTTAAAAATGTATTCGACTTTCAGTTATAAAGGTTAACAGTTTTGAATCTTATAATTACCTACTTGGACTTGGACAATTAGACAGTGTTACTAACCTATATATATATATATATATATATATATATATATATATATATATATATATTACTGTAGCTGAAAAGCCTAGTCTATTTAAATTTATAAGTGATAAATAAGTTACATTTTTGTTGTTCAAGCGTTTAAAATAGTGCTACCATAGTTTCTTTATATAGGACTAATTAATATATACATACATCAGAGTAATGTATTGTTATATTAAGCATATTGAATATTTCAGTTTCAAAATAAGCTATTCTCATAGTATTTATTGTAAAAGTTTGAATACATTAAGTAAATTCAGTTGAATTTTAAAAATAAGTTTGCATAGATCTTGGCGCAATTTTTTTTACAATACATGAAAAGTATTGATAATTGAGCAATATTGATCATTGAATTCAATGGCATTGATTCACTAGTGACATGTTGGTGAGATGTAATTTCTCTAACAGTCATGAAATAATACTCAAATAGAAAATTTCAATGGTAATACTGTTGGTCGATCGTAAATCAGAATATGAGACAGAGTCTGAACTCCTTTTTTTGTAAATAGAACTTTAGTAGTCATAGATGTTGGCATATTTGTTTCAAATTTAATATTGTCCGTATTATCAGGTTGACCAACTTGCAAAATGATACATCCAACCCCTCATCTTTCTTTGGCCCCAATTCTCTTCTGTAATTTTGGTAGTTCTTTTCAAAATACTCTCAGTGTTTGTCAAATTTATTGATTGTGTGCAATTTAATTTTTACTTTTGTTTACTTATTACATTATGGTTTAACCATTCGCACCTGATTCTACTTACACTTCACTTTCAATGATAGTTCGAACTCTCTCACCGTAATTCCATCTGTCTTTAAGTCATTCTCATTATAATCACCTTTTTATTATTTATATATGTTTTTTTCAAAGTTTCCACTCATTTTCCCCGTATTAATAATGGTAATTTCTAGACTGCCTATCTAATTGGATTAGCCGATCGTATTGAGAATAGAAGAGTAAGTGGAGCTACTAGTATCAGTAGTGGTATAAGCAGTCCACCTGGAAGTTCATCGATAGATTTGGATTTATTTATACAAAGTCAAAAAGAAATACAGTCCGCTTGTAATGCTATATGCGAACCAAATGTGAATAATCGTCAGGTAAGATATATTTCATTCAAATTAATACTAAACAAACATTTATTCTGGAGGATCTGTAGATTTTATAGTATTTTCACATTTGAAATCACGAACCGATCTTAGCTAGATCGCAATTGAAAACCTGGAACACTGGAACGTTATTTTGTCCTAGTATGAGATTTCTCAGAAGTACACACCCAAGAATACGCACACAGAAATTAAATGCAGCGCCTTCGGTCTCGCATGCGAACGCAACCTCTAAACCACTAAACCGAACATCCAACGACATTAATATCTAGTTTTAGTCAATCCATGATCTTGCTCAACCCTTCATTCACCGCTTGGGAGAGACAACTGTCTCACAGCTGACACGGGTCAAACTGCAGTGGTCACGAATTCTCACTAGAAATCTCGGAGCTACATCTTGAAATTAGTAACTAGTGAGCATATAACCAGTGGAGTTCAGTCCGCATCGGGCGTGAGACAGCTGTCCATCGCATGCAATAGGTGAAGGATTGGGAAAGATCATGGATTGATTGAAGTTAGACATTCACACTGTTGCATGCTGGCTCAGTGATCTAGGGGTTAGGCGTCCATGCGCGAGACCAAAGGTGCTAGGTTCCATTCCCGTGTATGGAGTCGCGGACGCGCACTCCTTAGGAGTCTCATTCTGGGACGAAATTGCGTACCAGTGCTTTCAGATTTTCATAGTGGCTTAGCTAAGATCATTTTGTGATTTAAACTGTGAAAATAAATATTTCTTTATAATAAATTATGTGAGGGGAATAGATAGGACTTTTTGCCTGAAAATTTGTGTTCATCTTGAAGAGTATCTTTTCAATATCACGAAATGATATCAACTAGTAAACGATTGAAAATCAAAGAGCTGGAGACAGCCACTTTGTTGCAATTTGGAACTCTTTAACAGTGTGCAGCCAATAAGTATTGAACTTAGGATATTCAGATATTTATGGGTGTAATATATATTAATAGTAGTATACTTTCAGCTAAACAATGGTAAGATCAATTCTTCAGTAGTTACAGCATTCTGCTTTCAACCATCAGGTAGTAAGTTAGAATTGCACTATTAAATTTTGTTTCAGCGATCGAGAAGTATCAAAGTTGAGTACATCAATGTTCATTTGCTTTACACACTTGGTTCCATAATATGAAATAAGTGTTTTAAACTCGAAATTTCCCTTAATATCTATTACACACTGTGCTTCCTCATAAACATTCCAAAGTAATAGTTTGATGGTTAAAGTATCCAAATTTCAATCATTTGGTTATATGTCTGAACATCATTCCATATATTTCGGTCTGGATTGGCCCAGAGTACGATCACTTACCTTTACACTATAACATTGGTACAATACCAAATACTTATATAAAAGGATTACATTAACTCTGTGATTTATTGTACTAACAGTTTTTGTTTAACTGTTAATTTATTCTATATTCCTATACTTCTGTGTTTGTAATATCTAAGTAATTTCCTCTACACCTTAGGTTATCTCTTTATCTACTGAAATGGCACGTAGTGCCAAAACTCTCTGTGAAGCATGTAGTCAATTGGCTAGTCAGACTACGAATATAGATACCCGACAACGTTTGAATAATATAACAAAGCAAACTATGCAATCAATTACATCACTTATTCAACATCGCGGTAGTACTGTGGCTACAGATGTGAATGGTGAGTGGTCTGGATCAAATCGTCAACAAACATTAACAAATGCTCAAGCAGTCAGCGCAAATGTTGCCAATTTAGTGAAATTAATTACAACTGAACCACGATTGGTTGATTTAACAACTTCACAGGAGCGAATTACAAATACAACTAAAGAGGTAATTCAATTTTCTGTTATGCATATTGAATGATTCGAATTATGTTTTAGGTAAATATGTATTCTGATAGCTTCTAAAAATTATCATATATGACTGTAAATTGAATCCAGTGAGAATTATTAGATTTCCATTTACATCTTTCATGTGATATCTTCCAGTGAAAACAGTTACCACCGTTCTGTAGTCGCTGTTTTTTCTTTCAGTGCAAAAAAATCTTTCTTCATACATGTTAGCAAAAGGAACTTCATAGTAGCTAGCATCTTATTACGATTTTTAAATGATTCTGATATAATCTCGTAAACCCATCAACGCCAGTGCCTCACCAAGTTATATTAGGAAAAAATTGAATAACTAGTAGATACTGGTGTATATCACTAAATATCTATGACTTTCAGTAATCTTAAACGAATCTTATGTAGAAACTCAACTATTACTGAAAAGTATCAAATATAATTTGGCATATATCTATGATTTCTTGTCAGCTATGACATAGTTATTAATAAATCTTGTAAATACCTTTTCAGGTTACTTACAGATTCCAGATATGTATCTCGAGTTGGTTTATATATATATATATATATATATATATATATATATATATATATATATATATATATATAAAGTTGAAGAATCAAACAAATAGGAGAGTAACACTTTGGACAAGTTCATCTTTTCAACTTACCAAACACGATCACAAGAAAAGTCTAAAAAGAAAAAGAGTGAGCATAATGATAGAATGTGCAAAAAGAAAATCATGTATGGTAGATAAGGAATAAATACATATGGACTAATGATATGTTAAAGATAGAGTAGTCAATGTATCTGTAACATTATTTTGAAATGTGTAGTCAAATCGATTCCACTTTGCAACTACAGATATTTCATAATTTCTAATCAGAAAGCCTACAGCTTTATTCATGACTAGACGGTTTGTGCCCAAACTACTATCGATCACAATTCTCAACTTCTTACTTCTCTGTTAGATAACTCAATTATTTTCATGTATTAAAGTGGGGGAAGGGAGGCTTCTCATGGACACTGTTTGCTCAACATAGAGAACTGTTTGAAGTTGAGAATGGGAACCATCGAATGTCAGCCTGGTAGCCTAAAGACAAATATGTCTCTATGATGACTGAAAATCCTAAATACCATCTCTAGCAAGATCGTGAATGGTCAGCAAGGAGTCAGCTGGCTGTTCAATGTTTCCTGGTTTTCAATAATTTTCTAGGTGAAATCAGTTCGTAATGTTAATTCTTCTGATAGAACAACGTCAAATCCTTTAAATTTTTTTAAGTGCTTTACTGTCTTTCAATTGTTTTATCTTTCCTTTTTTTTCAATGAATTTTTGTTTTGAATGATAATTTTATTCCATCCATTTCTTGCATTTATAAATAGACTCAACGTCCAGTTTGTGTTGCTGGCTTAGAAAGTCTTAATGCAACGCAAACTGTATTAAGAGCTGCTCAAAATTTACTATCCACTTCTAGAATGGGACCGTCAGAAAATGCTTTTATGGCTTTTTCATCGGCTAGTAAAGATCTATCTAACAGTATTAAAGTATTGGCTAACGCTATGCGGTAAGTAATAATGGTAATAATAGATGAATGATGAAGAATAAAAAGATATTTAACGGATGTATTCATATTTTTTTCTTTTAAAATATGTTTAGTATTTTTCTAGAATCATGTTTATGATACTTTGACTCTTAGATTACAAATAATATGCAAATGAACTGTGGATATTTGTTTTCAACTTCATTGCTAATTATAGTTAGAAGACACGTATATAGTTCTAGTCCATAGTAATATATCAGTTTACTTATATTTTTGCCCTTTCAGATGCCGTTATCTAGGCCCACTACTGTGGATAGGACGAAAGGTTTTTCAAATATTTAAATCACCCTGATATGATTATTCAATCAATTGTAAATCTGTCTCAGTCTTTCAGGGATCAGTCGTAGATCGAGTAGCTGGGTGGTGACATATCTATGACACGAACTAAATTTTACGGGGACCGTCAATCCCCTCAATATTACAACTACCACTAAACCTTGCTCTGAGGTTTCCTTTCGACTACCTCTAATCATCTAACATGTCAGTCGGTTTAGGTAGTGACTGATTATACTATTTATGTCTTTTAGTCGTATAAAAGGTTTCATTAACGCTTTATAGTTAGTTCATATGTTTCTTAATCTATAAAATTTTGCGTAGAATGGCCATAAATTATCAGAATACTATAAGATAGATGAACTCAATCTTACCTATGAAATTGAGGTATAATGATTGTATACCTGATTGTTAAGACTAAATTAAATTATGTGAATTTATGTGATCCTTATAAATCGTCAAGTTACAAAGTGTAGAGTTCTCTTACCATATGAAAGTAAGTACTTTGTCAAACACTTCTAGTGTATTTCTTTTCCTTTTTTTCGCATTCACAGTGAAAATGCTCCTGGTCAACGTGAATGTCAATATGTATTTAATAATATCAAAAAATTACTTCACGAATTACAAGATGCTCGTATTGCTAGTATGGAAAATCGACTACCACCAAGACGTGAATTAAATGAAGAAGGTTTTCAACGAGTAAGTGGATAATTTGGTTGTTTATTTTATAGATCGAAGTAATATTATCTCGTAATGACTAGGGAGAGATGATTCAATCACCGTAATGAATGATTCAATTGTTTTCATCAACCGTGAACAATTCAAGAACCAGTAAAAGCCAATATAGTAACTGGACAACTCTTTCAGTCTAATTTGAAATTCATCAATAATGTTGTACATCCACAGTTCACATAGGATTCAATCTATAGTCTTTGGAGTCCCATTGTAAACTTGTTAGGCTCTACTTCGACAAAAGGAGTCAGAATCCATTGATTGATATCCTCAACCTTAGTCAACTAGTGACATGTGGAGTGATCTTTATCCAACATCATGTATAAGTTACCGTCTTATTCTTGCAAAATCTTAAACTAATGTGGAACAACTGTCCAGTGTTTTACTCTCTGTTTTTAAATGGTTTTTTAGCTAGTAAAAGCCCCCGATATAAGAAAAAACCAACCACTATCCCAAATATTTACAATCTAATTAAACACTAATGATGGATAATGTAAAATCACTTGCTTATTGCACAGTGGTTAGCAAATGGTTGTGTTGTTAAAAAAAACATTTGTTCTGTAAATTCCAACTTGTATTTTTTTCCATTAGAAAGATAATCCAATATTCGATTATGACCAACTTTGTAAACTTTGGGCACATAGTGAGAATGTTATCATTAAACTATTATTTGACTGGATACCTCAATATTCCAATTGATTTGTTGAATGTTGAGTAGGTGAAGACAGTTAACAATCTATGATTGACTGGCGATAAGTGTGAAAAACTCGATTCTTTTAAATGACGCATCAAAAATCCCTGAGATTGTAGATATATTTCTGCTGGGATGATTGTCAACCAGTCAGTAAAATGCATTCCTTTCGATCACTACTCTCGAACCACCTAATAGACTAAGGCCATATGAAGTGAAATATTAACCCACAATTTAATTGTTTTAATAATCGGTAATAAATAAATCCAGTTCTTGAAAGATTGAAGATTTTCTTAGCATTTAATTCATTTGTAATGATATGACAAAATTTCACTGAAGAGATTTGCTTAGTTATAATAGATAAATAAACATGTAACCACAGTCATCCGATCGATAACTTTATAAGTAATACTACCGTATGATGGTTATGTGAAGAAGAGATCGTTTTGAGAAGAACAACAGGTTTTTCATGAAATCTCACCTATTGTATTGTTATTACTCTGACAACACTTTTTGAGTCAGCTGTTAGTTTCCTATTTTTAATTGATCTTTTAGAATCTTTGTGTTCCAAAACACTCCACTGTCATACCTACTTTGTATTCGTTCTAGAGATATGTAGTTTGTGTTTGTGCGCACTCTACAGCCATCTCTCCTCCATTTCTTCTTCTCCATGTCATCTGTCTATTATTTGTGTAGAATTGTAGATATTATAAGCAGTATAACTTCTCGTAACTGACATGTTTCTTTGTGTTTCTTTTTTCAATGAATTACATGTTTTATTATTATTATTTACAGCAACTGGCCACCAGCGTTCGTGCTTTATTAGATTCAGCACCGGCTGTAGGGCGTGCAGCTTCTTCGGAAGCAGAACAACTTGGTCGTACTATACTTACATGGGACTCTTATCTTCCTGGTTTAGTTTCCGGTTCTATAGCTGCTGCATCACGTTCACCTTTGTCTAGCACACAATTAGTCTACTTGGATCATGCATGCACTGTTTTAGAAGCTGCTAGTCAATTAATTACTGTTGCTAAGGATTCTGGTGGTAATCCTAGAGTAAGTAGAATATTGTGTTAGACTTTCGATTTTATGTGTTGGGTTTTTCCTATTTATTGTGACTGGCTGCTCCGACCTGATTGTATTGTTATTGTTGTGTATTAATAAGCTAGCTTAAAAGACTGCGTGTTTCTATATCTGTTTTTTTTTATTATTTAGGCTGTACATCTTCATGATAGTTTAAATGAATCTGTTCGTGGTTTAGTGGATTCATGTGAAGAATTTTTAACCATATTAGATGATGTAGCTTCTCGTCAAGGTCATGTGAGCACTCTTATTGACACTTTGAATCGCGCTCAAGCACAAGTATGTGTTCGGTTTTTAATCCATTTTATTTTTCTATATTTATTTTATTCAAGATGTAATTTATGGTGATTTGTTCAATTTGAAAATTGATAAGGAGTAAATTTTATCACGAGCGTAAATCATCAGAATAATTATTGAAAATCAGTGATAGATAAACGACTGTCTCGTAGTAACGTATATTGATATATTTAATATAACAGTGCCCATGTAAATTAGAATAAAACCTTAGTATGCTCCGTAGATTTACAACAGGTATGTCACTAAGTAGTAACTAGTGTGATGATCGTTTAATTCTTAATGCTGATAGAATTACATCAATCAAGTTGGTTACTGGTCTAAGAGAATCGACATCGCATACACTATGTTGATATGTTCTTTAGTTGGAGGTATTCACTAGGAAATTTAAGACCTTAGGTCCAGGATAATCTTCACTAGACAACTTGCTGTACATGCAATCCTGAGGGAGTTGATGCTATCCGTGGGATTCGGACCCACATCACTTGGTGTTGAGTCACTCACACCAGAATCATATTACAACTTAACCGATAAAAATTCATTCGTCATTAAGCGCTGGTCCAACATGATATTGACCACTAATCAGTGATCATTCAATTGTAAATACTTCATCTCTACAGAAGATCAGTCACTGACTAAGTAACTATAAAGTCCTATGATGTGCCTTCGAGTTCCGGAAGGAGCGTCAGCTCCCCTGAAACTTCGGGTGTCCCTTTCTGATAAGTGCCAACTGGCACGAAATCTTGGTCCGGGATTTTTTACCAACTAATTCCAACTACATAACAGTTCCGTAATTTTAATGACTCTTCAGATGATTTCAGTTAAGGACCAAAACTGTCTTTACATTATTTCATCTGTTAAAAATTATAATTTATTGTAAGGGTGAAAATAATATCCACTTTTTTCTTCGCATTATTATTCATCTCTAAGACATCACTTATGAAAGTATCAAATATATACGTTGTTTCTTAGCGCAGCAATCAAGTACTTAAATTAAGAAGTTAAACAGAGGGTTTCAAGTGTTTATGTCAAATCGATTGACAAAGCTGTCGGTCATGGCCAATACGTATTATCAAGAACCTTCAGCGTACTCATGTATCCTACTTTCATAGACCGTGTTTCATATAGAGTAGTACGGAGCAGATTATTACGCAGTACATACTTGTTATTTGGTTGACGGATAAATATCCCAAAAGATGATTGCTTCATTTAAAGCAATTCGTGCATCGGCTCATAATAAGATGATTTCTCCCTTTTTCTATATTTCTTTATGTCAATTTTATATAGTTTGTTAGGACTTGTTTCGACACACATTCACTTGTGACTCATAAATCACTAGTGTTTTTTTTTCTCATTTATCCCATCGTATCCTTAACATGAGAATATTTCATGTAGATTTGTAAATTTACTTTATTTTCAAATCCATACATATTATTATCCCCTTACTCGTTTTCATTTTAGTTTTCTTTTCTGTAAATATATTAAATTATTATTACTAAAATTGTGCCTGCATAATTTATGAAACTTTACTTCAGATTGATTTCCATTTCTTGTCCATTCGTTTATCAGTTATGTTCTCTGCATTGATGTTGATACGAACAATCGTTGTTATTATTGTCTTCGACTTCAGTGAGATTGTAATTGTAATATTAAAATTAACCCATTGTATGTAGAACTGTATTCCGTGTAAGATAATTTTTGTACGTATGGCTTGTTATTATTATCATCACTTTTCTTTGGATAGGCTGAAGAAATCATTCAAGTTCCTATGGATGCAAGATTTTCTGATTATCAAACACGTATGTTAAGAATTGCTCGACATATGGATCAGTTGAATCAAGCTATTCAATTGCGTGCTAGACAACCTGCTTCGGATGGTGAGATTGCTCCTTTGGCTCATAATTTAACACAGGTAAGGTCTACGTTGTTGGTTTGTTTGGTGCAGTCTGTTTTTTTGGGTGCGTATATTTCAGGTATGTTTGTCAATGATGATTCATTTCAGAATCCCTACTCGTGTAATAAGCTAATCATTAAAAATCACATATATCTTGTTTGTACGTGACTTTTGAAAAACAGTTAATTTAGCTTCACTTTCAGTATGTATGTATGTGCATCATTTCCATAACATTTTACAGAAATAAGATTGAACAAAATGGGGTGTTTTCTTTATATGATGTGTAACAGTGTGGTCTAAGCAACGATCCTTATCCTAGTCGGTACTCATCAGTTTGATATAACCACATTCCTGATTACTTTTGTTATTACCACTAGAAATGAAGAGCCAGATTATTGTATACTATAATGTTAACTTACTAAAACCATTTGTATAACTTGAGATTAGTTGTTATTCCACTATATAAATCCCCACTGTTTATTTGTCTTCTCACATAATTTCTTATTGATTTTTCAAAACTATTGACTCCATCATCGTCACCTCTTTGTCATTGTTTTTATAATATTCGCTTCTCTCCCTCTATGTGCCCATGTAAACTGGAGCAATTTGAAAAGATACATATATCAGTTAGGCCATAATTTGTTTACGTATAACTATCCGTTAATCATTTACAGTTTTTTTATACGCAGGTTTCTTCTGTGTACTTTTTGATTCTGATACTTGTTGGAAAGATGGTGTGTCAGTTTAAAAGATGCTCATTATAGAGATATAAAATGTTTATATGAGACGAATTATCGATTAAATATCATATCTGTTTTTATATTCTCGTTCTTTCTACATCAATACCAGTTCGAGTATTATTTGTAAAACTAAACATTTATTTATTCAGACAAGGAATTAGGGAAAATACATTATTTTTTAGGTAAGTGTATGAAGTGGCAGAATTAATTCGGGACATTTTAATTATGGACAATAGTCAATCAGCTATTGGCAGACACTGTTAATATAAAGTATTACATGGAAACTCCTAAATTCAGTATTCGTCTATATTTCTCGATAATTTTAAAATACTTCTGTTTTGTGCATCGTCTATTCAATTATTGATTTTACCATTATAACATTTTGTAATTGTTGTGTTAGTTAACTTTTATTTGGCATATACTTATGTTGTTCTCACTATTATTATTATTATTACTATTATTATTATTATCAGTACTATTATTATTAGTCATTTAATTGTCTAATTTATGTTTAGAAACGGATATTCATGTATTTGCTATGTGTATATGTGCCTAATTTTCAATGAAAATGTACATCCTGTAAAAAAATCAACGTAAATTACATGTTCATACATGAATTTATGTATGATATAACAAGAGTTTTCACTTCGTTTACAGTTTACCTAAATACTAACTATATTAATTATCAAAATTGTAAACAATAATAATAATAGTCACGCTCGAGTACTAAGTTTTATAACAAATTTTTTTAACAGATTATGATGAAAAACTGGGGCTTTTTTAAAAAAAAATAAGTTTTATTTCATATAAACAAATCCAACTGTCATTATATTATGATGTGAAGGTTAATTACAATATAAAATGATTATAGTTTTACTCTACCCAAATTTAAACTTCAATCAAAGTTGAACCAAAATTTAATTTGTTTAGTGTAACTAACTTGTTATTTGTGTTCAATAACTTTGTAATAGTTTATCTCTCTAGCTCAGACACACTTTTTGACTGATACATTAAGTAATCCTTAATCGGCTATTAAATAGTGATAAATATTATGTTTTCCAGTTAGCTGTAGCAAGTGAATCATAATTAATTTGTTTATATTCTAATCATTCAGCTTACTGACATTAATCGACAAAAACACCTCATTTAGAATTTGAGCTTAAATAAGACGATATATTAGTTTACCATCCAATAGACCATTGGTCTGTTCAATTACTTCATGTACGAGGGGTAGTGGCAATTGTTTTACGGTTCAATAGTAACGTCTTCAACTGTGACATGTGGTATCAATGTACTGTGAATAAATCTTATTGATAGATTGAAGTAAGGATGAAATTATGTTTAAATTTACCTATTTGAGTTCATAACAAAATATCGACAAAGGAGAGTCTGCAATATTAAGAAAGTAACGCAAAATAATTAGTGTTAGTTATTTTTACGTCAGATTATCCAAACTGGATGGTTTAGTTATGAGATTTTTTTAAATATTCTGTATAAAACTTTATCAGAGCCTGTTCTAATCATGAAGTCATGAAAACGAATTAGTTTGGTCAATTTGGCATTTCTGAGATAGGTTCAAAAACTTCACTACTATATTTGAATTAAGACTACCTAACATCACTAAGAACATCCGGTTAAGCTACAAATGTTCTGAACCACTTCATAATATTCATTCATGAATTCACATGAGATTTTTTTTTTCAAGAATAAAATTTCTGGCTTCAACTCCATATAATGACGATGATGCTATTGAAAAATGCTTAATATAAAACAACATTATCCAGTATTCCTTAATTTCTAGTGATTCTTTCAACTTATATCCAGATCCATAACAGAGGATCAATTTTCAAGCAATAAATAAATTTTGATAAAGTATTTAACTATTAAATAATACGATCAGAATTTGTCGAGAATATTTATAATGAAAGTTGGGATAACTAATTATTTCATATTAATGTAAATACATATCAAATATAAGTGGGATTATTGTATGAATAGATAACTTATTTACAATATAGATGAAATACTGTTGCGTAGACAGCAAAATTAATGATTAAGTTAAAAATTTGCTGGTGTGGAGCATTTCAGTTTACACTAATCTTAAAAATATATTATGAGATCAATCCTATAAATTAGGTATTGATATTAATTTTTGTTCCGTCTATATTATTATTATTATTAGGAATATCAAGAAATGTGTCAAACTTGTAAAGGTGCTGCTGCAACTTTACCCGATGTCAATCAAGCTGATCAATTGAGATCAGCTGTTCGTGGTGTTGGAACAGCATGTATAAGTTTAATACAGGCTACAACTGCAAGTCGCCCCGATATCTATGGATCGGGAACAACAACAGGTGGTCAAAATCTACTTTTAAGTCGTAATAAAAGTATTGTCGAATTGGATAGGCGAGCTGAATTCTTAGATTCAAAAGTAAGTGTAAAGCTCTTTATCTTCTTGTCTTCAATGAAAGAAATATACAAGATATTTATGTGATATTTTCAATGAATTAATCAGTACTTCATTGTTTCCTCTTCGTTCTAAAGTTTTTTTTTATATCGGTAAATCATCAAATTCTAGTTGGGAAAAAATATTCTTCCTTAAAGTTATGAGGTTCTTGTGCATACAACCATTAACACTGTGACTTCCAATAGCTCTGCTCTATACTGTAAACACTAACGATCAATTTCCTACATACATTTTTCACATTTTCCTAATCTTTCAGTCACAATACTGGGAAGATCATTAAGAACTTTGGATTCTTATTCAGTCAGTCAGTAACAACGTAGAACTTCGTACGTACGTACATCAGTTCGAGTTGCCACACCATATTAGCACAGAAATGCAGTCGAATCAAATTCCGTTGTGGTAGAGGTAGTAACAGTATAAACAGTAATTGGAAAGATTAGGGTTTGAAAATGTTAGTCAAGGAGTATAATACACTGAAATAAACTTGGAAAGAGGAAAAAAGGACATGAAGAATTCGGAAGATTAGAATTTGGGAGAACACAAAGAGTGTATGCACCTGCGCCATTGCAAACGATTCTGAACCATGTCATTCAAGGTCTCTAACCATCGGTTGCTATCATCTCGCGGATCCCAGCTAGGTAGTCTACACCTACTAACATCGTTCAGTCCACTTGTCAGTGACTTCATGGATTTGTGCCATGTTTTGGTCTGGCCGCCCATAGCTTTCTTCCAACCTACTCCTATACCACTGAACATGGCACATCGAGGCAGTCGGGGGTTGGTCATACGTAACACGTGTCCAAGCCATCTCAACTGATGAAGTTTCACCACTACATCAATCGATTTGCCATCCTTACCTAGTACCCGTTTCCTAACAACTGCGTTACTTACTCGGTGGTCCCAGGATATACGAGCAATATTTCGAAGACACGTATGATCAAATACTAGTAACCTACGGATATCCTCTACTCTTACCGACCATGTTTCACTGCCATAAAGTAGGACGGAACGAACTGCTGTACAGTAAACACATCCTTTGGTTGATAGACGGATATCTCGCCTACGCCATAAATGACGCAAGTTGGTAAAGGCTGGTCGAGCCTTCTGTATCCATGCTGAGATTTCATCACACACCAGACCACAAGGGCTGATGAGACTTCCAAGATAAGTGAAGCGATCGGCACGCTCAATTACTTCACTCCCTATCATTAGTACGGGTGTCAATGCAACCCAATCTTGAAGCAACATTTTACAATTCGACGGGGGAGAATCGCATCCCGAACATGCTTGCATTGTTGCTTAGAGTGGTCAGAAGACTCTGCATTTTGTCAGCGTTTTCACCAAATAGAACTATGTCATCGGCATATTCCAAGTCAACAAGTGAATCTCTCGGTAGAAGTTCAACCCTTGGAAATCTACACGAGGAAAGTGTTATCTCTAAAATTACGTCGACGACAAAGTTGAACAAGAATGGAAAGAGTGGACAGCCCTGACGAACACCACTTGAGGTAATCAATTCTGACGACATTTCACCATAAGCTCTCACTCTACCAGTTGTGTTCGAGTAGAGAGCCTTTATAAGGTTAATATACTTCTTTGGTACTCCTTTCAGTGACAAACACTGCCATAGAACCTCACGATCAACAGAGTCGAATGCTGCCTTAAGGTCGAGAAATACTACCATTGTGGGGCGTCTGAACGTGTGTCTGTGTTCTAGAACCTGACGTAGTGTGAATATCTGATCTATACAACCACGTCCAAGTCGAAAACCGGCCTGGTTTTCTCTAATCTGCTCTTCATGAGCTTTGATTAGGCGTCGAAGTATTATTGAAGCTAATATTTTAGACACTATATTAGTCAAACTGATTCCTCTGTGATTGTCACAAGAGGACTTTTGTCCTTTCTTATAAACTGGCACAATCAGTGATTGAGACCAGTCAGATGGGATTACGTCCAGTTCCCAAATTCTACCTAAGACCTCGGTTAATCTCATTGCTAATACTGGACCACCATCCTTAAAAATCTCAGGAGTAAACCTGTCAGGGTCTGCTGCTCTCCCTCGCTTCAGATTTCCTATGGCTTATTCAACTTCGTAAAGAGACGGAGGACCTACATTAACTTGCCATTCAGGTTGACTGGAGATCGTGGGAAACCCAAGTGTGGTTGAACGCCAGTTGAACTGATCCCTGAAGTGTTCTGCCCATCGATCCAATCTCCTGGATTGATTATGCACATAAGATACCAAGATACAACTCAATTTAAATTACAGACCTCATTATGTACACAGCGAGGACATTTGTAATGCATAGCTAAGTACCATGTTCGGGCCTAATTCATTGTAGTTTATGAACGGTAAATGATTCAGCAACAGTTAATCATCTGAATAAAAGCTTACAGTAAGGATAACATTAAAAGTATTAGAGACTAATTAGTTTATAAATACACATTATATATACTGATTAGCCAGAGAGAATAGCTTTCAAAGTTTCACACTATTTATCGTTTATACCCTGCTTTTGTAACATGATTTTGAACCTTATAGCCAATATAGATTTTCTTTTTGAGTTTAAGTACGTTCTGTTAGTGAATGCGAATAAATTATTACTTATTATTGTTTGATGACAGGGTACCGATTCATGTATTTGGGTTGGAGCCACATTTTAGGCACGAGGGTTAGTGATACTACTTGGTTATCCAAAACTACGTAGATGGAGCAGAGTTCAAATCTACAACTTAATGGATGAAATTTTTAAGACTTAACCACCGAGCTACCGTTCATTTGAATGCGAACGAGTACATCATTTAAATTTGAATCTTCCCCTAAATCACCTCCGACTGTCCAATGAAAAATCAGTGAAAATTAATTGTCTTAAGGTATTAAGAGATTGTCACCTCGATTTTTGTATAACCAGATATGCATTAAAAATTTAATAGTATTAATCTGTGTTTTCGTGTAGTTCTACTTGATGATGCGTTAAAGTTCATTATATCACTATTCCTTAAACATTAAGTCAGTTTATCTTTGTTGTATAATTCTAAGACCATTTTATTGACTATGTAATGTGTTACTATCATGGAGATCTGATGTTTGATTAGTACACCTAAACTGAAAAATTCACAATATGATTGTTATTGATTTACATTTCTGTATTATTATCTTTTTTCATGCAGTTGCGTAACTTGATCAACTTGCTCGAAACTCATGGTCCTGGCACACAAGCTTGTTTACAGTCTGCTAGCACAGTCAGTGGAATTATTTCAGATCTAGATACAACTATCCTGTTTGCTAGTTCAGGCACGCTACATCCACCTGTTCGTGATGATTTTGATGCTATATGGACTGATAATGAATTTGGCCATTCACGGTTAACAACTGATCGAGGTCATTATTTGGCATTATCGAACAATACGGATGGAACTAGTATACCAAGTCGTACTGGAAGTCGATCAGAAATGCATAATGTCGAGAATTTCACTCCTTTAAGGTAATTATCTACTAGTTTAGTTGAAGTGCTTACAGGTGTAGGTAAATAAGTAAGCTTAAATATTTGTTTAGAAATATTCTAATAGTAAGTTAGTTGTTTCAGAATTTTCAGCATTTGAAGGTAATGTGGCCTCCTTGTTTCACTAAGTATATATTGATTGAATTAATTTCACAGTTTAGCTCGTATCATATCATATGAGTGAGATATGCTTTTTAAAGGGAGAAAACATGAGGAAGTTGAGAGTATTTAATCACTTATATTTGTTTAATTCCGTTTGCTTGATTATCTATTTCGCAACTATTTACTATTACTTAAGACAGTCGTTGTTTTTCTGTGCTTTCTTTTTATTTTATTGTTAATCTCCTTAGTATTCCGGTTACATTTATATTGTTTTGTGCATTACATCGAATGCATTGAATATCGTGGTGATTATTTCATTCATGACCATGTCAGATGTACTGTGATCCGTTTATAAAGAGTTAAGAATGTGTTTGTTCTTTGATCTTCCTCTTTTCCTTTCCCCTCCAGGATTCCAAGTTAGGGCTTACCTCGTGATGCAGTCTGACGATTTCCGTGATGTATGTCCTGTCCAGTTTCATTGTCTTTTCCTGATTTTCTCTTCGTCCGGAATCTGATTTGTTATTTTCCATAGTAGGCTGTTTCTGATGGCATCCAGCCAACGGACATTGAGTATCCTACATAGACAATTGTTTATCACTACTTTTACATCTTTGATGGTGTTTGTCATAGTTTTGCACACACACACATATTGTACATTAAATGAGAATTTTTTATGTTTCCATATAATTGTTTTCTAATAAAGCTATCATCCTTTATTTGTATCCTGTAGTGAATATAATATCATCGGCAAACGTTTTTTTCAGACAGTCAGTATCTCCATTAAGCTTAATCGAGTATATAAATGTGTACCTGATTTGTGAATTACACTAGTTCAGTTTTTTTCAATGTTCCTACCCTGAATGGCTTTTTCTTTTTCAAAAATGTAATAACTATTCTATTCGAAACACCAGGTTGCCTCAACTATTTTTTAATTAATAGTGATTGACCGAGTTTCCGAGAGTGAATAATGAATTATGACTCATTTGTTATACAAGAAGGATAACTTGTTAAGTTTTGTAGTGTACGCGTTTGCTCCCGATATACAAGTTTACTATACCCGAGCGCAAATCAGTTACTTCATTGGCAATACCAAGAGGGGGAAGAATACTTAATTCACCAAAACTGAACTTATGTTAACTCATAGCTATATCTTTTTCCATCTGATAATCAAGTCGCATTTTCAACCAAATAGCATGTTCTTTCCTAGGAAATAAAACCAAATCTTAACCGATGAGATGGTCTTACTTTGTGGCTTATGTTTGGTTTGTCTAGCGGACGACCTTTCCCTTTTGAAAAAGACGAGTTTAACTTCTTGGGTTCAGTTTCCATAATCGAGATGGGGAGGGGAGTACATAATAACCTTTTGGTTGTTAGTTTGTCATTCAGATTATTGGAGTTCTAACCACCATTATGCGTGATTATACAACGAATAAATAACTTTCTATGTTTTTTTCATTGTTCTGTAGGTTAGTTGGTTAATGAAATTATAATTAAATTTAGTATAATTATATTTTCCAATCAAAAACTTCATGATTTATAAACATCAAAATTTTTCATTATCACTCCTTTTTTTGTAACACCAACAGATCACTGTAGGATTAAATGTGAGAGTATAGAAATTCGTCCTGTAAAATATTACAGTTTTCTTCTATTTAAATTGTTAAGTATTTTAAACAATGAAATAGTCATCTACCTATAACATATTAATCATTGTATTATTTGATTCCAGAGAGAGTATAGCTCGTACTGCACGTGCTCTTGTCGATGATACTCAATCATTGGTTAGTGGAACTGGTGAAGATCAAGCACGATTAGCTAGTACAGCACATACAGCTGTGGAACGTATTACAGAACTTGCAGATGTTGTCAAACGTGGTGCAGCAGTTATTGGGCCAGGTCAACCAGACACACAGGTATGTTTTTTTCACAAAAAAATAAAGAGTAAACAAGAAAATTTTAGACTAGGTTTATTATTATATACAATTTTGTTATTATGTACTTGCATAGATGAGTGAAAAAAGTATTTCAACTAAGTTCTATTACAAATCACCGAGAGTTAAGACAGTTCAAAAGCTGTTTCATCTTTGTTTGAAACTGCTCAGTAGTTCACAATCACGAGTCTCCATAGTGTCAAGTTCAGCGCCTTCAGGTGTCGTGATGAAACTAACTCTCAAACTTTAAAAGTATTCGCAAAGCTTCCACGTATATAAGTATGTAGTTTACACCCATAGAAATAACATTTTTCTACTTTTTTTATAAAAAAAATTATCAACATTTCATTAGTCATAGAGGAATCCATTTATGTTCAATAATCCCCTTTTTATATCTAAGATTAAAGCTAAATAATTTGATAGATACGTTTTTTTCTCATGAAAAATTGAATGTAAAACTATGCATAAAGAAATCAGTATTTAACATAATACTTTACTAAAAGGGTTTATTCATTTCTAGAACAATCTGAATAAGACAATTAAAAAAAAGAAAGACTCATATCACCTATACATCATTATTGTAATAAATGTATTTCTATTAGAAGAGAAGATAAGGTTCAAACGAAAGAAAAGTATCTCATTGTATGTATCTAATTAAGAGTTTTTTTCTCTTTATTTTAAAGATTTTGTGCCAATTTTTTTTCTTCTATTCAGTTTACATATAATAATTATGAAAATTAATATTTATGATACTTCAACATGTTTTTACTCTCTCTCTCTCTCTGTCTGTCTGTCTGTCTGTTCTTTTCCATTTACTGATGTTATTAGAACTATTTATAAACTGTTGTTAAATTACAAACTGAATCACGTTTTGTATCAGCTAAAGTTTGTTTTTTTTTAATGTTGCTTAATACTACTTATCATATTTTAAAATGAGCATTTTAAAAGAATTCTCAATTATAATTAATTAATTCTCAATACATAAATTATTACTTTCCGTTTTTCGTTTACAAGTTGAATAAGACTAAAAGCAAAAATCAATATTTATTTGAGCTAAATTTTTACTTAATATTCCTCTTTCTATTTCAAACTCATTCATTTATTCTTACTGTCTCTTCTCTTTTTTTTCTGTCTTATACGTTTATTCCTTTGAAATGAAATTTCTGAATACCATGTTCCGACTCTCTTTTATGATTTGTAATATTGAATGTATTAAAGAAGAATTTGTTTTCATTAGAAAAATCAACAGCTGAAAGAAAGTCAGAATATGACTTTTAGAAATTTCATTTCAAAGAATGATCTTTATCTTCTTATTATTATTTGCTTGCACATATATATCATCACTATTCTATGTGCACTTATTCCAATCTACACAATTATCTTCAATTTTTTTTATATAATGATTAGTAATCGTAATGAATGTTTGTTAGTAGTTGAAGAAGTTGAGAATGTTCATATTTCTCCTATTTCTACTTCTTTTTGCACACACTGTGATTTTAAGTATATTTTTTATTGCATTTATTGCATAATAATTAATGGGGGAAAAAAGGGAACGATTGTAACTAACAATTCTTCTAACATTTGCACTTATTAATAATGATGATAATTTGAAGTTGTGTATTTTCTTTCTTCATGTTTTTTGGCTTGATTTTCTTTTAAAAAATAAAGTTTTTTTGCATCACATTGATTAGTAATCACGTTATTTTGTCCACTATGCACATTAATTACTTGACAACATTTATTACCATAAAAATTACACTTTACAATTGAAATAGAAAAAGAAAAAAAAATCAATCACTTATATTTCTAATATATCACTATATGCTATGCTCATTACTTCATTCATTCATTATGCAAATAGCTTAAATTTTAAAATATTCTCATTGCATTATTGAAGTTTACTATTGAAATGATTAGTTAAGAGTATGTAAATGCTAATAGCACTGTTATTGGTCATTATTTGTAGACAGTTATATTTCTGATAACCGATTCTTATTGTTGTTGAGTTGATTAATTCATTCATCTAAACAATAGCAGTGTAGGAATATTTCTGTTGACAACTCTTAATATAAGAATGACTATACTAGTCTATCTAATAAATCTGTTAACTAAGATGACAAAGAAATAAATTCTACTTGACAGAATTATTACGATTGTTAATATTGATAAATTATAACAAACAGTGTTTATGAAACAAATTGCTGAACAGGTGAGAAATGTACTATTTAAACGAGACTTAGAAAAATCATACTCTGTTTTAAAGCAAATAGCTATAAAAAGTTTTCATATCCAACCAACTTATCAGTCAGGTATAAATCAGCGAAATGTCATTTCAGTTAAACAATCATATAAGAACTTTGTTGGGACGTAGAAATGTTTATAATGGCCATGGCCTTCAAAAACATACAGCAGATGATAACATTCGGCAATAGCAATATTGAAATAGACAAGGCAGCTAAAATAGTCGATAGGATTCGCGAAAGAACATGTCAAACAATTCTTCATGTAACTAGCTTATCTACAACCGACAAAGTTGATGTATTCGAGAGAGAATTAATTAATTTGTACCGTGCAATTATATATATATATATATATATATATATATATATATATATATATATATATATATATATATATATATATATATATATATATATATATAATAGGTGAATTAGTGATTGTTAGCTCTCTCTTTGTACATAGGTAGTTTACAATTGATATGTATGCAGTTAAGTGAAATGAGTACGTTGGTGGATGCATGTATATTACATACATACTTGTTTCAATGGGTGCCTTCATGAATCATAACCATAACGCAATACACATGAAATCTTAGGACTAAAAATTAACATTGTTTAGCACATAAGTTAATTTAATAGGACTTACTAAAGTGTTTCAAGCCCGTCTTGTATTTGTAGTTGCTATGTTCACTGCTGATGTATCCAAACTAGGATGAAATGAACATTTCAGTCACCTAGGTTTTAATGTCTATCTAGCCAAAATCAAAACTGCAGCTCGTTTTTATTTCACAATGACGTGGTCTATTTTTAGTAGAGCTATAACAACCGCTTTAGTGTATGTTTATATTTGCCCGTATTTTCATACGTACATACGTGTTGTTGCGTAATCAGATAAATGTCATTTACTTTATACTTACTTATTTTTCGTTATTATTATGACTGTGATAGATTAACTGTAAAACGAAGTGATTATACAATCATTCAAATTATGTTCTACACATTTGCTATTAATTATCACTTTAGTTTCGAAATCTATAGCTTACCATAGCTATACACATATACAACATTTAAAACATTTAATGTGTATGTTTATTTTGTGTTATCACGTTTACACATTTTTTCCAGTACAAAAAAGGTAAAACGTACTATGTATATTGTTTGGTATATCTATTTTATGTTTATTGGAACGGTAATATTATTTACAATCGGCTACATTAAAATCGCCTTGATCCGTTAACCGAAATGCGAGGAGGGAGTCATTGTCATCATGAACTTATATTAGTCAAAGAACTATTGAAAATCAGTAAATATTGAGACCAATATTCCATCATCCCACTACTAGTCACCATCCATCTATCCCATAAAATTATTACTTTTATTGGTTAATATCATGCAATCAACTAGTCAGTAAGCTAAGTAATTTTCTGTCCTATAATTTTAGCCTTGCCTATTAATGTAGCAATATTTGTGGATATATGTTGTGACAAGTATTGTCCATTTCATTTAAACTTAAAGTCTAATTGCTTATTTCTTAAATCGTGCAACGTTAAGGGAGTCCCAAAATATCCCTTACCAAAGCCTAGATGCCCATAAACACCAGGAAACGTCTTATCCAATCAGCGTTGAATAGCAGCTTCGCTGAGAAGTCTAGAAAATGCAGAATCATGTGCCACGATTTTGGTTGGATATTTACTTATATTGCTATTATATTTAGTATGGTCCCAGAAATTCGCACAAACTAAAGATCGTATACCCTCGTTTTTTTCTGTACATGAACTAACCTCGGAGTAAAGCTTTTATTCGCAATTCGCGTTTTCTCTCTATTGTTCCAGTTGACGTGTAGAGGTAGCTGGAGTTTTAACAACCGTCTAGGAAGACAGTTTAGGCGTATCGGCAGCAAGACTTATAACGCAAAAACATAAAAAGATCGTTTTCTCTTTTGCTTATAAGAAACATACATAAACATGAAGTAGTGATTATATAATCAGTCAAAATCAATGTTGAACCTGATGTCACTGTACACAATTGCAAATTGTCATAGTGTAATACACTTAAGCGAAATAAAATTATAATGATAAATAGCTAAAAGAATCGTAAAAACAGTAGTGGTGATGATTCTTTTAGAAATCATAAACAAAGATTATAGTTGAAAAAGAGGTGATGATCAAGTCGAAGAATATAAAAAGTATCAAATGATACTGGCATTCAATATACTGGAGGTGCATCTACGCCACTGCAAATGATTCTTAGTAATTTCATCCAACTTTCTCAATAAATTGTAGTCATGATTATTGTACGGATCCCAACCAGGTGGGCATCGGTTCTGCTCACCAACATCACTCAGATCACAAGTCTTGAGTTGCCCGCTTTCTCAAGCTACTTCTACACTACCTTTGTAATCATTATGCACAGTCTATCTCATTCCTTTATTTTTCTCCAACACAAGTACTTGCATAAATGTTAGAGGACATTTAATTACATACATTATTAATAGCTTGAAGATAATTCGCATAATTGACTTATATTTTTCTTCCCAAAAAATATCTTATAATACAATGTCAACTCTGTATAGAGTAAATGTAAGCAGCAATATGATAGTAAAGAAATATATGTATACAAAAATAACAAGCTCATCATTCATCGGAACATCTCACCCTGTCTTTGTGAATGAATATTAAGATTATTATCAATTAGATGAGTAAGTAGTATATGTGTGTTAGTGGTGTATTTCTTTTCTGGAGAAGGGTTTACTGATTGATTGACATTCGGACTAGTACAATTAATGAATTTAATTAAAAAATATATTTATTTCACCGGATACTAATACTACTGTTGTTCCTACTGCTGTTACTACTACTACTACTACCACTACTACTACTACTACTACTACTACTACTACTACTACTACTACTACTAATAATAATAATAATAATAATAATAATAATAATTCATGTGATCCGATAATGTTAAATACTAATCATTGTAGATTAAAAGGCTTTTCTCCGCTTTTGTTATTATTATTGTATTCTTTTTATCTTTTTTTTTTCCTCTCTCCATTCTACCCCAAAGAATGAACAAAATTTTTCAGATTTCTTATTATTTTACTTCTCGTTAACTAATATTGAATGAAATGCATAATTCTGTATCATACTAATCAATACATACTGTGTTTTTCTCTTCATCCAGTTTGAAATTATAATACCGAGAAAATGTTTCAATGTTGATTCGAAATTGTAATATCTATTCGAGTAAACAATAACTGATTTTAGATATTTGAATTCTTCTTCTCTGTTGAATGACATCCGGTTAAATAAATATTCATATATACAAGAGTTCCTTACAGAATATTTTAAATTTAAATTATAATGACTCAGTGTGATGTAGCGTTCTTAGTGACTTTTTGCTCCTTTTGTAGACATCTAATAATGAAATAATTTTTTTTTTACTGTTAACTATAAACAGTTCAGAAACTTAATTCTAAAAGTAGGACAAAATGCGCATCCTGGATCTCATTGCTAACCACATTTCATGTATTTTATATAAATAATTGTACCTTTTTTTACTTCATGAAATTATAATTAACAGTTGAATCAAACAAGTTCAGAATAATGACTTAGTTTTTCATTGTCAAACTCGAAAAAAGTGACTTTAACAATATCTCTATTATAAAGTAGCCAAGACACTTCGAACTGATAAAAAATGATTTATTCGAGTCCTCATGAAGTAGAACGGGAAAACGTGAGAATCACGAAACGTCAGAAACATGAGAAATGTTTACTTATTCTAGTCCGAATTGTGTTACAAGCTTAAATCACTCAAGATTAGTACGTTTTCGGTTCATTTCAAGTCAATTCTGGCATACCATGTTATTTTTCCGTTACGTTTATCGTATTCTAGCAGTTATGTTGATTCTATTCACTAAATTGAATTCTATTTTTGCGTAACAAAAATTGGCTTATGTATTCATATTACCCTTTAGTTATTGTATACAGTAATATTGTTTAATTGTCTCTTGACTATTATTATTATTATCATTATTATTATTATGTTTATATATCATTAATAGTTTACTGGACTATCATCATATTGTAAACTATACTTGTGTACATGTGTATGTGCGTATATATAAATCATTTTGTCTGTTCGTCCATCTCTTACATGAACATTGAATTCACTAGATGTTACAACTTATTAGTATACAACTGGATATTATTGACAGACTTGAAATAAATAAATCTCATGTACATAATAATATTTATTGTTATTAACTATAGTTCATGAATTGACATTTTGTAATTTCACTTGTATACATTATAAACAATCTGTTTTGTTTAATCACTATGATTAGCACATCATTATTGTCAATATTCTGAAAAAATTGTTTACATTACACCATACAGCTAATATATATCAGATAAAACATTGGCTTTATGGTTAAGGCATTCAACTATCAACTACTGGATTGTAATTTTTATTTCCTATTAAGCTTAAGAGCTTCGTATCAGCATCCTTTACAATCAAAAGCGTAACTGTAGGTCTAATATATAAAACTGTTATTGCTGCCAAGTATATCATTATAGATTACTTTATAGTAGTCGATCGACTAGAATCATTATCTTCAATCAGTGGATAAAGAAAAACAGTTAATTCAAAAGTAACAGTTCTCATAATGATGAATATCAAAACATCTTACAAAATGTTTGTAATTGTCTTTCTTTTCAATCATTTATTGACAATTAATTAGGTTACTTATATTATTTTTTAATAGTTTTACACAAGGTAAACTTGTAAATGGAAAATACCCAATAACAATCGAAAGTAAATAATAAATTTTCTCAGATGAATATGAATAAAATACCTATTCAGTGTTTTCTAATTTTTTTTCTCTCTCTCTTTCTCTATTATTTCACCTGACACACTGTTTCACATTAGATAAGTAAATAAATTTTATGGTTGAATTCATGAGTCGATTTAAGCTAGATCACCATTGAAAACCTGGGAGCACTACACGACCGTTTCTTCCTAGTATGAGACTACTCAGTAGTGCGCATCCACAATCCCACATGCCTAAGGTAGTTATTCACTGAAGACAATGGTAGACGGTCACACAATATCCTGGATTGATTGAAGTTAGATATTGACACCTTTGGATGCCGGTCGGCTCAGCGGTCCAAAGGTTGAGCGTTCGCGCGTGAAACCGAAGGTCCTGGGTTCGAGTCCCGCATGCGGGATCGTGAATGCGCACTAATGAGTAGTCCCATACTAGGAAGAAACGGATGTCTGGTACTTCCTGGTTTTCAATGGTGGTCTAGCTTGAATCGACTCATAAATTCAACTATTAAAATTACTAGAATCTCCACAAACCACAAACCTGTTATGTTTTAGGTGTATTATCTATCAGATTTTTTTAAACTTAATAATAACAGTGCAGTTATTTATCATTAAAGAATATTGTGATTTCTGGAAATAATTCAGATTCGATTAGATATCTATCACTATTGATAATTTTTAAAAAAAAGAAGGGTAAATATACTCATCCATCCACCCATTCATACACCAAATATATAAAATAATTTTAAAATAATACTTAGTTGTATAACTTATTCTTTTTATTGAGAAGGCAGGTTGTATTTCCACTCCTTTTTCCTCATACTTATTTCTTATTCTAATTTTTATGCTTCTACTTCAACAACAACAAAACTGTCTGGGCGAAACTCACGCACTTCTGGTTTGTTCGCATGTCTCCTCATAATAAAATAATATTGATAATAATAATAATAATTTAAACATTATGGTAACCTTTTCAAATGATCTATTATGTTGCTTTCAATATAATGCTGTTTTCTTTTTATCAATGTTCTTAATTACTATTGGTCATGATATCATGTTGCTCCAGACTTGTCAGTCGTTTGCTAGCATTGTGTTTGATCGACCTCGTCTTTATTAGGTCAATAGCAAGAATAATGAACCTTTTTCCCATCTCTTTTCTACTTTTCTTTGTTCCTCTTTTTTTTAATCAATTTTTTTCTATCCTCTCCTCTTTATCATTTATTGTATCTTGCACTATAAAATCGGTTTAGTTTATTAACGTTTTTGTTCTCTAGTTTTATTGTTAACCCATTAGAAGATGGATTTTGAATCCATCATGATAAACCGTTCAATCGTTTACACGTAATGTCTGTACTTCTTGTCTGTATGCATTTTATTCAGTTTTCTTATTAACTGTAATATGTGTCTATAATTAACTATAATCTTTCTATATATTTTTTGTTTGACAATTTAAGCATTTATTTGTAGCCGTCAATCTTTGCATGTGGATGATAATACGTTATCTTAGTTTGCGTTTTTTCTTCAAAATTGTTCTCTTTTTTTTATTCTTTCAGTTACTGTTCTTTTCATATTCTTGTCATCTTGTTTATTGATCAATATCACATTTACACATTTATCACTTATTTTATAATCAATTCATTTTATATGACCAGATCTTAGTAGGATTATTGTTACTTCATTCGCTTTAATTCATTATAATGGGAAAAACGGTTTTTTTAGACACTATTCCATACATTGTTTTGGTGAGTAAATGTAGGTTACACTAATTTGTTCTTCTAATAGTGATTTTTTGGAAAAAAAGGTCTATAAACTTTAATCTACTTTTTTTTCTTAAAGATATTCAAATTTCTTTCAATAATTTCTTACATATTATTGTTCATCACTGAATAGAACTATCTATGATCTACTTAATACTACTTAGAACCTATGTAAGTAGTTAGGTGTCAGTAAAGACTAGGGAGGTCATTATATTTAATAATATAGTTCATAGGCAAAATTACTGTCTTATTTCTCTCATTCCTCTTATCTGGCTAAATTGAATACTTTTATATTTATCAATTTGTTATTAATCTGTAATTTGCATGCTTTGATGACAGCTTGCTTTTTTTGCTTGCCTTTTTTTCCTGTCTACATTAATCTGACTTTGAATCCTGTGACGCGTTTACTATGCTGCTCTGATGCACGTCGTTTTATTCTACAATAAATAAATGAATCTGTATATATACACATACGCGTATACATAATTACATCCATAATTCACGTACGATATATTGATATCTATTTGGTTTATTCATTCAACTGTTCTCGTTCCTTCTTGAATCGGTAAAAACTAACTACAAAATATATATTGATGGATAACGATGGTGGTGGTCGTGATGATGATGAACAATCACATTGGATAACATCCTGTTCTTCTCGCTTATACTACTATTATAAATCTCATTTATATACAACTGTTTATTTTCTGGACTATGTGCCAACGGTGTGGAATGTATGGTCAATATTGAATGTCATGGTATGCCTTAAAATATTCCTGGACTCTCCTAAATTTTCGGTATCTTTTCAATTGTGCGATCTTTGTCAAGGTGGAATTATTAACATCATCTCGAGATATTGCTACTGCTTTACGTAGTGTGTTTCTTTCAGCCGGTAAAGTACAAGGGCGTCCGTCCTTAGATCCTGTTTATGATGAAGTTCGATCAAACGCTCAGGTTGGTTCCCAATTTATATGTATTAAACTTTTGGTTAATCGCCTTTATATAGATATGTACTAGAAAGCATGTGTTTAGCTTTCTTCCACAAACTGAATTTAGCAAAATAATATTTGAGCCTATTATTATTATTAGTATTAGTATTAGTATTAGTATTAGTATTAGTATTAGTATTAGTTAGTAGTAGTAGTAGTAGTATCGTTAAAAGCTGTAGCTGCTACCACAGTTTATATTATACAGCCAACTGTACAAGGGCGTGATATCAGTAAAATGTTTCTGTTGAATAACAAATATCTACAGCGATGTTGATTTTCCACAACGGATGGAGTTAAATATCAGTCTCATATTAAAATTCGCCTCTGTAGAATTTTAATGATTTGTTTAGTTACTAGCTGGTAGTTGAAAATAATTTCTGAAGAAATATTAACGTTCAGATGAGGTACTTATTTTTATTCAGAAAATTAATGTCCTATGCATCGAATATAACCTCGAAAACTCAAACCTTATGTTCAGTCCATACTCTTGTTGAATATTCGTTTTTGACACACTCTAATCTCTGTCATTGTTTTTACTTTCTTAATCAGGTTGTTATTTCTAATGTTGGCCAGCTTCTTCAAACATTAAAGTCAGTAGAAGAAGATGAACGACGAGGAATTCGATCCCTTGAGCTAGCTGCTAATTATTGTCGTGAACAAGCTAAGCTCCTTCCATCATCTAAAGATCCAGAAGGGTTGCTTACACCAAATAGTTCACGCAAATCAGGTCCACGTAGTATTTCAGTTGCTAGTGGTTCTTCTAGTTTAATTGCTCGTTATTTAGCTCCAGATGATTTAGCTCGTGCTGCTGGCGGACCTGTTCAGTCAGCTGTTTCAAAAGCGATCTTAGCGAATAATACACAAATTCAACGTGATATTGTCCAGACATCATCAACAACACGAGATGCAGTCACTGATTTAGTTGCAGCTGCCAAGGTAAGAGTATAACAGTAATTTATACTGCCTATGGATATTTCCATTCGTAATCATCCAAATTTTGTGTCTGGTCGAAGAAGGTTATGTGATATTTTAACAAATAAAAATTATGCTTACAAAGACTACAAAATTGTATGCAGCAAATAATAACAGACAGGCCAGCAAAGAATGGTTAAGAATGAAACCTTTTTAATCTTAACTTTACATAATTTTGTAATGTTTAGCTTCTCCTTCATTATGAATTATAATGAAGTATTTCAATCTGATTTATAAGTGCAAGTAATGTATTATTTACAAAGAAATGAAACGAAGTAATCATACTTAATATAAAAGTCTAGAACATCTATGTATATATTCACATGAGATGGATATTTTGGTGTTATGAAGTGGTTCTAAGCGAGATGGCTTAACTGAAGAGCCTTCATTTTCATTCTAAATAATGTCATCAACTTCTACTTCATAATTCAGTAACATCAACGTATCCACTTAAGCTAGGTAATTTTCTACATTTCAAAATATTATGAGAGTAAAATAATCCTACCTGTTGTTAATTGAGAGAATTTCGCCTAAAGGTAAATTTCCACTAGAGATGAAGTCAACCTCCAGTAGTTAGTATAACATACAGGCTTTAAATTACTACCTTTCTTATCAGACCAGGCGATGCTTGATGTTAATAGATGCTTTTGCAGAAAGCTTATAAAGTTTAAGCTATAATTCTATCCAATGATCTATGTAGAATCGGTAATGTTGACTCGAGAAATCCATTTGGGTACAAGTACCAGTTATTTGTGTTAGAACGGAAAATTGAATGTATTCGATTTATGAACAAACTATTGATTATTTGAGCTTCTATGGGGAACCAAATCATGGTTTACAACTAACACAAATATTAGGTTGTAAAAGGAAGGAGTAGTAAAAATTTTATCATAAATTAGTGGATAAGATATTTTTTTATGTTCTGCACGAAAATGAACGTTATTAAAAGTCATGTCAATTGTATACGATCATAAGACAATATCATCAATTAAATTTGTGGCTAGGAGGATTGATTTCCATTCTCATCAGCCCTGAGCCTAGATTCTAGTTTTGTTAGTGAGTAACATTTAGAACCCTGGAGAAATAGGACTGGTATTGTCACCGAAAAAATGCCACTGAAACTGGCAATAATGGGTCAATACATAGCCGTAAGCAATGACTTGAGATATAACTGTAATGTTCCGAATTACAAACAGGGATGACACATTAGCCTGCCAGAAAGTAGTTAATATGATGAAAATATTATATTGTTCCAAACCAAAATCGCATGTCACTTTATCAGCCCTTTATCTGGCCTTTGACCTCAGTATGTCTACAATAAAATAAACTGCCAAGTTTTTCGGACAGACTTTTTTCCCTCTGATTCGAAATGGACCAATTATAGTTAAAGCCTGCTGTTCATTCCTCGATTTTTATGCTTTTTTTAGCTTTATGTTACATATATTCTATGTGTGACTAGGCTGATTCAAACCGAACAGGAAAGAAGTATTATAAGCCCGACATCATAGTCCAATTACTTTATACAATCACACTACCACCAACCTTCTTTCTATTTTTATATCATTTAACGTCTGTCAGTTTATCGCCTAGTCAAGTCACTTTTTAACCTTACCCCCATCATGTTATCATTCTTTCTTTCTATGGTCCAATCACACAATTCTGTTGTATGATTGGTTAATTGTTGATAATGTCAGCTAAGTGACGAAGCTATTATCTACTACTTATTATCATTATAGTTTGTGTGATGCCGGATTTAGTAGAATAGTTATTTGATGTCTGACGGAGAATTGTATTCAGTAATCGGTTAATATTTCCATAAGTTTTTAGAACTTCACTTATTTTTCTTTATCTTCAATTTTAACTACATCAATGCGATGGATTGTTGTCGACTAGTGTTTACTACGTTATTCGGATATTCCTCCAGAAACACGATCATCATGTGCTATAGTGACAAGGGAATTGGCTGAGGAATTCGCTGTTTTATTGGATGCTCTTAAAAATGTAGGTTTATTTTGTCTTTGTTATTTTTTTATGTGGTTAAATAATTTTCCTCACCATATGATTTTATTTATTACAACTGTTTATCTACCTGCTCATTTATTCTCATATCATTTATTGCTTTTTTGTTCACAGAAACGACTTGATTTTTAGTTTTCATAATTTGTCATTTCTATTTAATGATTTATTACAATGTCAGAGATGATAGTAATCTGTTATTTACATGGTACTTACACTTTGTGATTTGCTGAATAAATTGGCGAGGCTATAAACCATCCAGCTCAGAGAACAAAACTCCATCAAATTCATCCATCTAAGCTATAAATCTTCACTATAATTTATGGACGAACCAATCAGATTTACGATAACAGGTCTTAGATTTGGGCGCGAAATTCACTCATCCATTTGGTTAAATAGAGTCTTGACATTATAGTTTGTGATGAAAACCCTATGTCTGATTCGTAATACTAACCATCAACTGTAAATACTAATCCTAATTCCTGACGCCGATTTATAACCCTCATTTAGTTGTAGTTTGTAAGTGGACATTCTCAAGGTAGGTCTCTTTACCGTCGCTCAAAGGTCGTCCATAAATTTAGTTTAAATTCAGTTTCATGATGAATTGGAGTAAGCTATAGGTTTGTTTCATAAAATAGTTTAGTGTAAAAGTTAAATTAACTACAAATTGAATTCATTCTTGCTTTCGTGACTCATTCGTGTTCATCACAATCTAAGTACACTAATGACTCGTTCTACTGTTTGGTCTTTTTATCTGCAGTTCAGATTTTGATAGTTGAATCTTGCATAGTAGTTAATTAATTTCAGTTTATGTATTTATCAGTGACCAGTAGTTTTATCTACTACATATTTTGCATTTGTCAGTTCCTCAATAGCCGAAATTCGAGTCTTATTACACGGCCCAACATACAATGCCGACTTAGTTAAAAGACATTTGCTCGGTTGTTTTCCTAACTACTCTGACCTATTTCATTTTTTACCTACTCCGTATTGATGTGTCTGTTCATCATCAGAAGCATATCCTATTTTCTATTGATCGCCTTCCTATTTCGAAAAATGAATCAATCCGGTTAGTTTCAGTGAATCTTTTGTTTTTCATCCCTCCATCCTCACCACCCTAACCGGAAATATTTTGGGATATGGTAGCTTAGTCATCTATCTGGTCCGAGTTTTCATCATTTATTTTCTTTTGCTCTTTAGACCATATATAGGTTAGAAAAAGAATATTCTATACTATGTGTGTTTCTTGTAGACTGTTAGGCTAGTAGAAGAATAAAACAGTTTCGATCTTTTCTCATCTTAGTTGTCAACCCTTATGTTTTGTGGCCAATTACAATAGATGACCTTTTGTACTTGATTAAATAAATGAAACAGTTGTTTCTTATTCTGAGTAAAACGATCTCACACACCATAATAAAATAATGATGTCAGTCAAGTTTGAGCGATGATAGTATTTTGGTATGTAATTTACAACAGTCACTATTTGTATTATGAATATTTCATCCGCAAATTATGGGCTAAAAATTAAGGACTATAAAATTATTAATGTAATGAAGGGGAATAATTCTCTGAATCATAATTATTATTAAAAATATTAATGAGTGAATAAGTTCATCGTGTGTAGGCTAATTTCGTCCACAAAATCCGTATATACTACAAAAACAGGATTTCTAACATGTACTTATTTGTAACAAAATCAAATCTGGGGCAAAGCAAATTGCTTAACTTATTACTTACACAACATGAATATACATGAACAGCCTAGATGTACTTTTCAATGGTCCCTTTTCAATTTCATTTTCTAGCTATTTTTGAAATTGACATGAAACCTTATCATTTTACTCAGATTAGATTAGATTAAACCGGATTTTAATATAAACATCTTTCTTTAATCATAATCCTTTAAATTTTTAATTATACTTGTTCCTACTTCGTAACTGTCATAAGTTATTCTGATATTCTCGTTAATTCTTAATACTTGGTAAGTGTTATTGATCAATTGAATGGGATCATATAAAAATGAATATCCGACTCACGATAAGTAAAAAAAATAGACGATAAAATACAAGAGAAAGTATAAATTCACCATGACAACACCTTTTATCGTTCTAAATCTCGTTTATCTTATTTCAATTATAGTTTCTTTTCTTTTTGTGATATAGTTATACATCGTTTCATTGGGTAATTTTTTCGGTTGTTTTACTGTCAAATTTTTATGAATATTTATAACATAAAAGTAATTATTATAATAAGGAACCATGCTTCGATTTGGGTGCCCAGGTACTATCCTAGCCCTCACACAAACTGAATGATTTGTGTGGTGAATATATATTTGGTGCTTCTTTGTACCAATGTTTATGCGTTTAAATAAATAATAAGAAAGTAATAACACTTATTCTTGTAAAATTTAATAAATTAACTGGACATAATAATGAATCAGTTTAACATACAGTTCAGAATTGAAAGATCAATTAAATGACAAGTTTAATTATAAGTCCATAAGAGCATGAACTTGTACGCATTAATAATACCCATAATCTCTTATTTATAGCTAGTATTCATTAATCGATTTTGTAGTTTCTATTACATCTTGTTTGCCTAGAATAATATTGATGATTATCTTCCTTTTCTCATCAACAATTAGATTTTATTAAGTCTTCGAATTGTTTTGCTTTTAAATCTAGGGACTATGCATTCCTAGAAAATCTGATCCAGAAAATGTTTCAAAGATAGCTCGTCGTATTGCTGATATTTCACATAGTTTGATCAATTTAGTTGACAGTCTTAGAGGTAAATTCATTTATTATATTTTCATTGAGTTTGTATTTAGTTGAATTATATATTTATTTATTGAACTTACAAATGCGGATAATAAGTTGTCTATAGATTACAATTAAAATGTAAGCTTAACACAGTAATTCAGTGATTTCTGTACGAGATTTTTGTAATTTACACTAATTAATTATAACCACAAACATCCTTTGAAGCTTATTGGTTTACGAAATGTCAGAAAAATTTTTTCACAACTGATTGATCACTGGGTGGTGATCAATGTCATACTTGTCTAATCCTTATTAGTGCAGATCGCATGCTATCGATCATGTTGCAATGTGGCCACCAGTCCAGTTGACTTGACACTGCGGGCACTATATATTGAGATTTAGATGGTGGTTGGAGGTAGTCGACAGGAAACCTTGAACCCGGGTTTCGTGCTACTTGGCACTCGTCAGCAAGGTGCATCTGTAATCTTAAGGGAACTGGTGCTCCCTGACGGATTCGATCTCGTGTCACCCAGCTTCACAGTCAGAGACGTTACTACTGAGCTATCCGAGCCGCGACAGACCTCCTGTAGGAGTGAGATGTAATCACAATTGATTGATCACTGGGTGGTGATCAATGTCATGCGTGTCTAGTCCTTACTTTTTTTATAAATGAAGTAAATCGGTTACATAAGCGAATGAGTAAAATCTCATTGTTTAAATTTAGTTGGACAAGAATAAGCTTATAAACCAATTAGTTGAAAGTATAATTCTGTGGCCAATACGTGTCAACTTAGCCACTTCTTTTCTGAAGAAATGGCTTACACTAAGTCATGAAACGTCAGAAAATCTAATTTTCCACTGATTGGGATCTTACAAATATATTAGTTTGTTTATAACAATCTACCCAATGCTTAATTTATTCGAAATTATCAAGTCAAACCTTGGTAATGATACCTACAAAACTATGTAATTATTCCTGAGTATAGACTCGATTGGTTTCTTTTTTACTTATTAGAGTATTACAAATATGTTAATTATATTGCTATTATCAATAATTTATCAAATAGTCAATTTAATTGAAATTCATAAATCATACCTATAACTAACAATCATTCATTTATAAATGAATAAATAAATTCAATTAATCTAATTACAAACTTATATAGTACATATATCCTTCGGAATAACAATTGATCCTTGACAATGAAATTTAAATTATCCTTAATATTCTCGGTTATCTTCCACTTTTGCCTAAGATATCTCATTCTGTTGAAAATGTTACATATTATTAGTTCTGTAATTGGCATTGTGTAAATTAAAATCGTCACCAGAAAATACATGATAAAATTTCTCTCTCAGAAGTTTCCCCATGTCGAACCATATATGCTCTGTTTTAAGTCAAAGATATAGATATGCATATATATGTATATAAACTAGCTAATGTTTGACAAGCTTACTTATTCATTATGCTGACTAAAAATTGTTTTCTTTTCTTATTTACTCCCCTTTTTCTCCCTCCCTCATTTGTGTGTTGATCTCACCTGAAAAATAATGTACATGGCGCTTGCTACAATATTGCATATTGTTTTTGTTCTCTCAATTGCATGTAATTTAACCATGTGTATAATTACATTTACAAACTATATTATTCTGTCACTGCATGGTATACACATATTTATGTGTGGGTGTGTATGTATATGTCAACCATTTTGGATTATGTTATTTGTTTATCATGTGAATGTTGTAAATTTTTGTATTTCACAATTATTTATAATTTTAATTAAAACAGAAGGACCACGATTGATTATGTATTTTCGTGCAAGCAGTCCGGAATGTGAGTTTTTCATTTCAATGAAATTTATATTGAATGCACAAAGTTTTTCTTTCTCTGTAACTCTTGTATTTTCGTTTATTGATATACTCATGATATGTATATGCTCGATGGTATTTTATTTTTCTTTCTTTCTTTGTGTTTAATTGATATAGTTGCTGATCAATGTTTTATTTTTAAGTAGTCGAATTTTAAGTTTATACGTAATATCAATTAATCTACACATCTATGACTATAATTTATTTTCTCTTCTAGGGCGTGATGTTGCTGAAAAGTTCATCGGGCGTCATGTAGCCTATCATCATCATTATGTTTCAAATTATGCTTTAGGTAGGTTTTCTTAATAAAATTCTCAAATCTACAAATACTATCTTAGTAATCAATATAGTATCAAACTAAAACCCCTTTTTTTATTTTAAAGGTGGCGGTTCAAAATCATCACACAAAAGTATTTTTATTCGTCCCACATGTTATCCTCTTCAATTGTCGTCTGAGCAAACTATGAACGATGAAGCAGAATGTCGAATTGTCGATGCTATTAATCAGCTTAATTCATCGCTGGAAAAATGCGTAAATCCTTCATGAGTTATATATATATATATATATATATATATATATATATATATATATATGAATTTGATAGTAGACTGTTCGATGTGATATGTATGGGTTACTTGGTGTCAGCGGACAACATACTGTGTTCGCTATTAAAACACACCAGTGACCAGACATATCCCTATCGCATAGTTTAGATCATCTACGTTTATCTTTGTTTTCATGTCGCCATTAGGATTCAGTTTTTTACCATTCTCCCAAAAATCCTATATTTTAAGTAGATAGAGTTTCATCATGCTTCGCTTAGTTATGTGTTAAATCAGTTGTGTAAATAATGTGCAGTTGTATATTGTTTATGCTTTCTGAATAAACATGTATGTCAATATAGTTCAAATACTGTATCAACCAACATTTTCACTCTCGTCTGTTGGACTATAGTAGTAGTAAACGCTTGGTTTTCTTTAAAATTCAACAGATGTTCAAGGTACACACAAAAAATATACTTCTGTTGGCAGTATGAAATTTTCTTGTAGGTATATCTTGACAGCAGTTTTGCTAAGAAATAATTGTTTTACATACCGATGTGAGTGAGCTCTCACATAGTGTCGAGCTTCCAAAGCACACGTGTCTGTATATTATTTTACAGATCCACTGCAGCTGCTGGAATAAGGCAAGGATTTATGGACTGGAAACTGTCCCAGAAATGAGAAAACAGTTATGATATACAAACTCATCTTTGTCATACTTTTATGTTGTATAATAGTTAGGTTTCCTGGTTACATGTTCGAACTCCTCTCCAACTACTTCAGTTTCAGCAACCAGATAGAATCATTGCCCTTCACGCCCAAATTTTGACTTCCATGCCGAAGTACCTGATGAATTAGTTAATTACACAATTTACTTACCGTAAAATTTGAGTGACTTTTTAAAGCTAGTGAGAAAACAAGAAGAAATATGGGTAAACCCATACATACTATTGTAGCATGATAAATCGAACCTTGTAAATACGACTTTCGTATTAGATTTGCATTGTGGAGTAGTTACATAAGAAATATTTAGTCCTATTTTTAAATCTATACTAATAATCGCTTTATTTGCTATTTCAGTCGGCGGACAATAAATTAGCTCAATCTCTTCTTGTTACGGCGCGATCAGTCGCTGTATCTGTTCAAAATCTTATTAAAACTGCAAGGACTGTTATTTCCGCACCGCCAAGTGATGCTGTGGACAGAGCTCGGACGGCAGAAGGTGCTTCACAAAAGAGTACTAGCTCAGCTGCTCTTTGGCGTACTGAACTTAATGTATCGCTTGCCACTCAACACTTGTGCCAGTTGTCTAAACTATGTTCGGAAACAGTACCATCAACAACCTCGAAAAAATTGGAGAATAGCACTGGGGAGTTGTCAGGAGGATTAATTTTATCACGCGAAAGACTTCTGGCTGCTGTGCGTCAAGTGGCAACTGCAGGAGCTCAGTTACTCTTAGCAGCTAAGTTAAGAAAAGAAGCTCTAATGTCCACTGATATTCGAAAGTTGAAAGTACGTTTTATATCATGAATATTCTCTTTCGAAAACTTTAAACGTTGAGTAAATAGGATAAATGCAACTTGTAGGAAAGACAGTGATATATCTGAGATAATCGCTTGACTATCTCTATACGTAACGCATCGAACAGTGGTGAACACATCATATGAATGAATCTACTTTGATTTTAACTGACTAACTAGCAGAAGATAGGCCGGAATACAATATTGTATAATCTAATACGAAATTATCAAGGTATTTGTGTAAACTCATCAGTCTGACCAAGGACAATTTTCCAAGTAAATAGGATACCACCGGGCAATGAAAATAAACCTAGGTCGCTATTGGGATGTAGTGATACATTCGTTAAGTTCTAATTGTTTTTTTACTACACTATTGAGCGGCAAATATTATTTGGTCTTTGATATGACCAAGGTAATTTTATCCTCCAGGATATAAACTTCATTGCTCTACGTATGTTACTACATCTGCCTTCACTTGTAAAGGCAATGTAGTTGAACTATGGTTAGTCAAATTCTTATTTATTTAATTGCAATAGTACAAAAGTGTATAGGTCGGATTAAAGTCAATGTTTTGTTAATCATGTTAGAAAAACTAGCAACTTTATAATACCCTTTCAGGGTAATAATTTTAGTGAAAATGTTTTGAAGGGTTTTGTTCAAATTTAAAATAGTCAATAATTGATCAAATCTAGACATTACAATGTTTTTTTGAAATCACACTTTTATTTCAATCTCTGTATGAACAGACTGCAGGACAAGCTGTCAAAGAGTCAACAGACCTACTTGCTGAAACTGTTCAACGAGGTGACACAGTTTCAAGTAGTTCAACTTCACCACGAATAGAAATAACTTGGCCAACTTACACAAATCAAGCATTGTTACAAGTAAATTACATTGCTATTTTATGAAATTTTGCATAAGAACAAGTTCAAGTTTCTAATTGTTTTCATGTTTCAAAGGTAAATCTGAAACTCACTGTTAGTTTCAAGATAAATCTAATTTTTAAAAAGTAAGGTTCACTTAGTGATGATAACATTGAACAATAATAATGCTTGTGACTTGAGGCAATATCAAGGTAATCCGCACAGGATGCATGTATGCCAATAACAGACTGATCAATTGCAATTCTAGGAAGATTTAAATAAACAATACAAAATGAATTTAAAAAATTTGTTTTTCTAAATGATATAATGATTTCAATGGTTAAGATCATGAGTCAGTTGAAGCTAGACTACCATGGAAAACCTGGGAGCACTGGACAGCCGTTTCGTCCTATTGTGGGACTCTTCAGCAGTGCGCGTCCACGACCTCGCCCCCCGCGAGATTCGAACCCAGGACGTACTGGTTTAGCGCGCGAGCACTTAACCACTAGACCACTGAACCGGCATCCAACGGTGTTAATGTCTAACTTCAACTAATCCACGAAATTGAGCGACATATCCACCATTGTCTTCAGTGAGTTACTATCTCACAACAGACCTGGTTGAACTCCACTGGTCACCACTTCTCACTAGAACTCCAGGATATACCTCGTGAAGCCAGTCACAATAGGACGAAACGGCCGTCCAGTGCTCCCAGGTCTAGTTTCAACTGACTCATGATCTTAACCATTGAAATTACTATAATATCCACAAAACCCATCTGATATATAATGACTTGTTCTAATAATGTCAAATAATATCAACAATTTCACTGTGACATCTTTAAAACTAGAAATGTTAGTATTCGTCTGTTTTGATTTATAAGTTGTTGAACATCCATTTAAGAAAATTATTGTAATCGTTTGTCAGCTATTTAACCAATCGGCTTATAAAGTAAAATGATTCATTTATCCTTGATCAAAAAAATGAAAAATGTTATAATAGTTTGTCTATGTATAATTAATTCTAGAGGTTGTGTTTGCACGCAAATCCGAAGGTCCTTGGGCTCGAGTTCCTCATGCAGGATCAATGGGTGTGCACTGCTGAAAAGTCCCACACTAGGACGAAACATCTGTCCAGTACTTCCACATTCTCAATAATGATCTAGCTTAAATCGACTCATGAATTCAACTATTAAAATTATTAGAATCTTCTTTTATATATTACTACCTCTGAATTAACTACTTTTATGAATCCGGTGTTCATCTTGTGTTAATGAGGTATGGCAACTTGAACCGATGCATATATGTGCTTGGTCCTACACGTTGTAGCTGACTGACTGACTGACTGAGAATCTTCACAAACCCCCATTCTTAAAATATAATATAATATTATATATATATTCATAATTTTTATTTCAATTAATTTTTCTAGGGTATCCATACAAAAGCACGAATTCAATCTCAGCAAATGGAATTAGAAGCATTAGAATCTCATCTTGCTAGTTTAAAACAATCATCATAATCATCTTTATATAAATAAATTTATATTATCAATTATAATTCACTGTACAGTAACTTTTAAAGAATCATTTCACAAATTTATTTATCAATTTTTCCATTAGCAAACAAGGTTCTAGTGATGTTTTATCTTTTCGAAAAAATTTTTTTTTCATTTTCGTCACTTGAATTCAGATTAAAAGAAATTTACTTATTTGGTTTATGATACATACATATACATGTATGTGTGTTTCGTATGCTACTCTCTCGCTCTCTCTGTATGCGTGTGTGTGTGTGTGTATGTGTATACCTACATACACTTATTCATTGTTTCTATGATATGCTTTTAATTTGTCGATTATTTATCCATTTCAATTTTTCTTATCTCTATTCTTAATCCCAGTGATGATTAAGAAGAGAACAATTTGATTATGATATATATGTATTACTTTATTTTATTGAATTGAACCTACAGATCTGCACGATATAATATTAATTTAAATGCATGTAATATACCACTTCTTTGAGATTATCATATATATTAAAATTGTTCATTATTGGCGTATTTGTTTTATTGATTTTTCAATTCCCTGTTATTGTTTTTTTTATTATGATGCTTACTTGTTGTTGGCGCCGTCATTTCAATGCCTTATTCTTTGAATTATTTATTACATTTTCTGGATAGTATTATGGTACTTTGATATAATAAAAAAAATTGGTCAGAATGTGTATTTTGTTTTGATAGCTCTAATTTACTAACACGATGAATGGTATATTTGTTTGTCAATAGATCACTCTGCAGGATAGTAGCTATTATTCTACTGGAAATATTTCTTCATTAATGTGTTTCTGATAAATGAATCCAATCAGCCATACGTTCGAAATAAACTGGCTTACTGTGTTGACAAATCTCGTTATCGATTCTTTTATTTTTGTGAACTGTTAAAAACAGTTAGCTTTTCTTATTTGACTTATTAAAACCAATCAGCAGTGGATAGATTTTAAGAGAAATATTTTGGGTAGCGTATATACACTTAGTTTATGCAGATCAATACTAGATCGATTGTAATCAGTCTGACCTTGTTCTTTTTCCTTGTCTTGTATTCTAACGTTTATTCTATAGTCTTCCTTGTCTGGGCCTTTATTATTTGACTTTGGTTATATTTACTTTTTATTACTTAGTTTTACTGCTGCATGTTGCCGGACTATGAACAATAAGGTCATGTTTGACTAAACTCAAGGTTAACCTTTAACTATGTGCTTGGAAGGATTGCAGGGATCTTTGCAGATATATATCTGGTCCCATCTTGAGGTATCGTACTAGGATTTATGAACTATTTCTTTGGCCGTTTAGTACGTTATTTTGCTCTACAGAAACCTTTGGCTATATAGCATAGGCCGTATTATTTGAGATATTTGTTTTGTTTCTTAAATTCGAACTGTCTAAATTGGACAGTTTGTGTTTTAATATAATTTAATACAATTCACTCAAAAACGCTTCGTACGCTATATAGAAAAACGTAGTTTGGCCAAATCGAATAAACTTTGGTTCATTAGTTCAGCGGTCAAACCAAATATTGGAATTTCGGCCGTTACAGAAACTATGTACCTTTGGTTGAAGACTAAGATTTTACTTGGTCAATTTAAACCACTTGGACCTTTTTATTAACGAATGGATTTTCATAGTTGTACATTCGCATACATTTCTAATTTTCGCTTCATCTAAGTTGTTCGATAGGACCCGCATGTATGAGAGTAATTTTCATGATTAGCCAGGATTTTATTTTATGCGGAAATAAATATCTTTGATACACATCTTTATTTAGATATCTTGTCAGATCTAAAATATACATTGGAAACGCAGCTAAGACTAATTGGAGTTACTTAAGAAGCGAGCTGTTTCAATGGATGAAACTTCCAGCTAAATCAGTTTTAATTCACAATTACATCATTATTTTTTGCACCCCATATTAACTGTATTTATCCTGATTATTAACTTTACAAATTCACTTAACATATACACTTATTACAGTCAACCCAGCATTAACGATTTTGTTTTATTTTACAATCCTAAATTCACATGCTATAATTTCCGAATTATGTATTTTCCCTACACCTAGCCACATTTCTGATTATTAATTTGGATATAAAATTGTAGAACCTGAAGAGAATTTATTGGAAAGAATATTCTTTGTTCATATATGTTTTTATATAATGGAAATCAGTCTCCTCATATTACAATGGCTCAGTGGTTAGTGCATTCGTCTTTAAACCACTAAGTTGTAGGTTCAAACCCCTCCCCATTTATTTCGGCAGCTAATTAGTTCCACTAGTTTTCGGACTTCGAATGTTGCTCAAATACAAGTGCCTAGTAAACGAGTTAATAAAAAAGTAAAATGAAGTATTGTAGCACGAGCTGATACGACATTAAGCTAAACTGAACTTTATTCCGCACAAGTGGACACGATCGACATTAATTCGTAAATTAATAGATTTGGGATGATCGTTTGTATATGTATGTTGTTAATGTGCTAAGAAAATAGGTAATATTTTAAGGTGGTTATCAGTGCGATCCAAGGTGTACGTTTAGGTCTGCTTGAAGCTCAATGTACTTGAATTTCAGAACAAACCAATACTCATCGTCCCAAAACCCAGAGCGTTATCTACTAGATTCCTAAGTAACGACAAATACCACGTCCCAAAGTCATGATATACATATATTTGCATTTCGCGCTCACTTGATACACCTCGAACAGCGTAAAACAAGCATTTGGTTTCCCATTGTTAGATATTACAAAAACAAATAGTCGACACAATTTCAGACAATATCTATGTATACGTTCCAGGGGCCTATAAGTTGGCTGAAACTAAACAATTCAGGAGATTCGTAACAGGCAAATTCGAATTCTCACTACCAAATTATCCGAATTCAAGGGTTATTGCAGAGGATTTAGGTGTACATATGCGTAGATTCTCAAAGTCGAACATAATAGAAAATTTATATCCCATTCAAGATAACTAGACAATCTGTACTCTGAAGGCGGAAATTGCTTGTTGATCCTGTTAAATTAAAAAAAAAAAGAATATTCAAGTAATTGTTTATTACTGGAACTTGGTAGTTGTCAGAAGGTCTAGTTAATAAATCACCATTAGTTTTAAGACTTCAACGCCGAAAGTTGGTGCTCTATAAAATGATTCGCATGAGATTAACTGAACTATAATTCATTAGTCACTTGGTGTTTGAATGTATTGTAAATTAGTTGTTAATAATCTAGGTTTATGGGATAAGTAAATAAAAAGATAAGAAGAACGATGCTAATCATAAGTCTAATTTTAATGGTTCTGTAATTGAATAATGAATCAACAAATTTATAGATCAATCTTCAGATATTCTGTTACAGTTAGTAAGAATTAAGACTAATCAACGAATAATTTTGTCTACAAATACATTGAATTCTTACAATAAATAAGTTCTAATTTCCTCCTTACCTCCATTGAAATACTGGATTTGTATCTACTTGAAAGACTTGATATAATAATTCAAATAAAAATCATGAAAACGTGACAGATACGTGTATTATATTCACATACAAATCAAACATAAATGAGATAAAAATGAGACCTATCAGATCTGATGACATAGTGGATACACATGAAAATGGTCTGTTAACAAAAGCTAACTCAGTTATTTGTGCTATTCGTAAATAAAGTATTAACATTCAGTGGAACTTTCTAGATCAAGATATTTTAACAAAATTTCATTTACAAAAGTTTGGCAAATATAGCTAACTACGTCTTATCATCGAAGGAATTAAGTAGTACACATAACTCATGACTAGGATATGTAGGTAGTTTCAACTTGTATTTCTTCATTAGTGCATTTGGCACAAATCTCCCACCTGAAAATAAAATGAAAAGACTATAAAACGTTGCATAAGTAGAAAAATATCTATATTGACGCTTTAAAATAAACATAGTTAGCAGATATGGAAAGTTCATATGGTTAACTAAGGATAATACAAGTCAACGTTTCAGAGATCGAAGTCGATTCACATTCAACTCAATATCTTGAATTAATATAGTTCAGCTGTTTGTTGGTCTACAGACAAGATGATTTCGCATTAACGTTGCATAACTAAGTCAATCAGTAATTTGATCGAAGCAACCCAACTCTACATAATAAACATGACATTATTTGTTTGCTTATTAATTAATAAGTTGTCAGTAAGTTAATAAGTTAACAACGTAAATCTATCTTTATCTTTATTCTTATCCAATACGTTTCTGTGGGTAGAATTTTCTTTATTTAATGTTCCATGAAAGAGTTTCGTATTTTTAGATTTTATTATTGACACGAAATACTCAGATAGTGTTTTTTCTACTGGGAACACCTTAGAATTTTTCTTTTTAGTTATATGATTCGAATTTATATTTTACGCATGGAGAATCCACAATTACCAAAATGATAGATACTTTCTCAGAATTAGTAACTTGATCTGTCAGGACGTTATTTTGTCCTATAGATTTTTAAATGATAAATACAGACAATTTGTAGTGACATCAGCTTTTGTATAGATAGTAAGAGCTCCATTGAAAAAAGATTGGTCTTCCTATTTCTACACGTTTATGTTGAGAAGTTTTATTGGCTGAGTATCGTTACGTTGTGATTAATCTCTTCCTAATTAAATGTCGAAGAAATGGATTTCAATGGTTAAGATCATGAGTCAGTTGAAGCTAGACTACCATGGAAAACCTGGGAGCACTGGACAGCCGTTTCGTCCTGTTGTGGGACTCTCCAGCAGTGCGCGTCCACGACCTCGCCCCCTGCGAGATTCGAACCCAGGACCTACTGGTTTCGCGCGCGAGCACTTAACCACTAGACCACTGAACCGGCATCCAACGGTGTTAATGTATAACTTCAACTAATCCACGAAATTGAGCGACACATCCTCCATTGTCTTCAGTGAGTTACTATCTCACAACAGACCTGGTTGAACTCCACTGATCACTACTTCTTTACACTTCTTTCGCTAAATGTTATGGAAATTTGTCTAGGAAAATATGGTGTATAACATTTTTTAAAATATGTGTTGATCATTAAAAACAGTATTACCACACAATCTGAGTCACTACTTTTTAGGTTACATGATGTTCTACTCACCTTAGAAACGAAAATAGGTCAATATGATATGTAATTTTAAAATGATTTTATTTCCAAAAGATTGTGTTTATGTACTTTGTTCAATGGTTAGATATTATCAACAACAAACAATCAACAACTAGAGATACTTCCTCTAAATATACATGATTCTATTTAATGACTTGTAAATAATAAAAACTAAGATTTGATGAGAACAAAAAGTGTAAAATCAACTGTCTATACCCAATTTTGCTGAAATCATTGATTTGGGTCTGACTGACTTTAACTGCCTAATATCGAAATATAGTTCATATGAGTTTTTCTTTTTAGAAATGAATTTCATGTTGGAACTTTATTAATAAAATTTGTACAGCATTAAAGACTAAATAAACATGAACTGATAGAGATTCGTAGTTAAGGCGGATGGTTTTAATGGAATTTCGCGCTCTGAACTGAATGGTTCAATCATGAAACTTTCATTATTCTTTGTTCCTTTTCTATCTGAAGTTTGTGCTGATGATGTTGTTTAAAAGAACTATGAAAGCTTCATGACTAGAACATCCAACTCGAAGGAATGAAACTTTACCAAAAACATGACATTAATTATCACTTAGTGATAAATCAGTGTAAATATGACAGTTCTACGATTTGATGAGTCATAGTTTAAATAAATTCGGTTAAAATCACATAAGGAGAATACATTCCTTTGAGACTGAAGATAAGTATGCCTAATTGACAAGTGTCAACTATTGTTAAATGTAGATTATGGAGATTCCTGTCGATAATCGCTCACCACCTTACACTTCTATTTTCTGAATAGCTAATAATACCATAGAAGTCAATAATTAGATCAAATGAATAAGCCAGCAGCTCTTCCAGAGTTACTGCCGGTCCCAAGCCCGGGTAAAGGAGAAGGGTTGGGCATGGGGTTAGCGTCCCCGTCCCGTAGAAAACTAACTCGCTAAAAAACGCTTACCAGAAAAAAAACCATTTAAACTCTGCCTTGAGAGTTAGAAGGGCTTCATTTAGAAGAATTATGACGCTTCATGGTGAAAGCCAAGTTCCTTCGGAAGCCACGAGGCCGATGCCCCTTCTAACAACCAGAGCAAAATTTTTATAGGTACATGGAACGTCCGAACAATGTGGGAAACCGGGAAGACCAGTCAAATAGCAACGGAAATGAGGAGATACAAATTGGCAGTACTCGGAATCAGCGAAACCCATTTGACCCAAGCTGAACAACAAAGGCTAAATACGGGAGAGATGTTACTATACTCCGGTCATGAAGAGGAAAATGCTCCGCACACTCAGGGAGTTGCTCTAATGCAGTCCAAAGTAGCACGAAATGCACTTGTAGGATGTGATTCTCACGGATCCAGAATCATCAACTTCGAGATCAACAAGCTGGATTCCGTAAGGATCGGTCGTGCACAGACCGAATTGCAACACTACGGATCATCGTCGAACAATCAGTTGAGTGGAACTCATCACTATACATCAACTTCATTGATTATGGAAAGGCATTTGACAGTGTGGATAGGAGGACGTTATGGAAACTTCTTCGACACTACGGAGTTCCTGAGAAGATTGTCAATATTATCCGGAACTCATACGACGGACTACAATGCAAAGTCGTGCATGGAGGACAGCTGACGGATGCATTCCAAGTAAGGACCGGAGTCAGACAAGGCTGTTTACTCTCTCCCTTCCTCTTTCTTCTGGTGGTCGACTGGATTATGAGGACCTCGACATCTGAGGGAAAACACGGAATACAATGGACAGCTCAAAATCAATTAGACGATTTGGACTTCGCAGATGACCTAGCCCTCCTATCCCATACACACGAACATATGCAGACAAAGACAGCCAGTGTAACAGCAGTCTCTGCATCAGTAGGCCTCAGCATACACAAAGGGAAAACCAAGGTCCTCAAATTCAAAGTGGAGAATAGCAATCCAATCACTCTTGAGGGCAAAACTCTGGAAGATGTAGAATCCTTCACATACCTGGGAAGCATCATCGATGAACAAGGAGGCTCAGATGCAGACATAAAGGCAAGGATTGGCAAAGCAAGGACAGCATTTCTACAGTTGAAGAACATATGTAACTCAAAACCACTGCGAACCAATATCAAAGTGAGAATCTTCAATACGAATGTCAAGGCAGTTCTACTGTACGGAGCTGAAACTTGGAGAACTACAACAACCATCATCAAGAAGGTGCAAGTATTTATAAATAGCTGTCTACGCAAGATACTCAACATCCATTGGTCGGATACCATCAGTAACAGCCTTCTCTGGGGGGAGAACAAACCAGCTTCGAGCTGAAGAGGAAATTAGGAAAAGACGATGGAAATGGATAGGACATACACCAGGCAAATCATCAAACTGCATCACGAGACAAGCCCTAACTTGGAATCCTGAAGGGAAGCGGAAAAGAGGAAGGCCAAAGGACACATTACGTCGAGAAATAGAATCAGATATGAAAAGGATAAATAACAACTGGAAGGAGCTGGAAAGGATTGCCCAGGACAGGGTTGGATGAAGAATGCTGGTGAGCGGCCTATGCTCTTTCACGAGGAGTAACAGGCGTAAGTAAGTATCTTCATTATTTAAAAGGAAAATTATAAAAGAAAGTATCCTTCGTTTCAATTGATCTAATAATGTAAACAGTTTCAATTTAAATATGTACAATTTTACTTTTATCAGAAGGGGTTTTGTAGACATTTTAGTAATTTCAGTAGCTGAAATCATGAGTCAATTGAAGCTAGACCACCATGAAAAACCTGGAAGCACTGGACGGCCGTTTCGTCCTATCGTGGGACTCCTCAGCAGTGCGCATCCACGATCCCGCCCCCCAGCGAGATTCTAACTCAGGACCTATCAGTCTCACGCAGTGGCCTAGTTGTTAAGCGCACGCACGCGAGACCAGTAGGTCGTGGGTTCGGATCTTGCGAGGTGGAATCATGCATGCGCACTGCTGATGAGTCCCACAATAGGACGAAATGGCCGTCCAGTGCTTCCAGGTTTTCCATGGTGGTCTAGCTTTAATTGACTCATGACTTCAACTATTGAAATTATACTTTTGTTGGGAAAGTGGACAAAGGAGAAATTGATTTAATAAATAAATAAAAAGAAGGTAATGAATAATTCTCAACCCAAATTCTATAAATAATAAGTTTAATTATACATGTGAATAAAAATGACCAATTAAACTTTAATTGCATCATTTTAATTCATTTTTTCCACTTGATAATCAGACAATTAATTATAATTTATTAATGCAAATTATATGGTCACAATTACAGTACAGACAGGAAGTTGTTTCGGCATAGAATTTTTATAACCATCCTGGAGACACAGAGAGAGGGATATGAATGTTTTTCCAATAGGTAGTGATATATTTATATACTTGCAAACGAACTGATGTATACTAGACCATTTAATAAGATAAACAAACTGATTGTTTATATAGTAGACTTAATCAATATACATAAAACTATGTATACTGGATACATATACAAATGTACTTCAGATATTCAATCAATGAAGATAATTTTATGACAAAGTATACTAAATAAAAACATTATGATAAACAAGACAATTAGGAACGATTAAAAATCATAATAAACTTGTGTATATGTGTACATATTTGAATGGTTAATGTAGGCATAATAATTTCTCACTAATTCATATAGTTGTTATAGAGGATGTAATTAATTCTTTTATTTATTTATTTTAATTTTCACCGACTATTAGTATATTCCTCATATTTTCATTTTGTTTTTATGTATTAGTTATTATCATTAACACAGATGTTTGATACTCAACTTCACTTCCATTTTAATATATTTGGACTCTTTTTTGTACAGAAGCTGAGTGATACGGGATCGAATCCGTCAGGGAGCACCAGTTCCCTTAAGATTACAGATGCACCTTGCTGACGAGTGCCAAGAAGCACGAAACCCAGGTCTAGGGTTTCCTGTCGACTACCTCCAACTACCATCTAATCTCAATATGTAGTGCCCGCAGTGTCGAGTCACCTAGACTGGTGGCCACATTGCAACATGGTCAATAGCATTCGATCTGCACTAAATAAGGACTTGACACACATGACACTGATCACTACTCAGCGATCAATCAATTGTGAGATTACGTAATCGGCGAAATTCTTTTAGGACAGTTATTTATTATTGGAGAAAAGATAGATTAACTATCAGTCAGTCAGTTACAACATAGGACCAGGCACATATATGCATCGGTCCAAGTTGCCACACCGCATTAGCACAGCAAGACGAACATCAGATTCATAGAAGCAGTTATTCAATGGTGTAATATATAAAGGAAAGATTTTATAAAAGGATATAGTACAGAAAGAAAAAATTAGTTCGTAGAAAGATATGAAATAATTTTAATCTCATAGTTTAAGGGAAGACAAAGAGTGTATACACCTACGCCAAGTGGACTGAGTTGTGTTGGTAGGTGTAGACTACCTGGTTGAATGACATCGCTCAAAATAGTTTGCAATGGCGCAGGTGCATCCACTCTTTGTATTCTCCCAAATTCTAATCTTCTGAATTCTTCATGTCCCTTTCTTTTTCTCTTTCCAAATTTATTTCACTGGATTATACTCCTTGAATAACATCGTCAAACCTTAAACTTTTACTATCTCTACCACTATGGGATTTGAATCGACAATTGTATTTGTGTGCTAATGTGGTATGGCAACTCGATCTGATGTGCGTACGTACGAAGTTCTACGTTGCTACTGACTGACACCTACGCCATTGTGATAGATTCAGAGCCATGTCACCAATAGTCTTCAACCATTGGTTACCATAGTTGCGCGGACCTCAATCAAGTAGTCTGCATCTACCAACATGGCTAAGACTAGAAGTTAGTGACTATACCTCTATTTATATAAATTTGTTAAGAAACAATAGGTCGTAAAGATTTCTGCAAAGTAAAACAAGTCAATTTATTATTAATAAGATTGCGAAAACCATCACTTCGTAATTACTGTCTATCAAGTGTGTATCAATCACATTTTATTTTCTTCCAAGTACAGATTTCAATAAACACATTCAGAAAGTTTCATGAAGGCATTTTTTCAGATCTTCTTATGTAATTGTTTTCATAAATATATTGCAAATTCATAAGTTCAGTAAGAGGGTATTTATATAAGTTTGATTGGTTTATGATTATTTGATGTTATATACTAAAAGCGACATAGCTCTTTTCAATACCTCTCTAATTATTTCTTACTAAATGTCATCTTCCTAAGATGGTAAAGAAGATGTAAACGGAAATTTTCTTTACACCTGAATGTTTAAATTTTTTTTTGAGTAAACTTATTTTCATATTTCATGAAAAAACTATATTCATTGATTTCTAATTATTTTTACATTATATTGTCAGAATACAATATTCGTGTTATGATTAGATTATCATCAGAAGCGGTAGTAACTCACTGAAGACAATGGTGGATGTGTTGCTCAATTTCGTGGATTAGTTGAAGTTAGACATCAACATCGTTGGATGCCGGCTTAGTGGTCTAGTGGTTAAGTGCTCACGCGACCACGACCAGTAGGTCGTAGGTTCGGATCTCGCAAGGTAGGGTCGTGGATGCACACTGTTGAAGAGTCCCACAGTAGGATGAAACGGCTGTCCAGTGCTTTCAGGTTTTCCATGGTGGTCTAGCTTCAATTAACTCATGATCTTAACTAGTGAGATTAGATTATCTTTGCAATTAGTAGAATAAAGAGTATTGCCTAGTTCATTTCTTTTTTTGAGTTTGAGCTTTCTAATTTTCATTTCAATTCTCCATTCTATATCAAACTAAATATAGGCTGTTTGCAGTTGATGAAAAATCTTTCACAGTTTACTCTGTAAAATTATTCAAAGAATTAGATGCCTCTAAATTTCAGTATAAACTGAATAGATGTGTATGAATATTCTTAGAATCAATTTGTTTTACAGTAAAGTAGATGTTAATGATTTCTAATTAAAAATCAGCGTATAATCTGGATCTCTTGACCAGTTTTTTTCAACAAACAACTAACATACAAACTCAAATGAAAAACCCATCATATATATACATATATAAAGTTAAATTACCGAGAAAATGATACTGTCCTTGAAAGAATTGAGCACATAATTTCGGTGCAGTTAATGATATTAAACAATCCGGTTTTAAATTATTTTCACTATCTAATGGTCCAGTTTCCACATTCCACCCTGTTATGGAATAAATAAACAAAAATATATAATAATAACCATTAAACAGAAATACTGAAACATTTATTTAGCGCCCCCCCCCACAAAACCAACATCATAGTTCTATTAAAATGATTAACAACTGTAATTTGAAATATATATTTCTCTTCTTCTTAGGATTAGACTGAAACACAAGGTCATACATTTAAAATAATCCTAATGATAAGTCATCTTGTTTTAGAGGGGAGCTATTTGTGGAAAAATATTGGAAATTGTTTTGGATTTTATAAAGTTAGGAGGGAAAAAAAGATGATGAAGCTTATAGTTGTTTACTGTTTATTTGTAAAATAATCCTTCATCAATGGATAATAAAAGTGGTGGGGAGATCCAGAATATTCCTCAAAAAAAGCCCAGAGGCTCTGAAAACGCTAGAAAACATTTTATCCAATCAGTATTGAGCAGAAGTATCTCTGACACATCTATAAGATGAAGAGTCACGTGTCACACCTCTGACTCAATGATTACCTATCCCGCTATTTTTAGTAGCGTTCCAGAACTTTCCAGAAGCTCAAGGTCATCTAAAATGCTACAAATACTCTAAATTTTCTGTACATAAACGAACCTTGTAGTAAAGCGTTTTTCCATATTTCGCATCTTTTCTCTTGTGTTCAAGTTGTTGTGTAGATTTACCCCGGGGTTATTAAAAGAGCTTATAGAACTAATTCAAGCGTTCAGTCAGAAGATTTATTGAAAAGAAACAAAGAATAGTATAGTTTTTAAAAACTACGATATAATTATCATTATTATTATGATTATTAGCTGGTTAATTATCTACTATAAATCAAAAGAAATTTCTACCGGCGGCTAACTGGCATTGTTAGTAGTTAAACAATAGACTTCTAATAAGTTTCTATCATTAACTTAAGTGTGAGGTTAGTAATACGTAAAATTTTAGTTCACTGTTGTCCAAATTAGATGCTAAGAAAAAAAACTAAATAGAATAGATGAATGATTTTTTGTACACATTTCATGGACGTGGGGCTTAAAGTAAAAAGAAAATAGTAGGGTATATCATAAGAATAAGATTACCAGATGAAAAGTGGCTTCAATGATTATATACATATAAGGACTTGAAGTAGCCCATTATGTCATTGACTAGACAAAAAAACAGAATTCAATGAAGAAAATTTTCTTTTCGATAATATCATTTATTAAAGCTGGATACTTCTATTTACAATGACCTAATAAATAGATGATTTTATAGAAGAATAAAAAGAAATTACATTATAGTGTTTTGAGATTTTACATATTAAATGTACTTGGATCCCAGTGTTGATGCTCTCAATGGGACTTAAACATAATACCTTTCGCTTTAAAATCCTACATACTGTTCATTAAGCCATTGAATACTGTATTCCAGTGCTAGCTACAAGCTATCTGTCCCAAAAATCTTGTAACAAAATGACCATAGAGAGGTGATTAATGAAGGATTTTCCTACAGGTTGAAGGTCAACAATAACTAATTAAGAACAAGCTGTCAGTTATATATGAAGAAATTCGAATACTTTACTTCTATCTTAAGTTTATGCTGATGATATTGTTCAGAAGAATAACGAAAAAGACTCCATAATTAAAGCATTTAATTCAAAGAATGAAACTTCACCAAGAACTATATGTTAATTAAGTAGAACATTTCAGTAGGACTTAAAGTCAGGAGTTATTGTTACATACCAATGCATGGCAAATAATATTTAGAATAGAATTCAACTTCATAATAAAAATGATTTATATTGGTATAGCCATTAATGGATAGGTAATTAAATTCCCTACTTAACAGAATAGAACACAAATATACATGTAACATTTGATTACTTAATATTTTAAATTATAAAATATAATTATAATAATAATGGTATTTTACAGAAATCGATGTTATTTTACTAGTCTATCGATTCAATAATGTTGTAACTTATTTACCACGAACAAGTCTCATGTATTAAGCTTCTAATCATACTATATTTGTATGAAGGATAATGATGTTAACTGGTTGCTTAAACCAAAGTAGATACTACTGGATTCGAACTTACAATCTATTGGTTGGAAAGCTACACAGTTTCACAACTATAGATCCAATAATAAAAGTCTGACATATCTAAAATGTCAATAAGAGACTGATCAATTGCAATCCTAACCATCAATGGGAAGATTCAAACAAACAATACAAAAATGAATCCATACTATTTACGTGTTTTGTGAATGTAATACAATGATAGATAATTCTGATGTCATTACTGTTTATTGTAGGGTAAAATAAAATCTGGATACATAAATTAATTAATTATGTTTAAGAATCACTGGTTTAAACTTGTGATTTTGTTTTCTCGAATCTTTCCTTCTGAAATTCGAAACTATTAATGATAATAATACATTTGTGACGTTTCATAAGAGCTAGCGTTTTTCGACCTTTATATACACATAAATATATAACTAGTTGTAACAGTCAAAATAATAAATAATGTGACATTCAAATGGGCTTCTTCATTGTTTAAATGTATGAAAGCATAAACACGAACGAAGTTTAAAATGTGATCTGTTCAAACAAACCAAAACAAGTCATGCTTATTGTATGTCTAATAGGATATGGAGGGAGGGAGGATATAAAAAACAATGATAACAGTTTATCAGATAGTCCTGATCATAATTACATGGTACATATGATCTACTTTACGCTACATGATGGTAATAAATCTAATTTTTGGTCAATTTTTGTATATATATATATATATATATATATATGCAATGAGATGTTATGACTTGTGGGGTCAACGAACTCAGTAATAAGATAATACAGTCTAACACTGGTATTGGATAATGGTTGCAGCAAATCATAGATAGATGTTAGCCAGAAACGAGGTAGTACATACACAGAGCTTAATGTTTTCAAACGAGAAACAGCAATTCATTGACATTATGTTTTCAAATGTTCATCACTGGACTTCTATATCCATGATCATAAAACTGTCTTCACGTCAAATCAATACACAGTAAGTATTTTGAAAAATATATATATCATAACATGAACAATAGAACTTTTAAAGCAAGGAGGTAAGAAAAACAATAAACACGAACTAGAAAAGTGGGGTGGAGGGAAGAAATTAGTAGCAAAACATATAATATATATACACACATCTGAATAAGTATTCGAATGCACTAATCACATGATGTGCACAACACTTCAACCACACAAGATACAATATTAGGTGATATGACGTCCTATCTACAGGTAAACGGAAATAATGCATGAATACATTTCATTACTTCTATATAAAACATATGGGGGGAGATAGAATTGGTATTCGATTTCTATCATCGATACTATAAATTATATTGCTAGCAGTAGTTAGATTATTTCAAGTTTATCTAAAACTCTCAGCTATTTATCGATCGTTAGAAGAAATGAATATTAAATTATATCTAATAAAAATCAAAAAGATAGGCAAAAATTTAGGTAAGATAGTATTAATTCTCCTTATGTGAATTCAGTGATATGTTGTTATTTAAACAAGTATCGAAGTTAAGACATACATCAGTGACTAGAGAGGATAAATAGCTTGCTATTTAGTCATCCATTGTGACTTGTATCATTTAAGGTTAATAATCTGCCTACCAAACTAAATGACCTGACATAGTAGTTACATGATGAATAATGTTTGAAAGATAAGCTTTTTTTAAAGGTTGGATTAATGTAGAACTTATCAATGAAATATGAAAACTAGGCCTTAACCTTTCTTATCGATCGTCACCACTTACTAAATACTAATATGATTTAACTGAATGAAATAATCCATTAATAAGGTATGTTATAAGTGAATCAGAGGTACATTGATTACCTTCACATGTAGTATTTGCCATATGGCAAAACAATTCAGTGTGAACAGAAGATAGTTTAGAGGAAAATGTAATTCAAAAGTGAAAGTATAAATTAACTTGATGTAGCGATTTGAACCGATATAGATGTTCCATGTTTTACGTTGTTTATGACTAATTGACTGAATTCTATGAATTATGAACGAGTAATTGGGAATCACAATAACATGTATGTCCACGGTATAACGATCAGTGCTTAATTACATTTCTAATAATTTTCGATAATCGGCCTTGAGTTTTTATTGAACCTATTCATAAGACTACAGTACCAATTATGACCTAGACGATTTTATAAACAGATATCAGTTTGGGCTTCAACAATACTTAATCCATTTTTCCAGTGGATCATAAAACGCGCCACATCCAGTACAAAACGTAAAGCGCATGTTTATATTGAAAACTGGAAGGAATCGTATCAACAAAACAAATTACTTCAGCTATATACAAATGTGAATTCAGTACACCTCAAGTTATACAAGAAAGATTATTATTAGGAAATATTATGAGCAGTGACAATACTATAAATTTCTAAAAGTTTATTTTTGAGAATCAACACATATTACTACTTAATGCACAAGCATTATATGCAAAGATGGATAATGGCTAACAGTGGAATCCAGGACGTGCGTTTCGTCCTATTTGAGACTCGTCAGCTGGATGTACCTGCATCTTAGACCTGATGTTCGCTCTGGGACTCGAACCCAGTACCGTTCGCTTCAAATGCTATCGCGTTATCCACTTAGCTACTGATTCTTTCTTTATAATGCTTGTGAATTAAGGTACTATCGAGGCAACACGCACACATGCCAATAAGAGACTAGGCAATTGCAGTCCTAAACATCAATGGGAAGATTCAAACAAGAATACCAACTGAATTTACATGCTACTACTGTTTTGGATTTGCAAATGAGATTGATCAATACTACTCTCATGAAAATTTGAATATTTTGAACTATGTTACTTACAAGTAGTTAGAAAAGAAACAACATAGATAAGACTATAAATTACAAAGTAATGATCTACGAATGACTACTTAATAACTTAGTACTACTTCAACCATTATGTATTTTTTTGATGCGAAACTTGAGACCAATAAAACAGCTTGAATTTCAAAAGCAGGATGTCAAACTGAGTTGTTTAGTTATGAAAACTTGGGAACGTTGTACAGTGTGGTTTTATATAACCGTCTTACTTTATGTTATTCAGCTTGTAAAGTTGCCACATAAATTTACGTAATTCATACGGTGTTTCATTAATAGATCGATCAAGAGCTAGTTGTAAATAAGTGATAATCAACAGTGTTCCCACCTGTTTTTCGATATCAATTTTATTCATTGATCAATGAAAAACACTAAAGTATCCTAGAGATTAAATAAACTAATTTATTTATTTAGAGCTTAACACGAAAGATTCGTTCTTTTCTTGTAACTATATGAAATGTAACTCATCTAACTTATATGTACTAACATAAGTGAATATGAACCATATTTTTATTGTAACAGCTACCTAGCTGTTCAAAATTCTGTAAATGGAGAAGTAGTATTAGAAACTGTGACACCGGTTGAAGACTGTATATATATATATATATATATATATATATATATATATATATATATATATCAGCATGATAATATGTCTTACAAGGGTTGAGGTGATTGTAGTATAGAAACATAACACTAAAAGTATACTTACCTGATGGAACATCTATTGATATGACAGGAATTTGACTTGTTGACATAATTTGTAATATACTTTTGAATTCTAGACTTACAGGCGGTTTGAAACCAAATCCAAAAAGTGCATCGATGAATAGATCATAAGATTGAGATAAGTTAACTGTCTAGTTAAAGAAAAATGTAAGAGAACAATAGAAATAACAATAGAGATAAAGAATAAACATTATGTAGATCACCATGTCTTTTGCCTCGTTTATTATCACGTGACAAAGTCACCAAAAGAAATACCGACTTATATGACCTTGGCACTGCGCGAAGCTAATGACGCGTTAACCAGTACGAGTAGTCTAGAGTTAACTCTGAGTCCTTTATTAGTTTTCGCCTAGCTCTTTCTGTTTGGGTTCAGAACGCAATCTTCGTTTCCACTGTATGAACCGTGTATTTCAGATATACACAGTTTATATACAAGCGAACCAGACCGCACCATACCATAAAATAAAAAATAACAATTATACAAGATCAGACCGAAAGTGGCTGCAAATGTGATATACTGTAACTAATAAATCGGGAATAACTTAAGAATAGTGAATCGTATAATAATAGTCAATAAATCAAACATAAGCTTATTATAAAAGGAATATGAATATATGTAATAATAGTTCATAAATAATTCCTAGCAGCTACCATTCACTTATTTTTCGCTAGGATATAACAATTATCCATGAACATAAATTAAATATATATTTTCTGATTAAAAATATAGTTGGATAACTAGGATTAGAAGTACCATATATAAACTAAATAGACTAAACATGGATTTTTTCAGTGTTGGAATTTTTTAGTGATAATGAGAACAATTGAAAAGTACTTTGTAGATTGTTAAAAATCTATTATTATTATTATTATTTCTACCAGTGACTTAAGTATAATGCCCGTCATATTCGTACTGTCTGATATGGATATTGTGAGAGAGCTGTGCTTATAAACTGTTTAAAGTTATTTCAGATCACTGTGTATGCTACTTATGCTGACAGATCTAAGTAGTACGTAACGCCAGTCACAAGTGGAATGAATGACAGCAGAAGATTGAGAAGATTGAACTGAAGACAACAGAAATGAAAGGACGATGAAGTTTGTAAGAGATAGTTGATGGAAGATGTAAAAATGACCCATTTAATGTATGGTTTTCATAATTTACAAAGATGCTGTAACTCTGAACTGAATAACGAATTGGTTTTCCCCATCTGAGTGTTCGTTCACTACAACTGTTATTCAGTTAGCAGGAGAAATATAATATCACAATTAGAAATGAAAAAGGAATGAGAAGAAATCAAACATCAAGGTATGGAGAATCAAAACTTTTTGAATACAGTGAATTAACGTCTACAATTTGCACAATACTATTTTAATGACAGCTAATCTAGAATACTAGGAAACTGAACGCTTAACCGTAAACTTTTTAAATAATTCTAACTTTTAATGATGTATATTTAGACTATGTGGTTTATTGTTAGGTCTTAAACTATTATCACTTAGTGTAGGTGGAATACAGATATATGTGATTATTGATAAATATGGTTTTGTTAGTATGATTAATATATTATGCCATCAGTGGATAATGTAGTTTACGCGCAAAGTAAATAAAAATATCTACACACAAAAACCCGTCTCATTCTATAATAATCATTTTTATACCAGTGACTGGTTTTTGAGATGGACGTTTTGCAGTTCACAATTGAAAGTTAAGATCTACGAAATCAGAATATTCGGGAATGAGAAAGTGACTCAGTTACAATACTTAATCAGTATTATGCTATACGACAAATTGACTGAAATTAAAAATCCTAACCTCAGGGATTTTTATTCAGTAGTTTATATATAATGCTCAATACACAAATTAGGTTGGTATCCATGTAAGATTAACTATAGGTGAGTACCAGTTTCACAGTATCTGGGTGCCACGTTGATGTGAGACATTAAAGAGGAAGAATGTATTTGAAGAAAATATATTTCCTTGAAAAAGCTTGGACCAGATTGACAGGCGAAACGTTGGATTTACTTCAAATTCATTCGCTGAAATTTTACAAGTATATTCTTCCTCTTTAAGAGACGAGTACTGCTAAGAAGTTATGAACTAAAGGGAATCATCAACTGTTTTTTTTACCAGTATGTTAGCTTTTAAAAGTTTTTTGTAGTAGTTGAAATCAGTTCGTGATGAAAACCACTTTTAAAATATACAAAATGTTTTACACAAAAAACCAACTTACTTCATTTGTCAAATCTGATAGAAAAGGAATGTCCATTTTTTCACACTGAATAACTAAATTTTTATACAATTGTTTGGTTGGATTACGAGGATAATGTATAGAAGGTTTGTAACCCTACAAATGACAAGATAAACACGAGAAAAGAAAAACAAACAATCTGGTATTTAAGGGTGAAATAACAAACAAAATTGAAGGGTTATTTCCTCTATATATGAAATAGATAACCTTGATAAGCATTGTTTATCATGCGTGCAAACGAAAGAAAATCTATACAAGAGTAGTAAATGTCTAAACAGAAAGGATAAGGAGAGTGGGGAAAGTGACTCCTCGAAAAAAGATTTCGCATGGAACAAAACTGCTAATAATAAATCATCATAGTGATTCAATCGGCAAAATCGATAATCGATGTTTATCATGCCAACAATGATTAACTTTCACGGATTACTGAAAAAGTTGCAGAAAACATACAACTTTTAAAAGTGAGAATCTTCATTTTAAGACTTAACACTACAAAATAGAATGAAAAAAATCAGTGAGTACTGAATGTGAAACTCGAAATTTCCAAATGACTTACAAAATATGTTGACTATTTCAAGTAGTAATCAAACTACTCGACTCTTAGTTGTCAATAGGTATCAAGGGTTCGGATCTCACTTTGTCTAGTTTTATACAGACCACCGAGTAGTTATTGTAAAAACAGCTTGACTTTATACTAAGCAACCAATAAATGAATAAGATATTTCTTTGGTGTTATTTTGTACCAAATATTTTCATTTTATAAAAATAAAAACAAGTTATTGATCATTTTTGACGATAAAATGAAACTGTTATAACTTGTGACCGCAGATTAGAGAGCAGTGACTTATCGATCGGGACAATGACGCGTGAACCCTAATGAGCAGCCCAGAGTTCTGATTGGCCCTGCTTTCCGCCTAGCCCAACCAGTTGAGTCCAGAACACAAGTCTCAGCCTCTGCAATATGAATCATGTAATTCAAACATACTCCGTTTATATACCAATCAAGCAGACCACATCGTACCATAAAATAGAAAATAACATTTGTACAAGATTTGGCCAACAGGAAAATGACACGTGAAATAAATATTGACCAATAGGAAAATGATGCTACTTCAAGTGCAAGGATAGCATTAGACTTAACAGGATAATTTTTGGGATATTTTTCTGAATATCCCAACAGAAACATTACACATTAATACCAGGTAATGATGTCATAGTCGTGATAAGAATAGAACTGATTTCGATTGGCTAATCTAAACTGTTTAGAGAAATTTATTTGTAAAAAAGTCCAATCAAGTCAAACTTACAAACATTTTCAAATGTCGAGCACAAACTAAACCATCTCCACCATTGTTTCCTGGTCCACAAAAAACAAGTACAGAACCATTGGATTTAGTTAGCTTGTTAAGGGGATAAGCCTGTGTGGTTTAAAGGAAATTTATAATGTACTGAATAACTGGTAAATAGATAGATTACAAAAGTATGTTTTAACATGAAAGGTTGTATATATTATTCATCGATATTTTTTTCATCAATATACTGTGAACTAAATTAGTTCAAGTATAATGACGAAGGTTTATATCAATTTTTTAGATAATTCTATTAGCAAAAAGAGAGAACCTAGTTGCTTAGTTCCTTTATTTTCATTAAATGATGAGTTGGCAACTTTTTTTGAGTAATCTATCTTTTAAACTATCAGGAAATAATGAATACTGAAAGTGTTATTACACGAACAGTACAGTGGTAAAGGTTATCTTTCATGTGTAAAAGCAATGCTATATTATTCAGTAGCTTCGATTAACACTTATGTAACTAGATACTTTCTTCATTTTGAGCTTTTGATTTAATAAGAGAATCTTTTTGATCATTTCCATTTAGAGTAAAGAATCAAGAAGATTTAACAACTAGAATACATGGCACATTGTTATGTCTATCACAATAGTATTCTGCTTATTTATTCATTTCTATGTATACTTAACAATTTTTTAAAAAGTACTTTACGAAAAAACAAGCAGATTATCTTTTTATGGTTTCCAACTCAAGATGAAAACACACTGAACTATATTAGATAATAGTCAGATAGAAATATATTTCAATACAAATTAGGAAATGTTTATATATCTGATAAGTTATTTGGAATATATATTTTACAAAAATAGAAAACGTTATTTATCTCTTACTGAACCAGTCAGTCAGTCAGTAACAACATAGAACTTCGTACGTACGTACATCAGTCCGAGTTGCCATACCACATTGGCACAGAGTTACAGTTGTCGACTCAAATCCCATAGTGATAGAGGTAGTAAGAGTATAATAAGTAATCGGAATGATTAGGGTTTGACGATGTTATTCAACGAGTATAATACAGTGAAACAAATTTGGAAAGAGAAAAAAAGAGACAAAGAGAATTTGGGAATATACAAAGAGTGGATGTAACTGCGCCATTGCAAACGATTTTGAGCCATGTCATTCAGGGTCTCTAACCATCGGTTGCTATCATCTCGCGGATCCCAACAAGGTAGTCTACACCTACCAATATGGCTCAGTTCACTTGTCAATGACTTCATGAATTTGTGCCATGTTTTGGTCTGGCCGCCCCTAGCTTTCTTCCAACCTACTCCTATACCATGAAACATCGCACGTCGGTCGTTGGGCATACATAACACGTGTCCCAGCCATCTCAACTGATGACGTTTCACTACGTCATCAATTGATTTGCCATCCTTACCTAGTACCTGTTTCCTAACAACTGCATTACTTACTCGGTGGTTCCAGGATATACGAGCAATGCTTCGAAGTATATCTTGGGACCACCGAGTAAGTAATACAGTTGTTAGGAAACGGGTGTTATAAATAGAGAATATTTAAATTAAGAAAAATACTAAACAGCTTCATTTCTGTCGTTATATACCTACTCTTTAAAACAAAAATGTATTTATATAGAAAATGGTTCTTTGTACTGATCTATCTCACTTCAAAGACCATAGTCACATTATGATAAGGAATCTAGTGATATGATGGGATAATATGGCAATCATTTTCATGCGCTAAGTTACTATTGAGTTATGATATTAACCTTTTGTTCGATGATGAGAATACTTCATTTACATGATTTGTTATCACAATAGTAATGATGTTCAGAGAATTTAAAGAATAGGTGAACCATAATAAATACAGTATAAGATAAAAACATAAGCAATCACCTTATTGATAGCAACAGCACAGCTTAGACCAGCTAATTCCATCAGCTGATCAACAGAGAAAGCATATTCTGTAAATAATTCATTATCTACTTGTTGAGCTTCTACCTGACTAGATAAACAATACAAATATGAAATCAGTAAATATCTACAGTCACTCACACACAATCAACTTACAGCTTGATATAGATCTGCGATAGCCCACGTCACATCATATCAACACGAGATAAAATTAACAAAAGGAATAGCGAAATAGTCGAAACGATATTTGTAAGGAAGGATTAAACATTGGGCAATATAGTTCGAAAAGAACGAACGATTTCGATGGATAAAAAGTACAAAGTAATGTTGAAAGTCAATATCCACATTTGTAAATGAAGATTAATCATACATGGAAGTCTAAAGATGATCAGTAAATGAAATCCCACAATATTAACTATGAAATGATAATCAAATGAAGACGAATTCAGATTATTTGTTTGAATTTTTAGAAATTACTACAATTGAAATGTACAAAAACCAGTAATAAACCAAATAGAAAATATGTTGTGAAGCTCAATTTTAATTACATTAGTTTGTGGCTTATTGTAACCAGCATATAATAAGTTGCGTTTTAGTAGAATAGTGTAGATTTACACTACAATATATTTGTAACCATACTTCTTGGACTTAAAAATCTGTCTTATCTACATTCTGAAAATATCGTTACTTGAATTTCTGTAACAAAAGAAATTATAGCAATATACTGAGAATCATAACCGATCTAAGTTAGAAAACTAATGAAAACTGGATAGCCGTTTCGTCCTAGTACTGGACTCCTCCGCATCAGTGCGCGTCTTTGATCCCCAGATCGGGAACTGAACCCGAGACTTTCGGTCTCGCGAGCGAAAGCTAAACGTCCAAACCACTGCACCGGGGTGCAGTAGTTTACAAATCTGACTGAAATCATTCAAACGTAGATATGTCGTGTTTAACCCATATGGGTCATTCTAGCATGATAATCCTGACTAATAATAAGATTTAGTTATTACAAATAGATTCTCATTAAATTTCTAATTTAAGTTTTTTTTTAAACCTAGGATTCAATTTTGATAGATCCTAATTAAACAGCTTTGAAACTCATTCAAATATAGTTATTGCGTATGAACGTGACTCCATCAACTTATTTACTCTGAAAATTAAGTTAAATCCTATGAATATTAGATTTATGATTTCACTGAATGATGAGTAGTAATGGTTAAAGCACTCGGTTAAAAGGTCAAACTTCACTCACTTCAGTTTGAGTAGTTAGATAGTATTGCTATCCTTTACAAAAACGATGCGCCTTAAAGTTGAGTACACGAACCTTTATTTGGTAAATGAACTACATTATTATTCCATTTGTCAGATAGGATTACCCTATGTTAATAGTTAAAATATCCTGAGAAAAATCCAGGGTAAATTTTTAGATTGACTTGATACCTGAGATTAGTGAGAGAAATTGAACAAATTCCTATCAGTTCCCAACTTAGTTTATAAAAGATTTGAATTTATTCATTATTTACAATATGGAGAAGATGAACTCATAGACAATAATGAGAACTAAATAAAGCATAATTGATAACTTATACAGCATTAATGATATCAACTTCACGACCTATGTTGATCAGTTTATGAATTTACAGTTATTCATTTTGCGTTAGTGTATATTTTTCCAGTCAATTAAGAAGAGGAATATTCATAGGTTTCATGACTGAATTAGCTGGAATAAAATCAAGTATACGTATAAATACCATGGTTTAATTGTCTAATGGACGTAAAACAAGTTATACCAGATTTCCTCACTCCTATTTTTTTTTAGAAATTAAAGTTGATAGAATGCAACAAAATAACCACAGCTTTAATGTACTGAATATTTTCTTTTTATGCAGTTATATCCAAACAATGTCCTAACATGGTTAACAATATCGATTTCATTTGAAATTATCATTGCTATAATTTCATACCATCGTATTTAAGTCCTATTATCGTATTAATGCCACCACTCTAGTTTCACTTCTTGTCTGTTATATGCTCTGTCAGCACTTTTTCGAATTAAATCCATTACATAGAGAGTTCAGCAAATAGATGATTTTAAATAAAGCAGGAAAATATCTGGTTCTTATTTTGATAAGTCAAAAATAAAATTACGACGTTTGTTTTTGAAACAAAAATCATTACCTTAAATAACTGACAGCCATATTGGAGAATAAATATCGGGTTCGTATACAAAGAAAATGATACTTTTGAGAAAATAACGTAAACCGTCTAATCCCAATCTAAAATGAGTTTTAGAAAATATAAACAGTTTTAAAATTATTTATTCGATAATTTTATTCCATTTTAAATAGGTAAATATTTAATGTACAATACTAGGAAGGAAGCTGCTTAATTCATCCACGTGTTATTAAGATATATTCAAGAGACAAGATATAAATTGAAACATTAAAAGAAATGAAGCGTTGACAACAAGTTTAACATATACTAGACATCTATAAATAAAATTCGACGGTTTCCACTTGAAGAGTATTGTGTTTAGAGATAAAATAAACTATATGTATCCCGTACCATTTGAGGCTTGTCAGTGACTCATCACTTTAGTTCAAAACACAAACAGTGGATCAGAAGTGACAACAAAAAGGTTCAAACTTCCCTCATTTTAGTTATATGCAAAACCATTGACAATGGCTGGACGTATATACTTTTTATCTTCCCTTTGGGCATATTATTTTACTTATTTATTTGAACACAAATATTGGTACAAGGGGGCACCAAATATATATGCGCCACACAAAACAATGACAAGGAGGAGGGAAAAAAGAAGGTAAGGAGATCATAAGGAAAAAAAGGACAATAACGACCAGATTAGTGTAAGGTAGTGTAATAATAATAATAATAATAATAATAATAATAATAATAATAATAATAGGGGAAACGAAAATGTACAACCAGAAGAACTCTTTCAGTTAAAGAAGATACGACCATTTTTTATGAAGAAAGTAAAAGCAGGTTACAGCAGGATCGCCACTGGCTTCTATCCTCAGCCATATCTGATAACGTCTCTAGCCACTGTGTCGCACCATCCCTAGGACCCCAGCCAGGGAGTCATGAAGGACCAACAGAAGCCAGCCCTTTGCAGCTTTCTTTCATACCACAACACCATGTCATGCACTGACCACCTCTCCGCTTTTTCCAACCAGTCCCAGCGTCGGCAAATAATGCACAACGTGGTAGGTTAAGTCAAACTGAAAGGAACTTAAGTGGATCATACGTTGTCAAGCCCCCAGTAAACAGATAATAGTGACCGTCTGCTGCAAATATGCTCAGATAACCGTCTACTTCTAACGAGCACCAATTCCAAGTACAGGGTAAACATTGTCCGGCGCGAAAACCCCCACAATCGACCCAACAATGTATTCAAATAGACAACATGGCCATCAACCATTGTGGGTAAGGCCTGAAAAAGGACTGTCGCTCATTTTGGAGTGTATATTTGAACTCAGGTCATGCTCCAGTACGACTACGCATTTGTCAAAGTCTCACTGGATATATAAAAGTTACCAAAAGAAAACCTCCCGGAGTTAAAGTTAATGATAAGTCACGAATAAATCTTAGGAACTGAGAAAGGAGTTAATCAACAATGAAATCGACACCCACCCCAAGGCAACTTGGGGATGACATTCAAACGGCAATGACACCCACCAGTAACCGGCACTAAAAGGTTGAAAAATCAGTGGACTTCAGCAGCTTTTGCTTAAGTAACAGATGCTTGAAAACTCATTCCCTATGGTTCCGAATACTATGAGAGGAGGCAGTTTAAACATAAGCTGATAAAAGGCCTGAGCAATTATAGCGAACAGTGAATGGAAGCGAAAGCAGAAAATATGAAAAAGACAGCGAAGACAGATAAGAGTAGGCAACTATCAAGGAAGTAGATATTAAAAATGCGATTGTTAGACTATATCGGAAAAGGTGGGTCCTTTATTCACTCTTAGTCCAGGAGATTGAGCCAATGAACAGAGCACTGAGGGAAAAGCTTAAATCCTGAAACTTTTAAGGATGATGACCTAGTTTCGCCAGTAAAACTGAGATCTTGTCTAGAATCAGACAACTGGACGCAACAAATTCTGATTGGTCTCGATCACCAATCATCCTAGTCTATAAGGAAGAACAAAAGTGCCTAATCTCAGCATTTTTCTTGGAAATTCTGGGAAATCTTGAGGTTTTTCTTTAAGTTACGTGGAAATTTGTACTTTCGCACAGAGTCGAGGTAAGACATGAGATTTCCCAAAATAACATGAAGTTTTGGGTAAACTCCATACCAGGGGAGATTTTGAGGTTTTTGTCGCATTTCCCCCAAACTGATGAAATGTTCCCCGAAATTTTGGAGAACAAGAACATGTATTCGTGATAATCACATAAGGATCGTTTGGGCAAATACAGAGTCTAAAGCATGATTCTGAATAATACTGCATCTAAACACAGGTAAATTATTCAAGCATCGTGTCCTAACAAAGCAAAATGAAAAGCACCACAAAGTAACGTACTGTGTTGAGATAGGCGCGGTCACTAAGCCCTAGTTTCAGTTTGGAAAGGATATGAGACTGGGTGGCTTGTGTTATTCCTGGAAATGGTGGTCTTTTAGAAGATCCAAATTTCTTTTGAAAGCTTCAACAGATGGAGCTTTAATCATTTGTTGAGGTATTGAATTACATTCGTCGATGGGTTCGATAGTTAGTTAACAAGTAATTTGTTTTGGGTTCGTGAATTTTCTAGAGTAACCTCGCAAATTCTCTGTTTCGGGAGGCAGCAAAAATGGAGGCATACCAAATGAAAAGTGGTCATTAAGTAATTTAAAATCTATGATCAAACAACATCAGGTTCTTCCATATGACGTTAGAAATAGATTTAGTTTAGTCAGTTGATCATCATACGGGAACTTTGCTATTCCAGGGATCAAATGGTTCAAATGGTTGTGGACGGAATAGAAGAAGCTTTCGCTTAACAGGCTTCCGTGTCCAGTAGCAGGGGATCGCCAAATCCTCCAGGCAGGAACCTAGGTATGCTAACAATAAAAGAGTAAAAGAAATTAGTAAATCATAATATGATACTATCCTTAATCCTTAAGAATAGATCAAGTTGCCTCTTGAAGAACTCCTGGAAAGTTGCTTGGACAAGCTCGCTTGGCAGCGAATTCCAGCATTTGACAACTCTTAAGGAGTAAGAGTTGTGTCTACAGTCCGTTCTGCTATGTTGTGTCTCCAGTTTTTGGGTGTTACCTCTTAGGTTAGTGTTGGAACTAAGCTTAAGTAGGTGTTTGAGAGGATGTCCAGAAGTGTTAAGGATACTATAAGCCATTAATAAATCACCTCTAAGACGTCTATACTCTAATGAATAAAGGTTGAAAATCAGAGGCGCTCTCCATAAGGTTTAAATTTGAGTCCTCGAACTGATTTCGTGGCTCTCCGTTGGATACGCTCCAGGGTGTCTTTATCCTTTTGGAATGAAGGGGGGAATACTATGTTTCTGTACTCTAAATGGGGACGGATAAAACTATTGAAGATTATATGGAAAATTCTTCCGTCAAACTGGCCAAAAATGCGCTTCAATGTTATCAGTGCAAGGTTTGCTCGGAAGGCATTTTTGTCACAGTTAGCGTAATACTTTAAATCGTAGGGCACAAGGACTCCTAAATCTTTTTCGACTTGGGATACTACTAGAGAGGAGGTACCTAAGTTATAACTATAGTCTGCGACATGTCGCAGATGGACTACTTTACACTTTGAAGTGTTAAACATCCCAGGTAATGCCAACAGCCTAGTTGCTGTTCTCTGAACCTTTTCCCAAAGCTCACTGCCTTTTTTTTAACCAGAGGCTAGTCACTTGTATGCAGTACTCAAGTTTAGGACTCACGAATGCTGTATATAAAGTCAAAATGTTTTAGAATAGACAGGGCTAAAAGCTTTACGTATTGACCATAGAGTTCTGAAACCTTTGGAGGCCATTGCATGGCAGTGAGTATTACTTTTTAGGTCTTGGATAATGATGACTCGTAATTCATTGTGTGTCTGGACAACAGATAGCTCAGTGTTATCCACTGCGTGTGCATCTGTACCTTGTTAACCAATATGCTTAGTAGTGAACTTGGAAACGTTTATCGGCAACTGCCAAATCTTAAACCATTCAGATAGTTTTTAAAGGTCATTTTGAATCTCTCCACTATCATTTTCAATTCTTATCACTCTCCGTATCTTGACATCTTCAGTATACAGTAAAACCAGTAATGATAGGAAACTAGGGAGTTCATTTACATACATTAGGAACAAACAGCAGTCCCCAAACCGTACACTGTGGTACTTCGCTAGGCACAGTTTTACAGATAGATAACAGATTGATTAAAACGTATGCTCAGAGTATATGCGACAAAATTTACTAATTCTTTTATTAACTTGGGAAACATTTTATCGGGCCCCATCTGTCTACCCATATCAAACTTATTTATTTCTTCTTCAACTGAATGTTGTCTTTTTTTCTCCCACACTAGGCTGTTGCTGATGGTTTTCGGGTAACAGACATTGAGTATCTTGTGTAGACAATTGTTTATCAATACTTGTACATCTTTATGATAGTTGTAGTAGTTCTCCATGTTTCAGCACTGTACAGGTCGAACTGTCTTGATGTTTGTATTGAAGATTCTAAATGTGACGTTTGCTTGCAGACAGTTTCGAAATCCATAAATTCTCCAACTGTAGAAACGCTGCCCTTAATTTGCTGGTCTTTGCCATTACATCTGCATAAGGTATTACTTGTTCATCGATGACGCTGCCCAGGTACATGAAAGTCTTGCACCTCTCCCAGGACTTTTCCATAAAGTGTGACTGGGTCGGTGTTCTCTGTGTTGTATTCGAGGATGTTGCTTATTCCCCTATGTATGTTGAGACCTACTGATTCACAAGCTTCTGCCACACTTGCTGTCTTCCCTTTCATTTTTCTTGTGTATAGGAGAGAAAAGCGAGGTTATCTGTAGAGTCCAAATCGACCAGATACGTGAAAGCATTCCAATGTATCCCGTGATTTCCTTGGAGTGGGGAGGTCTTCATAATCCATTCTACCACTAGACAAAATAGAAAGGTGAAGATCAGGCAGTTTGTATGACTCCGGTCTCCATTCATACACCACTCTGCAGTGTAGTCCGTCGTGTATGTTCCGTATGATGTTCACGATCTTCTCGGCCAGTGACTTCGTAGTGTGGATTAAGGTTCCGCAGTGGGCCGAGGATAGAATAATATTTTCAGTGTGAATAGTGGTGAGTTATATACAATGACCACGTCTGTAAGACTGAGCCATGCCACTTCCCATCTCACCATTCTCGACCTTTATCAAGTGTTACATGTTAAATTTCAATCTTTTCAGTAATCATATGTTCAGCTTCGAGGATCATGTGGTTGGAGTTTAAACATTTGCCATTAGAAGACCGAGTGTTTCGTTTGGTTAGCAATGGATCATTGATATTATAGTTTAAAAAATGAAACAAGATGACATGTAGGTTCTTTTCATTGGTTTCAAGGAACAGATTATAAATTCACTTGTTATATTTTCATGAGGCAGGTTTTGTTATCGAATGAATTACCATTTATAATGTCATGTTCTTGTAGCGGGGTGTCGAATTGAGATTAACTATGAACACCGCTACCAAGAAACACGTGCCAAATAAATCAGAAGGCGTAGGTTGAACGTAACCAAAGAAACCCATAAAATCCCCGAGAAGCCAAATACCAGAAGGCAAGTAATGGACCAAGTCGAGATATATTTGCTGGCGATCTCGTGGCATCGAAATGATACCGAGATCGTGCCAGGATACAACCTTGGTTACAGAAAGTAACCGAATTCGCTCGAAGTTACAATCGAAGTGTAAGTATAAGAATGGAAGCACAAAATAGCTGTCATTAGCGCAGTCAAACAAAAGCACGTTAAAACAAACACTGGTACAGTTGGTTATAATAATAATTGTTTTTATTAAACCAGTCGTGTTCTCGTGATAAATGTGAGTCACTACATTCTACTCCTCGCCCCTTACTTTGTATGTCTTTTTCTAACGCCTCTGCTACTGATTTTTGAAAATAAGTCCACTGTTGTTCATTGATAAAATGAGCTTAATCTTGAGGTCAAGAAATTATTTTCATTCAATAGGAGCCTATCTATACGACTTTGACCGCTCACCAAGTACACTCCGAGGTCTTTTACAGTTTAAATGGTTTTATTTTGCAACCAGAGTGTCACCGTCAAATTACCACACTTCCGAGAGCTTATCTAACGTTTTGAAGCATCGTGAGTCCTTTTTCACTCGAGTGTTTTTTATACTGTCAATAGTTGACCTGTGTTTCAGGCCATAAACACTAAAGCCCTTCACTTTATGTCACTTGTTTATGCATTGAATTGAATCCAAAGTGAATAACCATGTGTAGTTAGCCTGGTTTCTTAGCTTATGAGCCTCAAGCTAAATGCAAAAATGTCGAGGATAAATATTGCTTGACAACGCTGCTCTCGGAAACATCCATTCTAGTCGAAGATTCGAGAACTAGTTTAACCAGAAGTTAGGAATGAAAGGATGCGATACTCCATTTGGAAAACGTGGTCTGGTAATTTAAGCTGAATACTTGCCGTAAGAGATGCTCAAAACTGCATGCATGACCTAGTATGGATGTTTAACCAAACACCTTCAGCTGGCAGTGTCTTCGGTAAAACTAATGAGACTAGCTTCAATGTCAAAGATCTACCAAACTATTATTTTCCAGGACTTATATACCGCCACTTGTAATTACACCAGTGTCCTTACGATGAATCTATCACTCTCGACTTATCTCTGTAGAACTTTACTAAAGATGACTGTTAGCGAAGAATATGCATTGAAGGTATTGATTCATGTTTGACTGCATTTAGATTCCTTTGTTTGTCGCTATGTTGGCTTCGATTGATGTTCATCCAGTCATCGCCTGATGTTAATCTTATGGTCAGAGTATAATTTATAGACGACCGTTGAGCGACACTAGACTGGCCTTGAGAGTTTTCACCTAATAACTAGGACCAAATGAGGGTTATAACCTGTGTGAGGAATTAGAATTATGATTTATGGTTGATGGTAAGGGTTAGGAATTACATTAAAGGTTTTCATCACGAAATGACATCAGTTATAATGCCGAAATTCTATTTAGCCAACTAGATGCATGGACTTCGCGTCGAAATCTGAGACCTGTTATCTTACACCTGATTGGTTCGTTCATAAATTATAGTCTCGCCACAGTCTGATTGTCCCGTGCATTAGTCATCTGTCTTATTCTTAAGGCTAATAGTAATAATAATTCACATTTGTTATTGCTGATAAGGTTTTATTGTGTGACGTGCTTCCATGGGACAATCTTATGCCAAGTAGAAACGTCATTTGGCTATGATTCACTTATTTATTTTACTTTCGGTAGCTTCAAAAAATGTAAATGATTTTTAAAAGCTGTTGATCATATTCAACAAAGAATTATGACAAAGATTAAGTTTTTATTCCAAATCATTGCTTGGATACATATACACGTTGAAATTTGAAGTAGTTGGAATGCTTGGCTCTTTCACCTTAGTCGAAAGACTAATATTCCCATACATCTCCCGTTAACTAAAACATCGAAAAGGGATGCTTTGTTGCGTCCACGTTTGAGAATTCTAGTTTGTATAGGCGATATATTTCTTATCGTCCGAAAAGTAATTAACATTTAGGGTCATTGATCATTCGGGTTCTAATTTTATCATTCCATATTTTGGTTCATTGTGTTGCGTAGCCAGATAAAACCCTACTGAATAAACCTTCCATTTCCTTGAAACGACCAGAATGAACCACTTGATAACTTTCCACTTGCTAAAATCCCTATAAAGAGTAATATTTTACCTAAATATCAGGCCTTTGGAGTCTTAAGACAGGTTAGGTCTCCTGTTATTACTTCGCTCAGTGCTGCATAAGGTTCTGTGGTAAGTAACCATATTTATTCTGATCTTATGGCTTTCGTTCATATCCGACCTGATTATCGAACTACAATACCACTGGCCATATCACACGTCGAATGTGTTAATCGCAGAATAAGTACCGCCAAGAGAGATTAGCGTTTGAATGAGGAGATTCAGTTCCAAGATGGATCCTACTTCTCTGAATATTCAAGCAATTAGTGCCATTTTGTCGGGATATCAACATTTGTTAGCTAAATAACGTGACCACTGAGGGGGAGATACGTCTGACTAGATAACCCTGTCCACATCTCTGTTGCCTGTTCATATAAGTTAGACGCACATTTCACTTCACAGAGAATTGTCTGCTTTTCTGATTGCAAAAACTCGTTCCAGAAAGTATAAGAATACCTCAACTTATTTTAAAATAGTTTTGGTTTGTGGGCCTTATAATCATATGACAATATTTAAAACCTAGGACTCAGTATGAAGCTATCAACCTTCATAATCTGCATATTACTTGTTCTTTATCCACACCTCCATAATGCATGGGTTCGCGATATTTTTCACTATATAACGCACTTCATATAAATGTGATGTAGACCACTAATTGGTAATGAAGACACCTCTGAAAAGAAAAAAACCATAGGTAAGACGGATTACTGGACGCCTGGTTTACTTCGAAATTTTCGTTCGAAGAACCAAATCACAGTGAGTTTGTCCTTAAGTAACCGAGGGATAACCTTATGTGATGACAATGCATCAGTCTATTTGATATTTTATGATTTCATTAGGGGATCATTCTGTCCATAAAATTACCACTGATGGGTTTCATTGACTCACTCTTCTTGAATGTGCGGTTATGAAGTCGGGATAATCATACGATAAACGTAGGTACCGTCAACATTTTGGGAAGAATCTTAGTTCACTGACTCCAAATGACGCGAACGATTCAAACTATAGAAAAATCAGTAAAATGAAGTTTGGGACCTTTAGGAGAATCTGATGGAAGTTGTGGACATGCAGTTAAGTCTAACAAGAAACATGAACCTAATGAGATGATCTGTCTAAATTTCAACAGTCATCCAAGCCTTCTTTGATACATGAGACAATTGAACAGCAGAAAACAAATCCTGTGTTGTTTTACTTTTTCCGCAGTCGAGCAGATTATATGGACTCTCAACATGTTCAAACGTGCATACTACTGAAGCTGAAGATATTGATGCTATTCATTGGTAATTAAAAGAGAATTTCTTGAAGATGAGGACTTGATTTGAACGACTTTATAAATGGTACTTTCTTCCGAGTTTTCTAAAGAGGATATCTCTTTTTCAAGCAAATTATATTGTATCCTACATGTTTTCCGTTAATCTGTTTGGTCTCATAATAATGGATAAAATCGAACATTTCCAAATCGGTCATAGAATATCCTAGTCTCTGAAAAAGTTTAGATTCGCAAAAGCATAACACCGGAAATGTAACAAGTGCAGTTCAAATGGCGTGTGCTATATACCTATCAAGAGACAAACGAAAATACTGAGACTAATTATTCCTATAAAGTACCTAACTATCAAGTTTTCCAAAATGCCTACGTATTGATTTCCTCATCTTTAAGAACGTACAAATCAAAAGATGCGCAGGTGTATAGTGATGTGAGCCGATTATAAAGACAGCGTCCTTTATTAATATTTGTAAAGTAATCTGTACGACAAACGTATTCGAAATTTTTTAAATTTAGATGCTTAAAGAAATCATAGGACTACTATATACTATGGAAAAATTAAGATATGTATTAATTAAAGATATTTACTTATAGAATCAGATTATCATTTTTTCAGTAACACTTTCTACTAGACCGACAAACGGTAATCTTATTCCCGGAATTAATAAAAATATAAGTGTACACTTTGGAGCTGTTCACATTAGAAGTTATTTCACTTTTGGAAAATACTCCGAGCAAATCAGATTCTACTGTTTCTAATAAAAATACTATATATTGCTAAAACCTCCATGTTTGAAATTAGGACTCAGGTTTATTGCTATAACTTACATTTCGAAACAGTATGAAGGTTAACAATATATCCAATGATTTAAGGGCTGAATAAAGTTGATTTATCCGATAAACGACAAGAAAACCAATCGCCCCATAGTTCCTCAGTAACAGAAATTGTTGTTTACAGTTGAGACAGTTACAAAACTTGATATCAAGTTTAATAATATTTTAAACCGACTGAACAAATATTTTTGTGGTCAAGATGTTAATGAAATAATGAAATGTCAAATAAGGAAGAGCTTCACGTCTTTTGCAACTTATTCGATTACATCGGTAAATCGATGCCAATGTGAGAAACTACCCAACTGAAAAATACTTTTTTTCTAATTATACAGAAATACATTGAAGCCCATGATATGAGTGCGATTTCAACTTATACAATAAAAAACGGTATTCCCAAAATAAACGTATACTACCATTGAAACTGTATAAAAAGAGAAAGAAAGAGTAACAGAGTATCAAAGAAAAGTGTAACAATAACAAATCGAGAAAAAACCCATCATCACTTGTTTTTATTCAGTTAACAAAATAACTTAAGTAAGTGAACATTTCAGCGTTTTAGTTAAATGCGTTATATAATATAGTAGTAATAATACTAACAAAAAAGAGGAAAACACTTCACATGGGCAGATGACTCGAAAACAATATAACAGAAGCATTGAGAAATAACTAATCAGTGTATCGTTAGAAGAGAACAAAACCAAATGATTTATATTTTCTAACTTACAGATGTTAATAGAAGTAGTAGCAGTAATAGTAATAAGAGTGACAATAACAATACAATTATGTAATAAAATATGAAAATATACAAATTTTATGTTAACTTTATAACCACTACTAAGTTGTTCCCTGACTGATTGAAAATATCATTGTAAAGAGTGGTAACACTAGTATATTCATAATTAAAATAAGAATTTTTATAAGGATTTGCATGGTAGTATTGGGTTTTATTTTTAAAAAAAGGTTTGATCGACTTTACAAAAAGTGAATAATAATAATGGTAGAAAAAAAGAAAGGATTACCTAACAACATCAGTTAATTTAGATATTTTTTTATCGATTCGCGCATTAGATAAGTACACTTTTGAAGTCTTCTTCAATGACTGAAAGAAGTTATTACCTAAGACAATGAAAGGGTAAGAAAATAAGGCAGATTAAGATTAAACTATATTAAATTTGTAAAGGTTTAATCCTTATTGTTGTTAATAATGAAAACTTTTTGAAAACGCACCTGAATAGATTATGAGACTAACAGGCATAATGATGTGTTACAACAAACTAAAACAGATAACTTATTGAAATATCTAGATGATAGGGACAGGTAGCCCAGATATTCAAGCAGGCCGCCGCTTACATCCCGACCGTAGCAGCTACCTTGACGCGGTGGTCTTGCTTGCCTATCGTCATGACCCAACCGAGCTATATTAGCTGGAACATACGTTCCTGTAGGTTCTACCATGCCAGGCAGGTGGATTGTAGAACGGTAAGACTAAAACCAGCAACTCAAGGTCTGAGGGAGAAGTCGTACTGCTGACTGTAGAAGGGTGTGACAGCAGTAAGGTGTTTCCCTCAGACAACCAGCATCTGCAGTGATGCCGCCTTCTCACAAGAAAGGAAGGGGTTAGAAAAACTTGACTCTAAAGATGTCTGACATTGTTGGAACAAAGAAAGCTTGTAAGAAGGAGAATTTATGCGAATGGTTCAATTCGCCTTCGGTCTATTAACTATTGGTCTCCTTTCGAAAGACGATCTAAGTTACAAGAAAGACATTTCTCAACTGGGTGTATATACTTGGGATATATATATATATATATATATATATATATATATATATATATATATATATATATATATATATATAATTCCTCGGTACCAATTTTTGTTTAGCTTAAAACTAGTTGGTTTCAGAACCTAGAAATTATAAGTAGTATAGCGCATCACAACTCAAAATGGCAGTAAAAATCAAATGTCATTATATTGAACAATATGCAAAGAAAAAAAGTGTAGAACAGTTGGAACACTCACCAACAATCTTTAAATAAATGGAGGACGTGTTTAGAGTTCAGATTCTTGTGAATTTAAAGATTTTGACAGATCTGTACAAATATTAGTACGTCGAAGAACAGTGGAAAACGAGTCTACAGAATAAAAAAACGAGTAAAGTAATAAAAAAAGCACATGAGATGGAAGTAGCAAAAATCTCAGAATTAAAAATGATTAAGTATTTCTTTATCCCATGTTTTATTAATAAATTTATATTTTTTGTGGTATCTCAATGAATGGAAAATTGTATTTCTAACACTTCGTTACTTAATTTAAACTAATGCTTCCGAGTAAATAAATAACCGAAATAAAATCCGTGCTCAGTTTATTTGAAACTATCAAGTTTAACCTTGGCATTGATACCCATAAATCTTTGTTTTATTATTATTATTATTATTATTATTATTATTATTATTACTGGTTGCACACATTAATTGCTGCTTAGATAAAAGCAATCGAACTGACTACCATTGTGGTGTATGTTACTTATGTCCATAGAAGTAGTATATAATACCAATAAGAAGTGTAATGCCTGGCAGCAGAAGGTTGGGAAGATCGAATCGAAGAGAACCGGAAAAGAGAGTAATTGTTATTGCGACGAAGCAACAATGAAGTTTTAAACAATTGATGGAGGATTTGCAAATGAAATATTGAACGCATGGTTTTTACATGTTACGAAAGAATCCTGTAGTTTTGTATTAAACAATATTATGGTTGTTCCCATCTGAGTTTTCGTTCACTTCGACTCTAATCTAAGATAAATCTAGATACATAAACTAATGGTATTTAAAACAGACTGGAGTTCTGTAAGCTTTAAGAATATACATACTTTACTTATGAATTATCATTATAAGGAATTACTGAGTAAAAGTTCATATATAATAAGTATTTAACGATAAAATGGAAGTTCAAGTACATCAGAATCAAAATAAATGGCATTCAGTAAAAGCATAAAAATATACTCGATTGTATGAAACACTATAATTGATAAAACTGTATTATTATTATTTCGACTTAGGATTTGACATTTCATAGCTGACTATCAGTGATTTTTGGACAACCTTAATGTAAAGAAATGTAAGTAAACTTTTTGGTATATATACCGTAAGAACTCTAAGCTATTTACTAAATAGACTCGACTCTTTAAACAGTTTATAGCTAAACACTATTTGATGATAAGATCAGATAGTAAATCGATAACTTGAATAGAATAGTACGTTTAGGCCTTACAGGGAGCTACACCATCAAATGGAGTGATAATATTTAATTTCAAAGATAAATAAACATCTTAAAGAACAGAATTTAATTCATTTACAAGTACAGATAAACATCCTCTACTTTCATCACACTGTTTGTGTGAGGGTTAGTGATTATAAAAGGTAGGTTAAACTAGGGTAACTACTGTAGGATTCAGATCTAGACCCCAGCTGCTGAAAGACAACTACTTTAAAAACAAAACTACCACGTTTGCAGTGTATGGCTAATAATTCAGCAATATCCACAATTCTGTACTAACAAATTACCATGTGATTATTGAAGACTAACCTCGATGGTTTTTAATCAGAAGCAGTGACTAATGCACTTCAGCCATTTCACGAGTAGAATTATCTAACATGTATTGGATGACGATAGCGTAAGTTAGAAATATAAGTCACTTGATGCTAACTCAGTGGTTCAAACACAAAGTGCTCATCCAGTGGCCGTGGATACGCACTGCTGTCGAGTCCTGAGTAATAGGGCGAAACAACTGTCCAGTGCTTACTAGTTTACAATGGTTCTGTAACTAAAGCTGGTACGTGATATATAACTACGGATTCAACAATTTCGACAACATATTAACAAATTAAACATTCACTTTCATTTTGTGATATTAATATACTTGTTACACGGATAAACTTTATGAACTCACTATCTGAAAATCCTGGTAGTTGATAACCACCTACTGGTTTACGTGAAGGTTTCGTTTGTATTGAATTGCCTTTTGAATCTACTAAACTAGCAGATGTTAATTCCGACTGACGTGAAGAAGCATGTTTTTCATTTGAAGAGGAACGATGGAACATAAATGAATGTGGAGGAACTGGACGTGGAGGTTGAGATGTATTAGATATAACATTTGATGATTTATTCAAGCAAGAATCATAGTTATTAGAATCTAAAAAGACAAGTTAATCAGAGCGTGGACTTATTAAAGGATACAAATAATAAAAATATTTAACCGTTTTTCAGTATTCAAATGCCTATTAAGCAACGATATATGAAAGCAACAATTTCGTATTCATTGTTTAGGGAAACTGTTATAACGGGACAAGTATTTCAGATATTGGAATTTTTGGGACTATTTTACGACAAATTATTATTTGTGCTTTTAATATAGAATTATTTAAAAATTAAATTATTGTATCTACATATTCTCTGTATTGTGAACACCCATTGAACTTATCAAGTGATGTTATACGATTTATTATCTCTTAATTATCGTTAATTAATCATGTACCGTTCTCTTAGTTATCTGGCAATCATGGTATGATTATACGTAAAGAATGACCTCATATTCAGACTGTATTGTGGTCTGATAATTCATGTATATAAACTAACGAGTGTTTGAGATAAATATAATATTGTGGTGTATGCTACTTATGTTGACAGACATAAGCAGTATGTGACACCAATTAAGAGTGAAACGTCTGCGAGAAGGTTGAGAAGATTGAAATGAAACGGAGAAGGAAATCGAATGCAATCCAGATAAAGACAGGAATGAAGGGACTATTAAGCTTGTAAGAGGCAATTCAAAGATGTGTAAATGATGTATGATTTTCATATTTTACTAAACCAATGTATGATTGTTCAATAAATAATAAATTGGTCATCCATACCTGAGTGTTCCTTCACCACAACACTACTACTGCACTGAAGATTGCAGTGTTCTATCGGACTGAAAACTGGGCTAAAAGAAGATCATATTTTAAAAAGGATCGGTAGTTTAGACTTATCGAGGCTAAAGTTCAAGGCTAACCTTACTAGTCAAAGCTTAGGACGTTAACAAAATTCGAAATGGTACACACGGAGGTAAAGAGATTGTAATCAGGATTTTTAGTTATGAATTACCTCTTGAGATAGTGATTAACTTACAATTAAAACAGAAATTTAGCCGAGAAGAAGCATATTACTTTAAACATTTGTGTTTACACATAAGTCAGTACATAAAAATATCCATATTGGTGTCTGATAAATATCCCCCTACAATCAGTTCATTTACATTAGACTATGGAATGTATCATCTAAAGAAAAACCACTACTAATTGAAAAAAATAATTCCAATTATAACGATGAAACTTACTAAAGGGATTTGTGACCGATGGCACCTGAGGTTCAGATCTAAATGTAAATTAATGAATACAGGGAACATCTAATCTCATATCATATCAACATTTGGGAAAAAACCCACAGAAATAAATACAAAATTCATACTTTCTTTCTAATTATTGTCATGACATAACAGAAGAAAATTCAACAGACTAGAATAAGTGATTGATAGGTACACTACTGATTGATTGATCACCATTATAACGGTCGGTTTCCCACGTCTACACGAATGGGACGTTAATTTCCCTTAGAAAAACGTCTACACTAGATTCCTTCCCAGTGTCTATTCCACAGGACTTCAACACAACTCAGATCAATAAGACGTGATTAATCTGACCAGAGAGTAAATATATTTCCACACCAAAAACCGACAACAATCAACAACAATAAGGATAGGAGAATATATAACTCATCTAACGTCTGTCAGACTATCTACAAGTTTGACTAAGCAAACAACTAGCCATTATCATCTTCGCACACACATCAATCACCTAATATCATCCGACTTAAAGTCACACAATATGACTAGAAGGAAAATTGATTTTACAATATCAATAACAAGAGAAAGTAAAGAATTTTAATGAAAAAAAAACGAATGAGAGAAAACTCAGAAAAACCAAAATTGCATCTCATTAACCCGATTAACTAAAAAAACAACAACAGATAAACGATTCATCAATCGATTGATCCAAATCAAGCCGAAATTTTATGTTATCAGTTTCATTCTTTCGACATTACAATATACATTTTGTACAATCGACAAATTATATATGATTAGTTTCTTTAAAAAATAGTCAAAGTGAGTCAAAAAGAGAAACTTTTTCGAATATCGTACATGTTTATTCATATCAGTATAATTTAATATAGCAACATGAGAAGTAAAAATGTCTGGAAACAGTATAGGATATCAGTGAACTTGACCGTGACAAAATTTTAATTGCTAGTTCCCGACCAATTTGAAAACAGCTTTTATAAATCGATAGTTTTCGGAAGAGAAAACAATAATATTGCAAAATTTAGACAGGTTTCACGTAAATAATGCGTTAATTAATGTATTATGTAGGCTATTCTGCCTGTAAATTAAAAATAATATGTAAACTCGCTTTAACGGATATACATTGCCCATATATCGGAAACCTTAAAGGGACCACAACAGATTCTTAATTCCCAACATTATTCTTAGTCAGGATCAGATTGAGGGTTCTCACCATGAATTGACATCAGTTTTAATGTAAAATCTCATGAAGCCATATAAATCGACGAATTTCTCTTCAAAATACAAGAAGCGCTATCTTATTAGTTCGACCACGTTATTTGTTTCAAGATTACGGGTTTAGGGATAAAGTTCATTTGACTTTTATGTACAACTTAGACAGAGTCAAGCATTCAATGCGTTAAACACAATCATTTTTACTCTATGGTTTTAAAAATAATTTTTCGCTACCATTTTAAACCTTTTGAACGGTATACAAAGGTATTCTCCTATTGATCATCGTATATGGTAGTTGAATTTCGCGCACAAACTTAAAAGTTACGTTCTCAATTTTGATTGATTAGTCTTTCGAATATATTATTGCCAAAAATTTTATACACAGAAAAATAACCTACAATGAAGTAGCAGAGGGTCCATGCAATGAGGAGAACGGTGAATTTATCTAAAAAGAGAATCAAAAATAAATATAATCGCTTATACTACCAAAAATAGTTAACAGTAGTAGACTTAAAATGAATGAAATTAGGTGTCATGAATATGAGAATTAAGTCAAAACAAAAATATGATCGATATAATTCAGAATAGCATAAATGCAAATTCGGTTACGTATCAATCACAAAGGAAGGAAAAATGAACAGAACAAAATCCTTCAACTTATCATATATATCACAATGATGTATAAGAACATTATACAGACAATTTAATAAGCATAGTGATTCATGTTTTGGGACATAAGTGATGAGAAACCATAAATAGAAAAAAAAAGAAAACTGATTAACTCAGCAATTTCTAAATAGAGTTAGTTAATTTTGATTCAGTAAACGAGAAGACAATCGATTATCAGGTAAAAATTAATTTTAAGGAGACAAGTTTTACAATTGAATGATCAGTAGGTAATGATCAGTAATCATATGTGTCAGGTCCTTCTTAGTACAGACCGAATTCTACCGACCAAATTTTAAACATGAACCATACGTTTGTGTACATTTTCCCATCAGTAAATCATATTTCTCCAATAGTGATAAAACTGAATAGCTCACTGAATAGTTAAAAAATCAAAAATCCTCATCATTTGAAAATCAACAGAAAAAAAAATAATTTAAAAGAGGTGAAATATAATGAAGCAGACATAATCCAGAGTTTATATATATAAGCCTGATCTAAAGAATAGTAGCCTATGTACTCTTGAACATAAATATCTTACCCTTTAAATATACGTTAATACAAATTTATGTACAACTAAAAAGCTGACGACTGATTCATATAAAAAAACAACAACTTGAATCTCATTCATATGAGAAAGAAAACAACAATGTATTCAATTCATATAAATAAAATGAAGCTAATGTGTAATTAGTTAGCAGTAGTAGACATAATATAAATACATGCCAAATCATATTTATTATTATATTTTAATCTGATAGGATTGCATTAATAGAAATTATAAGTAATGTATTTCAAAAACATGCTAATTAGAAAATACATATAAGATATATCGTTAGATGTTTATCGCCTGATGAGATCCTGTACAAAATAACGAATAGATGAAAACTAAATAATAATAATACCAAAACCATATTCGTGAAAGCAACAGTTTACTACTTATACTAAATGATCAATCATATCATTTGTATTATACACATGTATAGTAACGATTATATGCATAAACAGTTATTAATACTCGACTTGGAAGTAGGTAGGCTTAATGTGTGCAAAAATGTTGAGTGAAATACAGTAATAGCAAAACATATATACATATGCTTGAAGTGATGAGTAAAAGAATTTGTGTTTGGAATGAATGAGATAAATCTAACACCTGAAAACAGAATAATTAAAGGATCGAGTTAACGAGTTCCAAACAGGATGAATTACGTGTTTTGGATTCCATCCCTGTTTAAAATGCTTGTGACTTAACGGCAATACTGAGACATTCCACGAAAGAGACTGGTCAGTTACAGTCCTAAACATCAATAGGAAGATACAAACAATCAATACAAATAAAATGCTTTTTTTCTGATTTACAAATGATTTTACTATATGTCTGACAAATTATCAGAACAATCAGAAAACGGTAATTAAAACGAAGTAGATTGATAAATATCAATTGATGTTCTTAAACACATAAATGCAGACACAGCAAAAAGTTGTCCATTTAAAGGTAATTGATTGAAACATGAAGTTGAATGAATGTCACTTAATATATAAACTAAAATATTTATTTAGTACAAAGAGAAAGTACTAATTTGTATGAGTGAAATAAGACAGTAAAGAATAAGTATGAATACCGTAGAAAGAGTAAGATAAAGATTGAATAATACCGACTTATTAACAATAATTCTTGACTAATCTTACATGATACTTTAGATCAGTAATATTTATCGAATTCAGTTATTCGTAAAGTGGTTCACTGCAATTAAACCAAATATGTCATTTTCATCTTACTCATAAACTAATCATTATTGAATAAAATATATTCTGATAATTTCATTCAATGCATTATGAAATCATTATCCTTACTAACAATAACTACATTGTATATAGAAAATTTTCCTCCAACTAACAGAATGATATTGAATATGATTTTAAAGTTTATTTAAACCATACATTACTGATGTTGACAGTTTGTTTCTTAAAAGATAACAACACCTGAAGATTCTAAGTCATGTGGAATAATCAATGTTCATGATAGAATCATAGCAAACTGTAAAATTATTTGATAGAACATTTATCATATTTTACAATGGGTCTATTAGGAAGAACATGTGTTGGTGTTAGATTTGTAGGAGGTGGTTATCAAATATTTTTTTCGTAAGTTAACTTAATACTTATCTCATTTAAGGAGAATCAACACGATACGTTTTTTTCTTGATTATAAACTATCGGCACTCAAACACGTAGAAACCCACAGTCATAAATCAAGAGACAGGAGTAGCAGGAGAAGCGGTTATTGGGTAAGAGTCAAAAATGTACAGAAAAACAGAGGTATTTGTAGTTCTTAGTACTACAGACAGTCCTCAAGTATTGATTTACTTAATTGTTCGATCATAGCATGCCATGTAGATATTCTAGAAAGTTCCATCTGGCTCTGATTGGGTAGAATCTCTTCGGCTTTTCTGTGCTTTATGTGAGCCATCCTAACATAATAATGTATATGCTTTAAAGCCAAATTATAATTAACATTGAAAAATTTAGTACTTCGGCTTGAATGTAAACAAGATTATTTTGTTTAAACTGGGATTTGCAAAAACGATAAGCTTGTACAATTATTGAAAATCTAATCAAACCCAAGAATGGCTAATTTGAGAGCAACCATTTCATTGAGATCAACAGTGATCAGGATCTATGGAAATAAGACTAATGTTGCTCAATTTGTGGTATTGCCTCAATACAACAGTATAAATTAAGTTTAGTGTATCCATTTATCCAATAAGTGCTCATCGACAGTTTTTTTTCCATGTTCGTGAACAGATATGAAACCATATAGATAGAATTAATCGGATATTCTTAGAACTAGTGTTAAGGAAAACAGTCATGAAATAGCATATCATATGACGAACAAAAAAACTGGAGACACGAAAGAAACATATTGAGATGTAAAGAAAATTTGGTAAAGCAATTCAAACAAAGAAAAATTTCGTTTCAACTCAAGAAAGAACTTTCTACTGAAATAGCTATTCAACAAATAATAAAAGCATTGTTTACACATACATGTCATAAAATGAAAAGAGATATATATAAGGAGAAAATTTAAGCGTTTTAGAATGAATAAACGATTTGCAATTAAGTTTCTGATGAAATGACAGGTATGAAAGCAACCTAACGAGTCAGAAACACAAAGAGATCAACATGTACATAGAAATTGATGGACATATGAAATATATCAATAAATAAACAAAATACACATAGATGGGGAAGAAAGTTATTTTGAAATGAATCTCAACGAGATTATCAATCAGAAACTTTATATATATATAATGAGATGGTGAAGATTTGTAGCTCAGGTGGATGATTTTGGTGAAGTTTTGTTCTTTGAGCTGGATATATATATATATATATATATATATATATATATATATATATATATATATATATATATATATACAATGCGACCACTGGTCAAAGTCACTGGTCATCACGTGCATTATATTTTGACATTAAGTTGCTGGGCTATTAATTAATTATGGGAGAAAATTACGAGCCAATGGAACTAATGGCAAGATAATATATGATCCTGTTACCGATGTGTAATGGGGTTTAAAATATACTAAAAATAAGTAAAAATGTTGATAGCAATAATAGTAAAGGGCTAAAAGAAATAATTGGAAACTAGAAATAAACAGTAATATATAAAGAACCAGAAAAAAATTCAAAGATTTATTAGTAGGTGCGTATAGAGCAAATGACAATGAGCAAGTATGTGTATTTTATTTTACAACTACTAAAATCAGTGACGATTTATGACCTCATCAGTTGATTTACAAACTTTAAAGTGTTCTAAGCCTAAAATTGACTATGCTTAATAAATAATTGAACTATACTCAATGATTCTAAGACAACGAAATAAACTAAAGCCACCAAGAAAATAAATGAACAAAAATCTCTCAGCGATGAAGTGCTAAAATGCGCTTTAAGTGAGAAGGCGAACTGAAGCTAAAGAAAAATGATAATAATCATCTGTGAGTTAGCACAACTTACGTGTAAGTATACAGACGTCTACAGATGTATGTACACATGTAATATATGATTTATTATCGTTCAAAGAAGTCCGTTTATTAAAATACAGAACAGTTATAATTTTAAAATTAATCAAACTTACAACAATTTTTGTAGGTGGACGTCGACGTGCTAAACCACCTGAACTGACAATTCGAGTTCGATCTTCCATTTGTCTAACAAATAATGGTACTTCTACGGTAGTTGAATAACCATCATGTATAACATTCACAGGGTTATCAGTAGAACCGTTCACTTCAGCTTTATCTTGATCATCAGAAGAGTAAGGTCCATACACTGACACCTTGGGACTTACATGATTTGGAATTGAAACTATAGATTCATCAGTATCAGTTAGACCAAAACATTTCTTCAATACAACATCTATGAATTCAATTAGAAAAATCAAAGTAGAAATATTCTATTTGAATACCTTTACTTAAAATAATACATAATTCATTCAGTTAAAACATTCTTTTTTTGAAAAACATTAAAGCAAGCAAGACATTTCAACATATCATCATCATCATAACAATATTTGCAATAGAAAGCCATTTCTTATGCATTAAAAACAAAGAAAACTAAAATTTCTATCATGCAACACAATGCAAAATGGTAATATCAATTGAATATTAAGGAATCTGTTCTACATTACATATGGTGAATTGATTTTCTCTTTCTTAATATTGATAAGATACCAGTATAATTCATAACCAACGGTTAATGTTCAACAATCAATGTGCAATAATCATACATATATCTACAGAAATTTCAACTTATATTAAAATGAATATTATATTGAACGAAAAACTGCATAAATAGAAACACAAATGGTTTAGGAATCCTGGTATGAAAAAAATCTCATAAGGCGGTAAAAATAAATTAGCAAGGCGAAAGAAACAAACTAAAAAAAGAAGGAACAATTATAGAATTGTTTCGAAGTAGTAGTAATACCGTAGCATGATTGATTGGCTAAAGTAAATGAAATATTCTAGAGATGAGAAATATGATGTGAACAATAAGTAGAATAGTATTTGAAATACTGCTACTATATCCTAAAGTCAAATTTTTTTTTTGAATTAAATGTCCATATAGATTTTCGAATGGAGAAATTCTATTAAGTTATGGGGAAACACATCATTGAACTCATCAGTTATTTAACAAGAGACATAAATTAGCATTATGTTACTCTTTACATATTTAAACTAAGTTTAGACGTAATTCTGCCTTTAACAAGATTTTGCTAAAATGTATTATGTAGAGTTATTATCCTAGATCATACAAAATTCATCATCGATCTCTATTCTAAATAAATAAGTTGGTTTTATAATATAAACATTGCTGATATATCAATTTTACAGTTAGAAGTACCCATTATCCAAGGATAATTAGATGGTGAGATATAAATATTGTGGAAATGCTACTTAGGTTATTTGTATTTATGAAAATAGTCTGAATAAGGATATTCCTCAGTTACGTTTAATGGTTAAAATCACGTACTGAGTACAGTTCGCTTGCGTGAAAGTGATTTTTTTCACACCATAGAATTCTAGCATTATTCTTAGCTATTCTAACACTTGGTGTATAACTAAAATGTAACTCGGTTGATCGAATTTGAAAATTGTGAATAATAATATTAGTGAAATTCAGTAACCAACGTATAAATTTGTGTGGTCGTTTATAATAAATACTGATACTACCCACCAGCCAAACCCATTATTGATGTGATAAAGTTGTGACCCAAAAGTTGAACGGATTACCAAGAAAATCCCTGTTTCATCTGAGATGGCTTACACATGAATTTAAATAATTAATCAAATAATTGTCCAAAGTATTGATAATCAGTCCCATAAAATGTCAATACTTAATATTTACCGAACTAAATGATTTAAGTTAGTTTTTATAATTATACGGACATAAATAAGCGGTAAATTCACCGCTCTGTAACCTGATGTAAGATAAATATTCGGAAGTTATCTAACAGATGTGATCAGATCAACCCGAAAAAACCCTGTTTCGATGTGTGAACTGATTGCAGTTCAGCACTAAACATAAAAACGACAAGTAAAATCGAAGATTATCTGAGAGACTCTTAACTTGAAATAACATTTATTATTGGTATAATTCACAGTGCGTTAACAATTAAATTTATGATATAATGAGTTGGTAAATAACAACAAATCGCGACCATATTGTCAATTAATTGTATCGGCTATTTCAAATAAGATGTCATGGTTATCTAAAACTATGAAGTATTTGTACTTGAAGAATAAAGAACAAAAAACAACAACGCATATTTTGTGCACATTCAACTGTAGAGCTATACAGTAATCATGCACTGAAATAATCTAAATTAGGACAGAATTTGACTTATTCAGAATGACTGATTTATGCAGGTACTATTAACAATTTTAGCAACATTGGGATGTGTTCGACACAGTAAACAGCTCGATACAAGCCAATTTAGTGGAACTTAGTGATAATATGAACACAAACCAATCGCTTTAAATAACTGGTCAGCTTAGTAATTTCCTGCCAAAGTTGATAATATTTCAAGTTCAATAGCCCTTTTGATTAATTTATTTCACTTATTAGACAGGTACAGATACTCTAGATGACGGTTAATGATAAACTACCCGGTTATCTAAGCCAAAGTAAGAGGAGCGAGGTTCAAACCTGCGATTTAATAGTTGAAAGTCAAATCCCTTAACTACTGATTCACCGTTTTACGAGCAGAAATTGATACACAGCTGGACATTCAAATTAATTTAGAAAAAACGAATTCGTATCTCTGTAACAAGCTAATGAACTGAATTGTTGTTTTGTAAAATATTAAAAAGCGATCGGGATTTTATTGTCTTCTTATTTATCGAACTAATTATTCATCCAGTTTATATTTGAAAAAACAAACAGTGAAACTAACAAATGGAACAAGTATTTATTTATATAATTGTTTACAGGTTACAAGGTACATTGATGATTAACAATGCTACTAATAGTAATAATACTAATATTCATAACAATAAAGGTAGTAATAATAATTGTAATGATAACTATAATGACTGGAATTAACAAGGCGGAGAACAAAAAGACGAGTGAATTTAAAAATGGACAGACATACATCACATACTTGACAAAACAAAAATTGGGAAAAAAAAATTTTTTAAAAAAAAAGAAAAATAGACATAATTGGGTATGAACTATAAATTAGTCACTAAATCTAGATGTAATTGTCTACAGTAAAATCAGAAAGTAGACAAGTTTAATAAAACAGTAATCAAAACAATTAATGTTAATTGATGAACTCTACCTACGAATGTATATGAACGGTATTTTTCAGGGATTTGAGTAAGGGGAATACAGATTGAGAGACCTGTTGATCGTACTAAATTTATTTCAAGGTAAACAATAGCCTTATTGTAAGTATCAATATTCACATGGCTAAAGAAGCATTGATAAATTATTCTTTGATTTTCTTACAAGAAAAAAGAGTTGTGGGCATGCAGTATTTATATATGTTTAAGAAAGAAGATGCTTTATGTACAGTACAATCAATTAAATGTTAATCAGCGTTAAGCATAACAACGATGGATAGTCATCTACAATTCATCAACACTATAAATCTATATATAGTGAACTTGGTGGGATTAAACTGAATAAAGAAAATTACGCACAATTCATAGACAAAAACTAGGATAAACAAAGAGTGGGAGTAAAGAAACATCGAAAAATTGATGGGTCTTTTTTTAGCAGTAAAAAATAATTTGACAGTCTTTTAGTCAACAATGTATTTTGTGTATTCCCTCTTTTTTGATTTGTTTGCTCGCAGTTAAAGACATGTGTTTGTATTTCTCAGTAAAAACATTATCAATGTCGAAAGGACAAATAAACAATAATTGATAATTAACGAATGAACAAAACAAAACGAAACTCAAGTGAACAAACATAAAATCACATGCAATTTGTTTTTTGTTTTTTTTTTGAAGTTAGCTAAATTCAACTGTTGTATAAAGAAGAGAAAAAGGGAAAAAAAGCGATAAACAGTTAACATTAGTCAGTACTTAAAATGAATATTATATTACTATTAAGCAATAATAATAGTAATGATGTTATTATGTTAACAAATTGTTTATAACGATAAAATGTGCACAAATTTGTGGTGGAACTGATTATTTGCTCTACCGGACTTAGAGCTGAAATCATTTATCCAAGGTATTCAGAGTATCAAATGTACGAAAATTTGATTTGTAAAAAGAAACTCAAACATATCCTGACAATGACATTCAAGAACAGGATAATGGTCAATCGAACTGATTATTTAGCATATACAGTCTTTATAAAAAGAAAGGTGTAACAACTGCTACATGGGATATAATATTTAGGTTATCTCAATAGTTCAATTACTCTCTTACTTATTCAGAAACACATTTATTTACAAATTTGAATAATATATAAAGTTGAATAAGAACTAATTTTGTGAAACTGAAATTTTTAATAAAACACAAGAGGGAAAATATGTTGGATACTTAGAGAGTATTGAGCAGTTGATGGAATCAAACATTCTTATGGTGTAAGGGTGACAGAATTTCTGGCAATCCTATTTAATTAACCTTATTTATTATTCACTAACTGGAAATTTGACTATTCAAGTGAAAGTTGCACAATTATAACAAGCTCTAGGCTTTATACGTAGTCCACCATGCACAACAACAGGTTTTTAACCTTTCAGGATGAAAAAGATTCAAGTCAAATTTTGTTAAATGGTATTAGAGAGTAAATTGAACGGTAATTTATTTTAATGTCAACTTAATACAAGTAGTAATTATTACATCGAAACTGTAATGTTATTTCGGACCAAGATTTATTGGTTTTCACTCGAAATATACGACCCTTTACTTTTACCATCGCTGAGAGGATGTACAACATTCGTCTATACTTCTATTAAAATCATTATTATACGGATGTAACCGTAAGTTTTATATATATAGTCTTAAAAATAGGCAGCCAAAGAATAGAGGCGATAAATGATAATTTTTGAATGTGTACACCAAGAGACAGAAAAAAAACACTAACAATAAAGATTAATGTCAACAACAAAAAAAGTCAGTGTTAATGAAACCGATGAAAAAACGTTATCGATGATTGCACAAATATAAATTTGAGTAATTCATGATAACTATGGAAGTATACAATGTGTGGACAATATAATACACACAACAGTAATGTAATATTTACAATACTATTGATGTATATACAATCTAAAAGTAAGCTAATCAGATATGATCAACATATGAATTCAAACAATCACAGTAACTATTTCCAATATATGGTATTTCACTTAATCTATAGTTAAGACAGATTTATGCTTATTATTCTATTAAAATACCAGCATTATTATGTAAGAGAGACAAATTTAAACAATATCTATTGAAATAGTTCAAATAACTATAGACAGTATTAGAAATAAAGAGAATAGAAAGAAAAACAAACGTAATTACTTTTAAAGATCAAGAATAAAGAAATTGTCAATGATTGTAAATGAGAAGATTTAATTGATTTAAAAACTAGAAAATGAACTTTAAAAGAAAAATTACGAAAAGAAAAACAAAACAAAATCATATTGTTTTGTAACTAACATAACATATAAATAATGAATGTTATGTAAACAACTTATTAATTAGGCTACAATTATTTACATAGTTGGACTTTATATAATTCACTTTATCATTAATTCAATACAGATATAAACAAATACAAAATTAAGCTGTATATTCCACTTAATGATTTTTAAAGAAAAAAAGAAAAAGAAAATTAACCAACTATGTTACACATAGCATGTATCATTACTAAGGTTTGACTTGATAATTTCAAATAAATTCAGCATTAGGTAAATTGTTATAAATAAAAATAATATACTGATTGAAATCATGAGTCAATTGAAGTTAGACATTAACACCGTTGGATGCCGGATCAGTGGTCCAGAGTTCTAGTGAGAAGCCGTTACCAGTGAAGGTCAACCAGGTCTGTTGTGAGATATCTGCTCACTGATGACAATGGTGTACGGTAGCGCAACTTCGTGGATTGGTTGTAGTTAGACATTAACACCGTTGGATGCCGGCTCAGTGGTCTAGTTGGTTAAGCGCCTGGCGCGAGACTGATAGGTCCTGAGTTCGAATGTCGCGGGCTGCGGGATCGTGGATGCGCACTGCTGGAGTCCCATACTAGGAAGAAATGGCTGTCCAGTGCTTTCAGTTTTTCCATGGTGGTCTAGCTTCAATTGACTCATGATTTTAATCAGTGAAAATTTCTAAAATCTCCACAAAACCCCTTCTGATAATAAAAATAATATAGTTGTATTATTCAAACGAGTGGAAAAATTAGATTTTCTAACGTTTAGTAGTTCAGTGTAAACTATTTCTTCAGAGAATAAATGGTCAAATTAAAATTAACCCAAGTTTTAAAATTGGGTCACGTATTGGCGAGTTTGAAACTTACTTGTTAATATTAGATATGAATGACATAAATATCGTTTATCCAAAATATCCTTACTGCATAATTAATGGTATACAGTATGGGTATTAATAATTAGATGAGTGAAAAATCTATATAGTTACATAAATCGTGTACAGAAAGTAAAATAAGCAGAGTATCTGGAACAATTGTCATTGATGAACACCAAGCAATAGGAGATAACATCGATTGATCAATAGTACAAATACTTTTATAGAGATAAATAAATTATTACCTGCTGTGATTTATCAATGTCACATTCATCTTTGCTATAAATATCACTTGTATATAATATATTTGCCAATGTTCAATAAATAATAAGTCAAAGAAATCCATAAACAAATATATATAAGATTAGAAAGTCTTGACTAAAATTTACCAGGATTTTCTCTAGACACCACCACTCCATCATCATCTTTGTACGTTGAGGCATTCAACAGTGACTTGAAATGAATAAGAAAAACAAAGAGATTTGAATTTTAAAATCAGGATATAAACAACTTTAACAAAGGGTAATATATAGTTCACAGATAATTATTCTGCACAATTCATCATAATTAAAATGATATAAGTTAAATATAGGTCAGTTTAAAAGTTTAATGATAAAAGACGATATCTAACGCTAATATACGTAATGAAGTTAATATGATAGAGATAAACGGTATATTTTTTTTCTCTGAATGAGAATATATACAATAAGAAGGAAACAGGTAACGAGAGAAATTGACTGAATGCCAATAATAATGATGATAATAATATTTGAAAGTGGAGAGAATTACATCCATCACTAAATGTATTCCTAAAAACACAGTGGTGAGTTTCTTACGTAAACAACACTTTTATTTCAAAACATTATAAATACCAAGGCTAATGTGATAGATTATGATTGCTAAATGTAGTTCAAGTAAATAGTGTATAAGAAACCAATTCATCAAATTCCTTATATATTCAATTTTGGATAACAAAAGTTGTATGTACCTAGACTAGGCTATCTAAACTAGATTAGATGAAGTCAGTTTCGAATAAATGATTTTATAATAGTTGACATTATACAGTTCTAGCAATAAGGTCATCAACTACACAGTCACAAAAACAGTACGATAATACCATATTATTTAACACGATCAAGTGATATTAGTGAATATATGACAAAAATGGGAATCACAAAACAGTTCAACTATTTAACTTAGTAGTAACCATGTACAACTTTTGTAGAACTTGAGGTGATAATCATTAATATTTATGCTAAGGACTACCTCATAAGTTCAGCAACTATCACTTAAAGGCAAAAATAAGATCTACGAATATTATTTACTGATATAATAATTACAATAGTCTACAAGATAAAAGTAAAAAATGCCAACATAAAACAAATCATATAAATTATTAATAGAATCAATGAGGAAACAACGATTCACCTTAAAAATGAACATAGTTTTACTCAGTAATTAGTTATGAACGGTAATATATATATAGGGGGTGGGTGGAAAATAGGGAAGATGATGTGAGTGAGAAATAGATGAAGAACTTACCATATGGTAATAAGAAAGTTATTCGTAAAAAACCGGCGAGTTTTGAATTAGCCCAAGTATGAGAGTGGGATAAAAGAGAAAAATGGTTACAAGAAAACGAAAAACAACACTAGGCTGGAAAACATATAATTAATCTGAATTTTACCGATGCTGACACGAAGGGTAAAATACTACATTCCTAGTGCTGTCAAAAGAAGAATAGATCTACTTTCAACCACTTTACTGGAATACACTACTCCCATACCCGTTCAATAGTGACGAGTTGCTTTAAACAGACATAATTAGAACTTATTTGATTACAGAAAACGTGCCGCTTTCATGAGGTTGGTCAGATCAGTTTTGATATTATTATTTAGTGGGGAGATATCAAATTATGTTATATAGTGTTTACATGAAACCCAAGAGTCATGTGATCAAAACAAAGTGTCGCTATCCTCAAAATAGATTAGGTAAGAAATAAAAAAGGCTTAAGGAAGTGATATGCAGCAAGGTAAGCAATTCAAAGCAGGTATAGAAAAGGAAATAATTTCAAAATATCAATTATAAACTTATTATCCGACATCTGCAGCAATGAAGTTATGACGCAAAAGAAAATTCACAAAAAAGATGTTATCCTCCCCAAATATAATCTGTTTCGCATCAAATTAATCTTTATACAACTATGATGTAATAAACTCATTGCTAATTAGAAGCCATAGGTACTCAATTTGTTAACAAATATGGAATTATTCAACATTGTTAAACTATAGGGAGTAGGCAGTGTAGAGGGACAGTATAAATTTATAATAAGTAATTTATACATTGTATGTACTTACTGAATGATATATTGGATTACATAAGTTATTAGCTCCAGGAGAGTAGCTGAAATTTAACGAAAAAGATGGAATATCATATATATATATATATATATATATATATATATATATATATATATATATATATATATATATAACATATGGTACATATGCCCAACCACCGATTACCACAGTGCGCAATGCTGATTAGTGTTGGAGATGGATGGAACAAAGTTGGGGGTGGTCAAATCAAAACGTGGCATCAATTCACAAATTCACTAACTTCTGGCCTGAGCTATGTTGGTAGATCTATATTACTTGGTTGGGGGCCGCACAATTATCGTAACCATTGGTTGGAGACTACGGGTGACATGGCTCAGAATCGATCACAATGGCGTAGGTGTATACATTCTTTGCATCCATTTAAACCGTGAGATTAAAATTACTTTATACCTTTCTTTCAACCAACTAATTATTTCTTGCTGTGTCCTATCTTACAACTGAAATAACTGCTACTATGAATTCGGTATTCATTTTGTTGCGCTAATGAGGTATGGCAACTTGGACCGATGCATATATATGCCTGGTCCTACGCTGCAGATAACCAAATAATTGATATATATATAAGCACTAAGGATAGACATTATTTAGGGTAAAAATAATGTAAAACTAAACTAACTTATTAGAGTTTGAGATATTCTGCTGTTTTGGTGACATGATTAGTTGTGAACATTTTTGTTGTGATTGTTTAAGCTCTAATTCCAAATGACGACAACGTAGACAAAGTCTTTCTATCGCTTCATCCGCTGCAGCTTCTTGAGCAGTCAACTATATGAGATTTGAAAAAAGAAACCGAAAATAAGTAATTTGTGAGACAATTATCATTTATATTCGTATTATAGAAATGATAGTTTAAATGTTTACTTAACCAACAACTGAGTTATCAACATACAATTAAAATTAAAGTTAGGAGATTAATTTTTATTGACAATGTGATATCGTATCTAAAATGAAACTGAAGATATCAATTTCATTTGTATGGTACAATTTGCTATGGATATCTAATCAATTAGAATGAATATTACACTATTATTGTACTAATAAAGTATATATATATATATATATATATATATATATATATATATATATATATAAAGTAACTTACACGTTGTTCTAGATTTCGAATACGTGATTGGAATTTTCGTAGCTGAATTCTATGATCATGCAATTCACTGGCTAGTGCCCAAGACACTGTACTAACACATTCTGTAGCTATATCTGAATTCTGATTTTTATTAGTGTAGTCATCTTTATTAATTAGATCAGTTGGTAAATATACATTATCTTGGATAAGTACAGCTTGACGAATATACTCCATGATAGCTTCGTTACGTCGACGAGTCGATGCTGCAGTTGCTGTACCTTTTAATGCTGATCGAGGGCTAGATTGTTGATAATTTAAGCCAGTGGAATAACCATTTAATGATTTTACATTATCACTACCATTTGAAGATTTTCTAAACTGTTGAAAAAGACTGTTTACAGGTGATGAATCGTTTGTATCATTATTATTAACACTAAGATATTCCATATCATAATCCACACTACTTTCATCAACAGCTATCACATCCTCGTCCTCCTCCTCTTCCGCATCATCATCCTTGTTCCATTGTTTAGCTTCTTTCAATGATCGTGTAGCTACAGCAATCAAATTATGTAAAGCTTCGGTAGAATCACCGCCTGATAACTGAAAAACCAAACACACAAAAACATGTATACATGTAATATGCTTACCGAAAAAAAGACTAATAAACAAATTATATCGTTATTATGGCATTTATTTATTAAGTAGATATTTATGTATACATCCTTGAGCCACAATTCTCATCAATTGGTAAGTGTTAGGGCAATAACATATAAATATTTATGGAGTGTTCTTTTTTCCTAAACTAAAAACTCCGATCATTAAGTATGAGCTAATAAGGTATTCAAAGTGAATAACTTATCCGTATATATCTATTTCACGTTCTTAATTATTCATTAAATAGTTATTGGTGAAAGAGAAAAACAAATAAAGGATCATGGTAAAACATACAATAAAAATATAACTATTAATATCATTAAACAACGAAATAAGAATTTCTTATTTTCATAAAATTCAAGAATATACATAGGACTGAAAATAACACTTCGGATAAAACGAGTATAATACTATCCAACTCAATCACTACAGATACATATTTTGATGACGTTACGTTCTGTGAGTTAGGGGATTCAATCGTCAAAACTTTATCATCTTTTTGGAAAGACGTCACTAATTTCGCTGATTTGTTGCACAGAATATCCATACAGGGCCAATGAATATCAAAACCTTTAAATGATTATTTTGACGTATTTACAGTATTTTTTCTGGTCTTGGAATTTAACATGATCGCTAATAATATAATTATCATTAGATTGTGACTTGTTGACCAAAAAATGTATAAGAAAATATATGATGACCAAAAGAACGAGTTTATGTTTCAGTGTAAGAACCCCCCCCCCCAAAAAAAAAACAGACAAATATTCCAACCGAAATAAGGCAGTGATGGTTCTCTGGATAACCATCAACATCATCCTATATAAATGTTACCTAACCATCTGTTATTGTTAAATTGAATAGACTATTATTATGATCATGCTATCCATCAGGTACAGATTGTCATACTAAACTTCGATCTATAATCTAAGTATGACGGTTAGTGATATACTACTTGGTTGCCTAAAACAAGATATATGAAAAGGGATTCAAATCTGGAATTTAATTGTTGAAAACTGGACATCTTATCCATTGAGCTACTCTATTCTATAAGTGAATAATTATCATTATAAGAATTGAAAACTCAATAGAGTAAAACGGACTAAACATAAAAATAAAATATTTTATTAAAAAGTTAGTAGGTTAAATAAACATCACAATGATGACACGATATCCGTTGACACATCCATGTTTTGCAATACTTTAAACGATAAGTACATTTAGTTATACTGTTGTTAGCTAATTATAAAAAAAATGTTTCATGATATAAATCTAAAAAAACACAGTGTACTTGAGAATAATAATAATAAAGTGAGGAATAATTTTTACTCAGTCCGATGCATCATAAGAGTATGTTGAACAAATCTCAACTGATAAACAACCGTAATATGTACATAAATGAATAAATGACATACAAAAAATTCTAAAATATGCATTATAAAACGATAATACTACTCATTTTAATGTCTATTAATCTCGTGACTTTTTTAGTTTAGTAATTGGGTGGTTTACCAAAAAAAAGAACAAAAAAACTAACTGTACAAACGTAACCAATTCTAACCCAACCTGCATTGTGTTATAAATCTACTTCCCTACACTTCATTCCATTTTAACTAGTAAATATTAGAGTTTTCAAAAGAAGATGAAAAATAAAATCAAATAAATAATTCATGTGATATGAAAGAGTTAGGAGATTAAGCTCATAAATGAGTGAAACAAATAGATAGTAGGGCAAGAATAGAAGAATTAATCAATTATTAAGTGAATTGAAATGTCATATATTGAATAGATTGCAAAGGATAATAATAATAATAACCACCACCACCACCACCACAACAACAAAGGCAAAGACCGAGAACTAATCAACAATGCTGACATAGAAATAGGGTAGACATAATATTATGATCATGAAAATAGTTTTTTTTTTGAAATTTGTTTTAACTATAATAAAAGAAAAATATCACTGAAATATTCAATTTTCAATAAAAATAGAAATAAACATTATTTCACATGTTATGCATAAAATTAAATAACAATTTCTCTTAGTGAATAATATATATACATCTAAAAGAAATTTTGTAGATCTATGATAATAAGTAGTATTTTATCAGATGAAAATGAGTCATATTTTATGGTAAGATAAATGATATAAAGAAAGATAGACGGAAATATGTAGAATGAAAATTATTGTATGAATAAGCATTGTCTAATTTATATCAGACAAAAATATTTTATTGATTTGTCCAATTATTAGTCAATTTACCCTTAATATAATCGATATAAAACAGAAGTTAACATTTGGAATAAATAATTACAATTACTATAGGTTAAATCAATATAGAAGATAGAATAATTTATCAATACTATATGGACTAGGTTGGTTGAGGTGTGGGGGGGGGAATATTTGACTAATTCACATGTTAAAAACAGATAATCGTCTAACACCTCCAATTCAATAGACTTTTACTTAAAGGTAGAGAATGTTTAAACATGTGTAACACATACCAACCATCTCAATTTGTAATATGTTCACTATTAGAATAGTAGATTTAATGATAGAGTTAAGGGTTCCCAGCCAAATACATATACCATCAATCCTCTTAAACTAATAACCACTGATCTATTATAAAAATATGAAGAATTTCTAGTTGAACAATCATGAGACTTAAAGTGATATTGATTATAAATTATTCCATATAAACTCTAATTTATTTATTACTGGCGTTGTAGCTGACTGACTGATTTATTACTGAGCATTCTGAAAAGAGCAAGAACAAAGACTCTAGCAGAATAGCATGAATTCATTTTATTTCGTAGGTTCTCGTCAGCTGCTTACAACCTGTGATATTTAAAAATCATAATTACATAATGGATTTAAATTGCTAACTGAATATTGTAAATATATACCTAATGTGAAAGAATATTCTACAACATTAATTGTGACAACAGTTCAAAAGTGGGTTAGAAACAATCGATTACATAATGAATAACATTGAAGGAATGTAGTGAGTAGAGTTCAGTTGAAAGATTATTAATTTGAAAGATAGTTGAAAAAATAAAGTAGAGTCAATGATGTAATAAATGCAAAAGAAAAAAGAAAAAAATAAAATTTTATGGTGCAGTGAAGGAATATTTGTCACCAGGGCAAGGAAAGATTAACCACCGTTCTGTAAGTCAGGAATATCTTATTTTTAATTTAATTTGTTTTCTATGAATTTTTGTTGTAGGTACAAGTGATATCATTATTTTTACACCATTTATCGCTCTGTTGTGCTAATTTGTTGACGTAACGCTGATGAAAAGTATACCATCTAAAATTATTCAATAGTTATTAAATAATATTGTTATTATACTTATTGTTCTTTTATGTTTAATTAAATAAGGTCATAAAAATGTATAAACAAACAACTGGATTAAGTCATAATTTATATACATTCTACGTACTTGTAGTGAACGCAAATAAATTAGGAAATTAGTGAAATGCACAAAACTTACGTTTACAGGATTATCGGTCTGAGTAGACACAACCTCTTGACTGATTAAAAGTAAAGTAGAAAAAAGAACCACAAGTTAATAAACAACAGCAGTAGTGAACTGGTAAAAAAACTGAACATAGTCAATCCCATTACATTGATTGATCATTGAACAGCGACAAGCGTCATGTTCATCTAGTCAGTTGTATGCAACGTAGAACCCAGGATGTTTTTCGAGTCCCTAGTACTGATTGAATTCTATCAACGAAGAGTTGAAATGTGGCCACTAGTCTTTGTGACTCAATATCGAGTGGATTGTGATTTGATGTTAGGTGATTAAAGAACCCCTCCTTTATGTCTATCATTTTGTAATAGTTAGCGCACAACAACAAGGAGTACCTAATGCTTTGCGGAAGTGATGCACCACGGTAGATTAAAATCCGGACCACCCAGTTTCACAATTTTAATCCACCAGGTAAAATCAGTCCCGACAATACTACATTTACGTCTTACTGATTAGTGCCAACTAGCACAAACCCCTCGGAATAGTAGGGTTTTATCTCGACCATCTCGAACCAACTAAAATCGATCTAAAAATGCGCCTTCCTGTAAAATTCATCAGGCAAAATATTGGAAATGTTTCACTTATATATCACTAACGTCTTAAAATGTTAACCGATGACAACCATAACAAGGACAGGTATGAATGCAAAAAAACAACGGAACTAGTTATTCACAAACGAAAAAAATGGTTGGTCTGTAAGCTGAATGATGTATGAATCGATAAAAATGTAAATTATCCTGTATGATAAGAGTGAACACTATCAGGTACATCCGCATCATTAGTACTTAACAGTCAGATTACCATCAACTCTTCAGTCATATTAATTCATAAATAAACTGGATGGATTAATAATCAATGCAATGGGGTTACTGTGCAAAATATTCATTATATAAGAAAGGCTATCATTATCACCAGTCTTATCTAAATAATGCTATATACATAAAAGAACATGTGTTGTGAAATCAGTCTGTCCCTGTTAACTTTCCCACACTTAGTTAACGATAAAAATAACTTTGAGAATTAAATTAAAGTGATAAAAACTAACTATTTATCAGATGAATTATTATTCAACTTCGACTCTTTCTCAACCGCCTTTTCCTCTTCTCCCTTATTATTCTCTTCGTCTTCCTCTTGTTGTTTTTCTGTCAATATCTTTGCTATGCGAGAATTAGGTGGGTCTTTTTCTCTGGCTAGAACAAAACTAAAGTAAAACACATTGAAAAGAAACAATTAAACGTGAAGTCGACAACAACAACCACTACTAGTAAGTAAACGGAAAAAAAGAAAGGATGATTGCAGTTGAAATTTTTAAAATAACACATACACAAATATAATGAAAATTTTCGCTGAGCTGGATGGTTTGCTCGGAAAATACCTGGACGTGGTTGTATAGACCAATTAATCACACTACGTCAGGTTCTAGAACACAGACACACATTCAGACGCCCCACAATCGTAGTGTTTCTCGACCTTAAGGCGGCATTCGACTCTGTTGATCGTGAGGTTCTATGGCAGTGTTTGTCACTGAAAGGAGTACCAAAGAATTACATTAACCTTATAAAGGCTCTCTACTCGAACACAACTGGTCGAGTGAGAGCTTATGACGAACTGTCATCAGAATTGATTACCTCAAGTGGTGTTCGTCAGGGCTGTCCACTCTTTCCATTCTTGTTCAACTTTGTCGTCGACGTAATTTTAGAGATAACACTTTCCTCGTCTAGATTTCCAGGGGTTGAACTTCTGCCAGGAGATTCACTTGTTGACTTGGAATATGCTGATGACATAGTTTTATTTGGTGAAAATGCTGACAAAATGCAGTCTTCTGACCACTCTAAGCAACAATGCAAGCATGTTCGGGATGCGATTCTCCCCCGTCGAATTGTAAAATGTTGCTTCAAGATTGGGTTGCATTGACACCCGTACTAATGATAGGGAGTGAAGTAATTGAGCGTGCCGATCGCTTCACTTATCTTGGAAGTCTCATCAGCCCTTGTGGTCTGGTGTGTGACGAAATCTCAGCACGGATACAGAAGGCTCGACTAGCTTTTGCCAACTTGCGTCATTTATGGCGTAGGCGAGATATCCGTCTATCAACCAAAGGATGTGTTTACTGCTCAGCAGTTCGTTCCGTCCTACTTTATGACAGTGAAACATGGCCGGTAAGAGTAGAGGATATTCGTTGGTTACTAGTATTTGATCATAGGTGTCTTCGAAATATTGCTCGTATATTCTGGGACCATCGAGTAAGTAACGAAGTTGTTAGGAAACGGGTACTAGGTAAGGATGGCAAATCAATTGATGAAGTGATGAAACTTCATCAGTTGAGATGGTTGGGATACGTTTTACGTATGCCCAACGACCGACTGCCTCGACGTGCCATGTTCAGTGGTATAGGAGTAGGTTGGAAGAAAGCTAGGGGCGACCAGACCAAAAAATGGCACAAATCCATGAAGTCACTGACAAGTGGACTGAACGATGTTAGTAGGTGTAGACTACCTAGCTGGGATCCGCGAGATGATAGCAACCGATGGTTAGAGACCTTGAATGACATGGTTCAGAATCGTTTGCAATGGCGCAGGTGCATACACTCTTTGTGTTCTCCCAAATTTTGATCTTCTTAATCCTCCTTGTCTTTTTTTCTCTTCCCAAATTTATTTCACTGTATTATACTCTTTGAATAACATCTTCAAACACTAATTTTCCGTCGGATTAGCAATTTTGAGGTTAGACGCAAAGTACTAGTTAAAGATGGAAAACAGGTTAGTGAGGTAACGAATCCCTCTCAAATGCGATGCTTAGGATATGTATTAATCACAGCACATTCACCGATAAACAGGACGCGTGATGATGACTGGTATAGTGGTAATGTTGGAGAAAGCATGAGGCGGTCAAACTAAGACATGGTATCAGCATATGAAGACACTAAATGTTAGACTGAGTCATGTAATTAGGCCGAGACTACTTGATTAGGATAAACACGAATACCTTAACTAATGGTTAGAGACCGAGTGACATGGCTTAGAATCGTTTGCAATGCAGATGTTGGATTCAATCCTTGTTTTCCCATAGATTTTTAGCTTCTAAATTACCCTATAAATATTTCCTATTCCACTAATCTATACTTTCTTCTTGAATCATATCTTTTATGACTAATCTTTCCTACTACCAATAATACTACTACAACTTATACCACTTTAGCATCTTATTGTGTTAGTTTAACGTAGCGATTTGAACTGGTTGTATATGTGTAATGTTTCTTTTGTTGCATATGACTAACTGACAATTTTCGATTAAAAATGTGTCAGTAATGTATAATTATTGAGATTCACAAATTGTTGCGCACTGTATTCCTAAAACTTACGGATCGAAATTATACAAAGATTTGTGATAATTTGTCTTGTTCTGATTTTACGCTTTAGGTAAGTAATGATATCATGGACTACATATCGTGCAGAAACAGTGAAGAAAAATAGTGAAGTCATTTATAAATGGCGCAAGTTAGTGTTATAGAAATAAGTGAAGAAACGACATTGAAAAAGTACTTACTGAATGATTTCCCCAGTATTTTGGAGTACTTGAGCTGCGAATTGTTGAGAGACACCAACCAAACTATGGCCATCTACTTGAACAATTTGATCGTACACTTGAATACTGTCAAATGTTTTAAGAGATAAAAAATAAGACAGGAATTTCATAGATGCTTTACACACAAATTAAAAAAACAAATATAGGTTTGTATACTCAACTCTGAACCATACTTTTTATATCAGGATTAGTTACGCTACTCAACTGTCTTAACTGATGAAAGCCAGTGTTTAAACCTATGATCGCATGATTAAAAATTTGAACACCCTAATATGTAAGATAATCTAAATAACACAATTATTCAGGATTGTATAGCCGAACATAAGATCTAATTGGAAACTGGATTAATCACCTACGTGCAACATGTTTGAGTAACCATCGCTGTTTACAAATCTGCATGCATTATCAGGAAAGTACAGTTTTCTAGGTAAATTTCTTTCTTTCTATATCTGATTATGTTGGTCAATTATGTACATTTATGTACAAATATGATACATTTTCCATTCTGCAAAGTGTAGACAATTTTATTTTTTATCAGCAGAGATGGATGGTGGTTAGCAGTAGAATCTAGAACACACGTTTCGTCCTATCTAAAACTCGTCAGCTAAAAGTACCTACAGCCTAGAGTCCCGGAGTGAATATCAACTCTCGGGTTAAACTCTCATATTATGTCCAGGACTTTGAAATCCAAATTCATCCAGCTGACGAGTCCCAAATAGGAGGAAACGCTCGTCCTAGATTTCACAGCTAGTCACTATCTATATCTGCTTATAATGCTAGCGATTTGAAGCATTATTGAGGCGATCCGCACACGATGTTCAATTTAGCTTTTAAAAAAAAATTAAACAACATGAAAAAGCCAGTATTTTTCAAAATATATCCAGTAGCGATTACAAATTATTCACCTTACACACTTAGTGATATATGCTTTATTAAATATGGGAATTTTCACATCATTTTATATGCATCGTTCATTTGAATCACACCCGTTTATTATAGTCCCTTAATTAATAAAATTAAACTCCCTTAGAAATAATAGTGATATGATGAATATAATTCAATCATTACAAAATAAACTACAACGAATTAATTATCATTGTTTTCTTAGAAAACAACTATTTTTTTAAGTCAGTAAAATAAGTGGATCAAATAAATATGACCTTATAGATAACAACAAACAAATATCAGTCAATTAAGAAACTTTAATTTTAATAGACAAATTATGAAAATGTTGCAGCACTTATTTTTGCGTATAATTAATCACAGTGAGTGTAGTTTTATCAAAGTTGATTAACAAACATAATTTTATCAATAATCCACAGCTAAATGTCTATTTTATTATTTGATCTATAAGAGGATGAACTAATGAGTGCATTTGACAAAATTTTTTTAAAATGGAAAAATATATAAGATTGAATGAGGGAGAATAATTGTGATTGTGTACTCTGGGCTGGGTAATTTTATTGTGAAGTTTATGTTGCCACTTTGAACAAATTCATCATTGTTTATGTAGAACTGAGCTGTTTCATTAATTCAAAAGCGTTAAGTCAACCTATTCTGGTGACTTTGTCTGTGAATAGTTGTTTTGGTGAACTTCTCCATTTTCATTTGTTTTTTTTTGTATTTTTATGAGGCGTTGACCTTTTACCGCGTAATCGCTCAATGTTTACAGTCTATATTGGTAAACAGGGTACCAGTCGAGATGTCAACTAATTGCAAATTGGCTTGAACGCTACGCCTTCAGAAATTCTTCGCTATTTTATCAATTTCGTCTATCAAGAATTTCGAAATTTTTCAAATCAGTATATATCATTACGAGTGATACCATATCATTTCGTTTAAGGATGAATTTACGTCCGTATGTGTGGGTGAAAGTATGAACTTTATTTAATGTAATGATTGTAGCAGTTGGGATTTATTTATTAAATGATATTGTATTAGTTCTCTTTCGTTGTTGACTTTTAGTATGAATAAAACAGCTCTGGTGGTTATCTTGGGGGATACCAAGTTTTCTAGACTGAATAGCTTAAATGTGAAACTTTTCGTTTTGAATATTATGACAATCTAGCAAGTTACGACGCATACATTCAGTAACGTATCATCGTACACACATATTTGACTATTCTGATTTTAAACAAGCTAAAATTTACTTAACCTACTGTAATATATGTATTCACAAATTTGACATGCCTTAAGGCTTACCTACATAAATTTATAATCAGATGACTTATATCTCATAAACCGGTCAATAAAGGCAACATGAATCTTGATATATATACCATCAAATACAAATCATTTGAAAATAATCAGAGTATAATGTTTATAAATAAATTTTGCATTTGTTTATCACTTGTTCACTATGAGACAAACACATAACCAATATGGAGATAAGTTAGTGTGATGATATTAACTTCTAATTACTAATATTTAATTAAATGGTATTTATTTTTACATTGAAATAGACCCTAATATTGTGTCCAATTGTTTTATAATCACATAAACACGCTTCAAACTTCGACCAACTATAAACATCAAAATCTATGTAACTAAAGGATTTGGAATGAAATACCTTTCATGGCTAAGCGGTTTTTTGCAATATTAACATACAGCTTTTGATTTAATGCTCATATATTAATCGTACCACTGTGCTATATAATCAACTAATGATGAAAATGAGTAAACACCAATATAGGGTATCGTAGTTGAAACATTGTAGACAGTTTCCTACAAAGTAATTATCATGTAAATGTATTCAAGAAACATTAATTAATCTATTACTGACTAGCCTAACGCAAAATCTGAGGCTATACAATGTTATCAGTTTTCGTCCACAAGTGGAGACTTTTTAGAGAAAAAAGAAATTGATTTAAAATGACATGGCAATTGATTGCATTTTACTGAAATTCGATCTCCTAATTAAATCAGAAAAGAGATTTCTATGAATATTCCGATGATGGTTTATGACATTGTAAGCCAATCAGAAGTAGCCAAATGCAATTGTTAATCGATTGCAAACAAAAGAGACTAGAAGGACAAGTGGATATCATTGGCTTAGAAATATACTGACTTTCTAAGGGACGGAGTTGAATATATATAGAGAGATGAACATTCGTGTATATTACTCGGTAGCCCAATAAATCTTCTCGTACAGTCTCGTGTTCTCACTTAAGTAGTCAGTTGGGAGGTTAGGGCGTAGCACGTCGTGTATCAGTATCAGATTTCGGACATCGCACGTCACAACAGTTTCTGAGGACGTTATTTTTCTCAAACTCACACGAAAATAGATAGAATCCCAAACTATCGATTTCAAATTAGCTTAAATCAATTTTGTCGCAGCAGCAAAAACAATTTCAGGCATCACGATGAAAAATAATAGAAATGACGACACAAAAGTTTTCAATTCAATAAAATTCAGAACAGGTGTCCGAATTAAAGCGTTCAACTACCAAATAGCTTATCAATTCGACGAGCGAGCTTTACCTTGGTCTTGATGCATGCATCACATTTTTGTAATCAAATTTTTCAGGAAAAATAAAGAGCTGATCAACATCAGATTATTTACTTCTAATCAGTAGATAGTGTTTGGGATTTCTTTTATCAAAATACTATGGATAATACTTCGTTTGCAAACTCTACATAAATTGAATCTGCGTGAATAAATATTAACTGAAAAGATTAGAAATGACCACATCATTTATTCCTGTAAAAATACTTATATTAAAACTGACACATAATGAGTTGAATATGAGGACCTTCAGTGAATAAATGTAGACGGTTTCAGTGATCACTGCCGATACCCGTAATGTTCTAAAGGTAAGCCAATTACTAGCTTACCGATATGCACTACATTTACAAATATGTACGGAAGAGGATCTAATAAAAATTATAAGTAATTACTAAGTATCACTTAATCTATCATCATACATGATTTCATTGAAATAGGTGGAAATGTTAGACCCATGTAAAACACACTGATGCAATTTCTGTGTAAATCGACAATGCTACTGAGCTAAATTATCAATAAGTGATATGCTTGTAAATGATCAATGCTACATTCAAACGACTAACATTTGCACAATAACAGAAGTGACCATTTCAAAGGAATGATTTTAGTTTAGTCAGTATGTATGACAAGTGAACACATGCATTATTTGTCCATGTTTATATTGTTTGTGTTTGTCTGGATACCACGATGGTATATACAAAAAGATTTAAATACAAATTGTAAAATGTAAACTATCCACTTTCAAAACTATGCATGAATCATCACTATTTTTAATAGAAAGAAAATACAGTTGAATAAATGAGTAGCATAGCCAAAATGTGTATGTTAAAAAACAATGGGTCACTACTGCTATTACTGGTAATATTAGTAGAACAATGAATGATTTGAATAAAGATAAACAGTGAAAATTTTGCACTGATCCAAATAGCGTTAAGCAAACGAACAAACAAGATGGTGAAATTCAATTGATAAATAGTTATACAGAATTATTAAGTGAAACATATATCGATAAATGTCATCTAGATAATAGCTGATAAAGTGTGTATAGGTGAGTGCGACAGAGAGAGAGAAAGAAAGGAAACATCCGAAAGAATAGATAGATGGTAACAACAAGAAATCGGAGAAAAAATTTCAAATGAAATATTAGTTTTCATGTTGTACTATTACCTAAATTAGTAACTTGAAAATTATAAACGATATATGTGTATTGTAAGATGAGTTTAACATGCATAATGAACGTAAAGATTTAAACATGTAAAAAAAGATTAAGGTGGAGTATGAATAACTATTTCAAAACACAATAACATATCGCCAATTGTCTTAAAAATAGTATTAAAAGTAGTATTTAGTTATGGTTATATGAATAAGCGAATTGCCGACTACTAAACATCACAAAAGATGATAGCGTTCTAATTAATGGAACGACACACGCAAAGGTCACACTTCTCTATACACTTTAACATGAATCTATTTTCTTTCCATTCACCTACTTTTATGATGTGTATTTCAAATAATAACCAACACAAATACTTGAAGAATATATCTGTGAACTTGGCTTTAAGATCCACTTTATTTACATAACAGCAAATGATACGGCATAACTGCACAAAACAAGATAGACAGCAGTAAGGTTAATAGCCGTAGTCATTCTAATGATTACAAATAGAGTCTTTTAATCATTAAGTTCACTTCTACTTACAAATTGTCAAGTAAAAACAAACGTCAACAAAGTATACGTCACAATTGTTGACGAATAAGAAAAAAAACAAGCATATATATATATATATAAACTATTGTAAATGCCACTAGTCTTACCAATATTAATGATGTAAAAACTCATAACCCCATACATTCAACAAAATAACCAATTTCATACTTGAAAAGCGCTTTCCTTCCTCAAGAAAACAATCACAAAGCGGTAAAAGGGAAAATGTGGATAGCTTACCGACCATCAGCCTCTGCAGCACCTCCAGGAGTAAATGATTTAATGAATATGCTTAATTTCTGTTCACCAGATGAAGTATCAACACCGGAACCAACTATGCTAATACCGAGACCATTTACACCTAAATAGAAACAATTTACGGAAATAAATATACACATTATACAAGAAAGTTATGATAAGTAAATAAAACTACAGTGCTGAAGAGTCCCATACTGAGACAAAACAGCCGTTTTCAATGGTGGTCTAACATTGAGCCATTCATGATTTCAATCAAAAGTATCCACAACCGTAAACTGATAAACAAAATTAATTATGAACAAAATGCTATGATTCATTTGAATACACGATTATATACATATATATCTATGTTAAACGGCTTTATACATATAAACTTTCAATGTCCAGTTTACGAGTGCATTTCATTAATTTTTTTGTGAAATATACAATAGTAACGTTTAATATGAAATGTTAATTTAGCAAATAAATAATTTTCATATAACTTTAACACACAAAACAAATTGATTTCATACAAAACAATTATGAATTAGTATCAGAAGAGGTTTTATGGAGATTGTAGTAATTTCAACAGTTGAGATCATGGATCAATTGACGCTAGACCACCATGGAAAACCTGGAAGCACTGGACGGCCGTTTCGTCCTATTGTGGGACTCCTCAACTGTCAAAATTGTCAATTAAACAAAATTTAAGCCGTAAAATTAAATAATATAACATAATAAGATATCAACTGTGTTCTTTTCCAAAGAAACACCACACAATATAAGCAACAAGTAGTAAGAATTTTTATTTATTTCTACTAAGAGTTAATTCAAGAAATAAATTAAAAGTGAGAATAAATTTGAAAAAAAAATCAACTAATTCGACTGAAAATGATGAAATAAGCGTATAACAACTATGTACAACATCTATTTGATTCATTTGGTGTTGTTTTATTTGTATCTTCCCATTGTTATTTAGGACTGCAATTGATCAGTCGTCTCATATTGGCATATGTGCATCATCATTTTATTATTCTGCAATTATGAAATGTTTTTCATAATGAACTAAACAGATTTTTTAAGCGAAGATCGATAGTGGTTAGCAGTGGAATCCAGGACGCGCGTTTCATCCTATTTGAGACTCGTCAGCTGGATGTACCTGCATGAGACTGATCAATCGCAGTGCTAAATAACAATGGGAAGATACAAGTAAAACAACACCAAGTGAATTTAAACTTCACCCTATTGCACAAGCAGGTGGCTATCAGGACTCAGTAGGTTAGTAGATAACGCGATAGCATTTGATGCGAAAGGTAGTGGGTTCGAGTCCTGGAATGAACGTCGACTCTGAGATACAGGTACGTTCAGCTGACGAGTCCCAAATAGGACGAAACGCGCGTCCCGGATTCCATTGCTAGCCACTATCCATCTTTGCTTAAAAAATCTGTTTGATTCATTATGAAAAACATATTTCATAACTGCAGAATAATAAAATGATCTATCCGATACTATACTATATCTAACTAATCATTAGATACATAATGAAGGGAAATAAAAAGTGACTGTCAGAAAAATCATAATTAGACTAGTGGGGTAAAAAAATTCTCAAGACTGAATTCTATGCTAGAATATGTAAACGAATAATACATATTAGGAGAGGACATCAGTAAAAGAAAATCGTTTCGTTTGTAAGGCATCAACAACAAACACTACAGGATGAAGCGATCCTAATTCATTTTTTATGCTTTATATTTTGCATACATACACTGGGTCGTATAAATGGAAAAACAAAACGTTTCACAAATGCAATTTTTTGTGTAATATAAGAATGTGATAACAGAAACTTCCGATCTACTACGTCGATGTTTTAATTTGGCTCAATCAAATTTAAAATTCACCTGAGAGCATGAATTTCGCACTAGAAAAAATTCCTTGAACCTAAATATGATAAGAACGAAGGATCATTGTTGTCTTATTTACTACGCACTTTTTATGCAAGCCAATATTTGTACGTTAACAGCTTTCGTCCGATATAAAAGTTATACTGGGATGTCGTTTTCAAGAGCGACAACAATAGATTCGATTGATGGAGAAATGGAAGCTATTCAGACTTTACCCGAGAACAATTATCTCATAAAGCTAATCAATAAGGACTGTAAATCAACGAATGAGATTTTACAATAAGAAATCGGCCTTAATCCAAAAGGGATAATTGCACAGTGCAGAATAGCTGTCGACGAAAATTCAGAATTGCACTGACTTTTCTAATCGACAACTCAATTATCACATATTAAACAAAAAAGCCTACTCAGAGTCTAACTTATATAAAAGAGACCACCTCTAGTCACAGTTGTATTTACCTTAACTTCCAATAGCTCATATGTTGGAATAACAAAGACAATGTTATCAAAGAAGAATCTAATAATACATTGAGACGGTGAAGATTTGTAGTTCAGGTGGATGATTTTGGAATTTTGTGCTGATGATGTCGTTCAGAAGAACGATGAAAGCTCCGCGACCAAACCATCCAGCTCAGAGAACAAAACTCCACCAAAAACCTAATAATACATTAACCTAAGTTACCCAGGAGTGCCATGAGACAATATAATGGATAAACGTGACTCAACAGATCATGATACTGGTTTTCGATTGCTAAATCGACAGAATAACAGTAAAATTCTACGTTACATAGAAGCAGTAGCTGGTCGATATTTTTGCGAAGAACAATTTTTGGTTCGATCTGTACCGTGATGGTTATCGATTTATTGCTATCCCTTGTTGTCACCTTTTTCTTCTTCCAAAATTAGTTTAGGGACTTTTCGCTTTACTTTTTGACACATAACCTTCCATTACGAACATTATCTTATCAGCTTCTATTTAATCACAATAATACCCTTATTGTTCATTTTAATCAACTTTCCATTCATTAATTTACAGTTAGATTGTAACTAGTTATATCATTTTAACATCATTCAACAAAGCGGTTAACCCCTATCAATTTAATTATTCAAATAATTACGTTTTTTATACCCTCTTCAACCATTATCATCGCCAGCATTTTAATAACTTTACTATTGTCCTTTGGTAATTACGATCAATCTCATTATTTTGTCTACCGTAATCATAATAATTTGCACATGTTTCTTCCGATTGATGACGTCATCATATTTTTTTCACAAGAGCGTTTATTTTGTTCGTCTGTTAACCGAATTTGTATAAATGTGAAGGGTATTTAAATTTATTTCCTACTTATGAACTACATGAATTTCGGCAAGTTACATAAAAAAAAAAATTTGTAAAATATCATATTTATTGACGTAAATAAGTGTGTATGTGGAAGATTTAGAGCAAACGAAATGAAACGAATGCAATTTATTCTACAAGGTCTGATATTCTTGCTTCACAAAGGCTTATTAAGGCAAATAACTGCATGAAAAACTATGAATAAACTACTTGATCATTTTATAATGTGGTAGGTGAACATTATCAAAGAGGTGCTCAATGAATAATTTATACAAAACGATTAAAGTGCATCGTATATTACATGGTTTACTAGACAAATTAGATTTAGCTTATGCCTTCATGAAGCATTGGAGGACTTATTCAATTAAGAACTGAATAATGAAATGTTGGACAATTCTCAATATAACAAAGACTACTATAAAACGTTATAAAAGGGAAACTGGTTGATTTAATGACTTAGCTGGACGATTCGATCATATACTTACGGGACAGATCATTAAACTGCAATCGGATGGTTTCTCAGAAGACGGAATCACTACGAAATCTACTGGATATATAGGTGGATATTAGATTATGCAAAATATCATTTATATACAAACTCGTTAACTAAGCATATAGGAGCCAACAAATACAAGAGTCTAATCAGAATAATAATGAAGGTCACAATCTTTCAATTTTGCTCATTATGTAGAAAAAAATACAACAGTAAAGCTGTAAATTTTTTATGTATCTGTCAATGAATATGATACTGATAATCATATGATATATATATATATATATATATATATATATATATATATATATATATATACTAGACTTATATCATGCCACTTTGACAGTAAACAGAGTAAATGCTTTAATCTGTATACGTATACGTGAATGTACGCAGGCATTTCAACTATCATATACACGCTAATTAATATCAGTGAATGCTTTACATACTGATTACTAATGGAACAAGGAGATTCGATACAAATAATAAGCTATAAGTAATACTAAGAATTATCGAGAAAGATTGAGAGATAAGTAGAAAACGAACCTATATATATATATATATCAAAGTGCATATCTTTATTTATTTTGACAAATTTCCAGTGATATTCACTATAACTATTTAATAATAAGCCTAAGTGAATGCGAATAGCATAAACAACACAATGCATGACATTGGATCACATTTCTTAAAGTTAGGTGATCATGAGACAAGCTCATTATTAGTGATTAGATGAATTCATCTGTTTTAATCTACGTACAAAGAGAAAGAGAAAGTAATTTACAATTAGAGGTAATTATTAAATAAATAATTTTTATTGAATGGGATTTAAACAATAAAAGGATGATTAAATGATAATCAATTACTTATTAAATGATGCACAAATTTGACTTGATGTTTTACTTTTTGCAGTATATAATGTTAAAATGTAGTATGTCTGACTATTAAATGAAAATGATAATATCAGTAGGGTACCGGTTTGTGATATAGAGTACTCGTGTAATTTACTCTGAACAGCTTCGAAGATATTGCAATTTATTTCAAAGATTGAATCACTTAATTGTATCATTCAAACTTTATGTAGAATGAGATTTTATTAATTAAAGTATTCATATTTCAATAACTAAACTATGGATTTAAACGGTAAACTCTCCACTAACAACTGTTTGTACAATTGACCAATATCACTAGCATTTATGTGCAGAAAGTAAAGTTTCAAATTCAACGTACATCAAACCATTGAATTATTTTTTTGTACTTACAATTTTACAAAATACCATAAAGGAAAAGTATTGAGTGTACGTAACCGTATACAAATCTTAGGTAACAACACATGTTATATTCTTGTTGGCCAAATGATTTGAAAACACCCATTAAGAGATAAAACAAGAAAATATGGTTTAATGAAAAATACCCTTTTTGACATGTTTGAACAAAGGCAGGTCTGGGTCGATAAAAAGTCTAATTATCAAACATTTCGTAAATACGAATTATTCAAACAAAAGACTCAAAGTTCAAATTTATTTACAAGGGTAAATGGAAACTTACCAAAAACAGTAAGCTTCCTTCACCTTGGCACTGATGAAGTCATTATCACACACCAGAACTGTGTATCTAAAGGAAGGTTATTCGACGCCTACCATGACCTTAAACGTTAATTTACCAAAGTCACTACCTTCCCACCTCTCGTTATTGATTTTTTTCAACTTTAACAAATCTATTTTTATTCTCATATCCATTCTGATTGCATTTCATTTCAATATTTCACCGTATCATTTTACGTAACCCTTGAACACAATTATCAAATTTTATCTATCATATTGATAAGTATTCAAGCTCTTAATCACTGCATGTTTAGTTGGGCTTTTCTGACAAGAATAACGTTTTCATGCTCCTCTTAATTCTGCATCTCTGTCAACATGTTCGGTAAACTTTATTATCATCATTATCAACAAACATACTATTGATCATTACTTTGGAAAGCATTCTATATTTGCGATTATACAGCATTGAGAGTACATTCGCCGCAACAACAAAAAAGAATAGCTTTTTGCAGGATAATTGTGTAAGCTTTTAAACATATTCCTTAAATCACAATAAAGCAGATATTGACAACAAAACAAAATGTGACAACATAATCCTATTAGACAAATAAACAGATAATAAATTGTTGTAGAAGAAATGAAAATGAATCGATTTGTCATATAGTATCTACGGGTAAAATCTATATACTCTACTAGGCTCTAAACAAATGGAGACTAGGTAGTAAACAATGAATAATCTAATACGAAATGCTTTAGAGAAAAACTGATTTATGTTTATGCTTCAACAAACAATGTAGTGATGTATAAGTTACGATAAAAGCTGAAACTGGTGAAATTTTTTTCAACATAAAACTCGATTAGAAATAAAAAAGGGAATAAAGGTCATTCGTTGAATCGCGTAGACTTATCAATCACAAATAATTTGGCCTTATACAAGCTTTAATATACTTAAACTTTACCGTGTGATTTATATGTGAACATTAATATAAGGTGCAGGGTTGTCATTTATGTTGCCGTAAACCCATGTAATGGTAACTTTGAACGATGAAAAATGTCTAACATAGTACAAAATCCGCATACACAAGGCACGAGAGAGAAAAATAGAAGTAAAACAAGTGAACACATCCACAGCATATGCTTTTGGTCTTACATACACATGATATAGAAAGAAACAAACCTTTACGGAAATCGATTTCAAACATATCCATATCTTCAAGATGTTTTTCTAATTCATATTCTGCTGAAGCAGACAATGGATCTATTTCTTCATTTCTACGATTATAATCTGTAGTGGAATGAGTACTGAACACCTACAACAGAGGTACAAAAATGGAGAACATTACTAGATACATATGTGGCAACAATATTTTTGGGAATTAGTAAGAACTGAAAAGATTTTCGAAAAATAAACCTACATATATGAAAAGCAGAACACCGGTGTACTTTTAGAAGGTATTGTCTGTATATAAACGCCTGATACATTCAAATATTTGCTTAACATTTGGTAAACCGGTATGAAACATTCTAGATAACTTCTACTATTAGGGAAAAAATTATCAACCTCGAATGAAATAGAATTGAAAATGTAATGTCAGTCAAACATTTTGAGGTAAAGTATATCTTTGCTCATACATATATATAAGGGAAATATCAAACAATATCCAGTGTTCACCAAAAATACGATTGAATTTGATAAAAATGTAGTTGTAGTTCATCATGATCACTAATAAATAACCAAGTTGTAGAATTTACACACGATTTGAGTAACGTAAGTACAACATCAAAAGAAGTCAAGTAAAAAAATTCAGTCTCTAACAGTTTTCTTCAAATCAACTGATATTTACCATATCTTCATCTATTTATAATATCTCTACGTATATCGTCTTATTAATTTACAATCACTGAACTATTTCAATACAAATTGTCCGACAACAGACTTTCTTCAAAAAATTTTCTCACGTTCTTTATAGTTTAGTGGCCCGTGAATCTGACACCAAGGAGATTGTAATGAATGTTTGTTATCGCCTATCCTTGTATATAATCATCGACTTAAATCGCGTTAGTCAATAACGGAATTAAATAAGTCAAATGACGAGAATGGACTTTTGAATACATATATTTTGTATATGAAGCGAAATGAACAGAGAGAAGAGAAAGGACGCAGAGTAGAGATGGCTGGTAAGTCAACTCCCATTTAACCAAGCGTTATAGTTACACAAAAGTTACAGATATGTGATGGGTAATGGGATAAGAAATGTACACACACCTACGCGCTCATATAAAAACAGTCAAGATTGATAAGCGAATAAATAACAAGGTCAGCATGTGACTCAAGTAGAGTGAATAGAATGGGATGTCCGAAAGTTAGAATAAGGTACATGGGTTTAACATAGTAACCGACACTACAATAGAAAAATTTCATAACTGTTAAGCTTAAAGTTTAAGAATTTGTACAGTTTCTGTTTTCTATTTTTATAAAATTATTTAATAACAATGAATTTATTTTGTCAAATACAATATTATAATACAGTGTAAATTCAATTACTTACAAAGTATTGGTTCATGTATCTGTCTTTAAGTCACACACTAGATGTATGGTGGATAGTGATACTAACCGATTTTTCAAAAGTCAGTCAGTCAGTCAGCTACAACGTAGGAACAGGCACATATGTGCACCGGTCCAGGTTGCCATACCACATTAGCACAACAAGATGAACACCGGATTCATAGCAGTGGTTAGGTCAAAGGTTGCAATAAGGATATAGTATAGGAAGGAAGAATTAGTTAGTAAAAAGAAAGATATGAATCAATTTTAATCTCTTAGTTTAAGGGAAGACAGGGAGTGTATACACCGACGCCATTGTGATCGATTCTGAGCCATGTCACCAAGAGTCTCCAACCATCGGTTACGAAAGTCACGCGGACCCCATCCAAGTAGTCTGCATCTACCAACATGGCCAAGACTAGAAGTTAGTGACTTCAAGCACTGATGCCACGTTTTGGTTTGGCCGCCCCTAATTCTCTTCCAACCATCCCCTACAACGGTTAGCATTGCACGACGTGGTAATCGGTGTTTAGGCATACGTAATACGTGGCCCAACCATCTCAGTCGATGAAGATTAACAACCTAATCAACCGAATAACCATCATTCCCTAATACCCTGCGTCTAACCTCACTATTACTTACCCGGTGATCCCAGCAGATGCCAGCAATATTTCTAAGGCATCTGTGGTCAAATACTTGTAGTTTACGGGTGTCTTCTACTCTTAGTGGCCATGTTTCGCTGCCGTAAAGTAAAACAGAACGGACTGCCGCGAAGTATACTCGTCCTTTTATTGATAGACGGATATCTCGCCTCCGCCAAAGGTGACGCAAGTTGGCAAAAGCCAAACGAGCTTTTCGAATCCGTGCTGAGATTTCGTCCGATACCAACTCATTAGGGTTGATCAGACTTCCAAGATAAGTGAAGTTGTCAACGCGTTCGACTACTTCACTTCCTATCCTTAGTTCAGGTGTTAACGCAGGCAGTCCTGAAGCAACAAGTTGCATTTAGAGGGAGAGAAGCGCATTCCAAACATCCTGGCATTGTTGCTCAGTGCTACCAAAAGACTCTGCATTTTGTCAGCGTCTTCACCAAACAGGACTATATCATCTGCGTATTCTAAGTCGATAAGTGGACCTCCTGGATGGAGATCAATACCCGAGAATTCAGTCGACGAGAGTGTTATTTCCATCAATAGGTCTATGATGAAGTTAAACAAAAATGGAGAAAGTGGACAGCCTTGACGGACACCACTTGAAGTTGCAAAAGTAGATGACAGTTCGCCATAAGCCCTGACTCGACTAGTAGTGTTCGAGTAAAGAGCCTTCACAAGGTTTATGTACTTCTGAGGAACGCCTTTCAATGACAGACACTGCCACAGAGTCTCGCGGTCTACAGAGTCAAACGCTGCCTTTAAGTCAAGAAAGACCACCATCGTCGGACGCCGATAGGTATGCCTGTGTTCTAGAACCTGACGAATGGTGAATATGTGGTCGATGCAGCCACGACCAGGTCTGAAGCCAGCTTGATTCCCTCGTGTTTGCAGTTCACGAGTCTTAGTTGGGCGTCTGATAATTATCGAGGCTAGTATTTTAGATACTGTGTTTGTTAAACTAATCCCTCTGTGGTTGTCACAGGATGATTTTGACCCTTTCTTATATATTGGGACGATAAGTGATTGTGACCAGTCAGATAGAATAACGTCTAACTCCCAGATCTTAGCTAAAATATTAGTCAACTTAATCGCTAAAATTGGACCACCATCCTTAAAGACCTCTGGAGCCAATCCATCTGGACCAGCTGCCCTTCCTCATTTCAGATTAACTATAGCCTTTTGAACTTCAGCAAGAGTTGGGGGATCTACTTCAATGTTCCATTCACATTGTCTGGGAATGGAGGGTAGTTGTAGAGTAGCTGAAGGCCAGCTGAACTGTTCTCTAAAATGTTCCGCCCATCGTTCTAAACGTCTGAACTGGGAGCAGATGAGAGTATCATCTTTTTCCGAAATAATCTCACTTACACTTGACTTATTAATTCCAGTTTCTTTTATTAGTCTGTAAAGCTGTCTTGTGTTCCCTATAGTCGCCGCCTTTTCCATCTCTTTTGCTTTCGTTGCCCACCACTGCTCACGGTCGTTCCTTAGACTTTTGCTTAACCTAGATCTGATTTGTTTTCGCTCTTCATCATGTTCAGAACCTGATGGGACTAGTTTGCGAGAATCCATCAATGTGACAGACCTTGAAGAAATCCACTGGTTCCTTGCAACTCTGTGGTTTAAGTCACTAATAGATGTCACTGCTGTATCCACAGCTGTTTGCATATCTTTCCAAGCAACATCTGGGTCAGCCTCGTCTTCACAACTACCCAAGTGTGACCTCAGTTGTTCCTGGAACCTACTTTTGGTTTTCTCGCTACTCAACTCAGTTCTAACGGGTCTTTTTAATGTGGCTTTTTTGCGTCCAGTGAGGCGCAAGCAGATGCGTGTCCGTATTAGGGCGTGGTCGGAGTCCAAGCAGGTACTCCAGAATGAGCGACAATCTTCTACCGACCCTCTCCAACGATGACTGATGGCAATATGGTCTATTTGAGTCCATCGTTGGTTTGGTGTAGGGGGTCGCCATGTTAGACGATGTCTCTCCTTATGCTTGAAATTTGTGTTTGCTAAAAATAAACGATTGTCTGAGCATAGTTGCAGTAAACGGTCACCATTATCTGTTCGTTGTGCCGGAATACTAAGATACCCACCTAAATGCCTTTCTGTTTGGTTTAAGCTGCCTATCTGAGCATTAAAATCACCTGCTACGAGTACTATGTCTGAGCGTTTAGCTTTCTGAAGAAGTTCAGAAAGCTTTCTGTAAAATTCATCTTTCACTTCATCTGAGCTGCAGTAGGTGGGAGCGTAGACAGAAACGACAAAAAGGCAACGACGTGTGTCCCTATCCTTCCGAGTTCTTACGGAGCCGTTTAGCCGAACAGCACATAAACGACTGTTGACGGGGATCCACTCTAGCAGTGCTTGTTCGACCCTCATGCTTAGTGCTATGCCTACACCTGCCAGTCCACGAGAACTGGCCATCGGGTCACCAGATACACGAAGGGTGTATCTCGTTGGCTCTCCGTTTTGCCGAGGTGAGGTCAAGTGAATGACCACACTGGGATCCTGTATGCGTGTTTCAGAGACACAGCATACATCAATGGAAAGAGACTCTAGGGGTTTAGCCAAGGAAGCCTGCTGACCGATTTGACATAGAGTGCGTACGTTGAAGGCTCCAATGTGTAGTTTGGAGCGAGGTTTCAGTAGACCTGGGACAGAGTTTTGAGCACTAGAATCGTTGGCTATGGTGACACTTGAGGAGGAAGCCAAAAGAGGAAGTTTAGAGTTGAAAGTCGATGTAGGAGGAATAATAGGAATTGAAGAGGAAGGTTGATTATGAATACAGTGGTCTTGAGTGCCGTTAGAGGTATGAGGGCGGTTATCACTTCCCGGTTGCCCACACCGTGGAAGGGTTCTTCTGGAGGTACTTGAAAAGGAAATTGGATTAGAGGCGGTCTCAGTGACCTGAGAGCGTGACCGCAGTGCCCAAGGGACAACTGCTTGAGGCCGGTCGCGCACGGCCTTTTCGTGGAAGGTTTTCGACGTGTTAGCTCCGTTCTTCAAAGGGCCTTACCGCCGGAGACGGACATCCGTGAGGTAAGGTGAGGTGTGCATTTTTAGGGTCGACCTTTTCTAACCCCACCCCTCCTTGTGGGAAGGCAGCATCGCTGTT